AAATTTTATTTTTGAAATATACCTTCACATTTAGCATTAGACAAATATATGTACAGTACAAAATATTTATAAACATACACAATTTGATGCCAAAAAAATATCAAACTTTGAGACGAAAGAAACCTTGAGTTAATTGCTAGAAAGATGTGGTCAATTACGTATTACAAAGAATCTTTTGGCAGTACAAAATGTAAATATGGCTTCGAAAAAAGCAAAAATTTTCAGTCTTCTGAAGCTTTTTCTCTAAAACCCTTCAGAGTATAAAACGTCAGAACATAGAACAAAGTACCTACGCCATTGTTGGGGAGATGAGATCTCACTTCTATTGTTCAAGACCAAAGGCTTAATGATTTGCTCTAGCCAATCAGCATCGAAGGGCAAGGACGCATGCGTATTCTAATGAGTTATCGAGTTATCTCTGCAAAATCCCCGGCCTTCCTCTGCACCCAAAGCCAGGGAACACAACGAGATCTCGTAAACATTTTGAGAACAGTTATTTTAGCAACTTGAATAAGTTTCATCAATTTCTGAAGAGTTTTACGCATATATTTTAAGGACGTTTTTTCGTTTATTTTTCATTTAGGGGTTTCCTTGGAGCTTATTTGTAGATGTAGTCAAACGGGAAGATCAAAATTCGAAGCTTTCTGCCTTAAAAATTTGAATAATTAAATTGAAGGTAGGTTTTCTGTTTTTCTAGTCGCTTAAGTTGTATTGGTCTGGCTCTAGTGTCGGAGGTCAGTTCAAATCAGGCTGTATTGTTTACATCGAATATCCAATCTACGTGAACACTTTTAAGAGGAAGCTTCAGAAAGAAATTGAATTGAAGAACATAAACGTTATTAATCCAAGGACGCACAGTGTTCACAGACAGGTCAAAGGATTGCCTTTAACTGTATTTTAGATTTAATTTCCTTTCTATTTTAACATGTAACTTTAATCATTAATTTTCACCTGCATTAATTCGTAGATGCCACTGACCATTCCATTACCATAATACCCTCTCAATGTCCCCTTTAATTTACAGTCCCTTTTTGATTTGGTCTTGACGACAAACAAAATTACAGTTTCTAATTTGACATGTATATGTTCAATCAATCTAATCATTGATCAGTGGCATCTTCTAGCACGTTTTATCCATTAAACTTTTATTTCATTATTTCTTGCACTCTGAGCATTATACCGATACTCGGTACTGCTCAGTATCGATGTAGATGTAGATGTATATGCTATCGATACATGTAACACTAGGCCGCGTCAAAAAGTGCTGGTTGTTTTTGCTTGCCTATGGGAGTCAAGTGAGCCTTAACACAAACGAAAAACATAAAACAATAGAGAATCAAGGCAGGTTTTTCAGTATGATTGATATTTCTGCTATGATCAAACCCCCATGTCAATGTGAATGATAAGCTCCCACCGCTAACTTAGTTTATTGTGAAATTCGATCGCAAAGTTCTGTTTGATCTTTTCTCGGGGGGTTCTTTGCCTCTTTGACACTAAATATATATTATACGCATATGCAATGGCCCCGAAACGGGGGTACTCATTTCATATTCAAGAATTTCATCTCGTCTCCCCAACAAGCTAGGAAATAAATATACCCAGTTGTGGATCAAAATAGTCCAATCGAAATAGGTCATGTGCTCAGGTTTCGGTTGGCCTATTTCGATAAACAACGATTAAATTTCCTAGCGAAATGTAGTGACCATTATCAACGTAATCATGTCCTCCATTGTATCATAGCCATTAAAACCTTCAATTGTATACGTATCCAAAGTAACATAATCAACACTTTCGTAGCGTTCCCTCGTTTTATATGTATACGCCCAGTTTTGTATTTATTAAGTCAGTCAGTAAATTCGTCAAGACGCAACGGTCAGCATAGCGGTCAAATCTTTGATTGGCTGAGACCTCTGTTCGCAACCATGTTCTAAGCCAATAAGCACACAGGATTCTCACAACAAAATCGCTTTGCACCTAGAATTAGGCCCATTTTCGCCATTTCAGCGTGTTTTTACCACATTGTCTACAAAAAACATTTTTTTGTCCAGTTCAGTTTTTGTCAGTGGAAATTCGCTTTGTAGAGGCGTGCAATGTTTTTTGTAGACAATGTGGTAAAAACACGCTGAAATGGCGAAAATGGGCCTAATTCTAGCTGCGAAGCGATTTTGTTGTGAGAATCCTGTGTGCTTATTGGCTTAGAACTATAAAGAAAAACTTGTCGACTGTGTGTTCTTAAAATCCAGTTGCATACACAGTGAGAAAAACACTGATAATATGCTGACAAAAAATCAGCTTTTCTGTGATTTGATTGGCTCAGATCAACCTACTTGTACATTTTTTGGGAGAATCAATTATGAATCAATATTTGGCGCTGTTTATATACCGAAAAGCCAACGGTTCGCACATGTTTACAAAAGAAACTTGAATTTTATTTTATTTTGTCTATCAATTCTAATTAACCAATCCGGGATATTGTTTCTACAATTTCTATGTTGACTGTGTCCACTACAACTTTTGTTCGCCTATTCCTAGAACCACGTATGCATAGTATGGCACTATAAAGAAGTGCAAATGACAGCTTTGTGCGAAGCCAATTTGTCACCAGTGAAATTGGCAGATCACGTTTCTCTGAAATCTTCATTGATAAAACGGATATAAACTTTTCAATTTCTCTACCTGAGCCACCGCTTTGAGCAAAAATCAATGGCGTGAAAGAACCATGCTCAACTTTCAAAACCCTTTGACTGTACGCACGTTTCTTCTCTTTTTCATTCCCTGCAAAAGTGTTATCTAGCTTCTGGTTTCTGTACGACGGTGCGAATGGGTTGAATACCCTTACATCAAAATATGCACTTTGTTCCTTCTGCCAGAAGCCACGTATGCTGATGTCAAGCCTTGCCTCTTCTGATATTTTGGAATTTCTTGGGAGATTTTGACCACTGAGATGTTGAAGAGGTGGCTCAATTCTATAGTGGATCACGACTTCATTGTGTCGATGATGAATATATCCACCTTTTGGACAAGACATCGCATGGTCAACGGAAAATTGTTTTTTGCATAAAAAAATAGTTCACACGAACTTTAGATGCCATCTAAATCTCAATCGGATTGCGTCGTAGAATTCACGCTTGCTGAGAACAAAATTTTCGGCCCTCAAAGGAAGAGAAATGAGCCATGAAGACGCACCTTTCATACAAGACAGCTCGTTTGCTTATTGACCAATTAAAAGGGAAGGACACAGATGTAAATGGTTTTGCATCAAAAATCGAAACTTTCTAAAGACACATCCATTTTGTCAAAATCGTAGAGACTTTTTTCTCCTACTAGATAGTCCCACTAGAGAAAACAATGCAGTTGAATTATTTCTTTGATTTCAAAACTTAATAATTTTTCATCAACATTTTACGGGGGATCAGTTCAAGAGCGGCACGAAATGGAGACGAAAACAAATGATGACCAAGCCAAGATTCCTGAGAACTGATAATGAGGCAAAAGGTGTGAAGGCTATAATACAAAAGTGGACCTTGACAATTACAGGGGTACCTTATAATGATGATTAATTGAAATTGAATCAGAGTTGATGTCATGAAGGGATTTTGACTTTTTCCTGCCTCGCTTGATGTTGTTCGCTATTCGTTACAGTCTCTTGTGTCACGCTTCCTCGCGTTTTCATGCATGCGCTCTCCTAGTTTATGGGCTATGGTAGGAGTCCTTTGGCCTCCTGAGCATTTGATTTGTAACTCTAGGGTAAGATGTGTAGTTCGTGGCGTTTTCATTATCTTGGTTAGTCTAAGGATATTTTAGATTTGACATAGCGTTGGTCTCACCTTGCTTGGTATCTCCTTCGCAGTTTAAATTTGTTCTCACGGTAGTACGAATACCTTACGAAATGCTTACAATTTCTTATTTTCCGAATATTATATTCTGTGGAGTATCAGACAATAAATTTCTTTACTACGCTATGCTTCAGCCTTTCAGCGCTATCTTCAAACATAATGTTTGGTCTGTTCAAGGATCATTCTACTGTGGTTTGACATAGGCCGAGCCACGATATTTGTGCTTATTTGACTTTATCCTAGCCATTTTACTATACACCGTAAATGCTCTATTAAGCCCCCCCTACTATATCAAGCCCTTTTTTGCGCTTTCTCAGTTATAGTTTGTCTAGCCTGCATTGCAAGTTATGCACACAATATTTTCAAAGAATGGTGATTTTATTTATTCATCGTATTTTTACTGATCTTCACTGCCGAGCCGCAGAGTAGCTAATGGCTATTCTCTGTAAATACTTTTTCGTATGATGATATTTTTATAAGAAAAATATGCATAAGAACGTTTTTATAATATTTGTTACTTTAAATAATTAATAAGAAGAAAATGAGAATCCCCCCTTGCTAATAAGCCCTCCTACTGGGGCATAGTAGATCTTTTACGTTAATTCCAACTATTTTTTTATTAGCACTCTTTACAGTATTTTGAACCGTCTAGCAGAAAAGAAAAAAATTTGTAAAACAGATTATAATAAAGCGATTTGTTTGTTAGTCTGTTTGAGATGGGCGTAACAAACAGATGCCAAAAATTCTGACGTGAGGCAATCTTGATGCTGCAGTATAAAGATTCACAGAAGGTGGTTCGCTGTTGGCTCCCATCCACTAGCTAAACGACACAGCCACAACGGCAAATGCCTTTACCTCCATAAAAGAATAGTTAGTGGATTGAATTGAAATTAGTGAATTGAATTGTATCAACCTGAAGTGAATTTATACAAGCCCATTCTTTCGTCACGAAATATAAAACCGTAAAAAAAGTCTAATAAGCATAGCCTTAAGTGAAATGTCAATATTTTTTTAGATTGAGTGCTTTTCTGCTTTTTGAAGAAACTGAAGCAAACTTAATATAGATCAGTAAACAAAATCAGAAAGGCAGGTATTAAAATGCATATGTATTCGCGTGAAATGTGCTATTTCTTTCTTTTATCTGATAAATAAAAGTCAATGATTTTTTCAAGTTGACGGTGACAACTATTTGATCGAAACTTAACAGGTTTCTGATAAAAAATAATCAGTTACTGTTTTGTTATTGTTTAAACTGGAATTAGGTTTATCTTGCAGGTGGAATGGGTCAATAGAATAAAAGCATTAAATTTACAAAAGGCGGTATCATTGTTCAATTTTTATAATTTGCTTTCGAAACTGAACAAAATTCTTATTCTTAAATACTTCCTTGCTTTACTTCAATGAAAAAGTGCATGAAGTGAATGAACAAGATTTGATGCTTCAATTGTACAAACATTGACTATGTAGGTGTATGTTGTGTGTGCATCTTCTTTCGTCAAAGTTGAAGTAGAACCAAAAACAGAGAAATTAAAATAGTTTCGATCAATTTTCATGAATATGAAAGAACTTACTGCAAATCTTGGTACTCAAGAACGATTTCCACTGAGAATCTGGGAGCTTGTGTTCTACGTCATCATTTCCGCATTTGGCATTACCGGGAATTCAATAGTTCTTGCTGTTTTGAGGCGAAAACGAGAAATGCGATGTTCTGCTTTTGGAGTATATCTTAGCACGCTTGCAATTGTCGATATACTGGTATGTGTGCTGTGTTTGCCAGTTTATGTTACCTCCACAGAGGCTTTCAAGAGTCACCCGACAGGACAAGCTGGTGATATTGTTTGCAAATTTTGGACCAATTATTTTGTTCTGTTCTATTTTGCAGTGATATCTGTGTTCACATTAGTTGCTATCTCGGTCGAACGTTATCTTGCCATTTGCAAACCAATGAAAGCAAGAATCAAATCAACTCCAAAAAGAGCTAGAAGAATTGTTATTTGTATCTTAATTTTATCATTGCTGCCAAACTTTGCATTGATTGTTGGCCTAAGATACGCAGAGCCTGGTGAAAATAGCTTTGGTGCCCATTGCACTGCAGTCAAGTTCGCGAACGATGCTGTATGGAAGGTCTTTTACGTTATAGTCTTGCTAACACAGTATGTCATTCCTATTACCTTGATGATAGTTTGTTTCATTAAAATCAAGAGAACGCTTCGGAGATATGCACTGGATGCACTAGCAAGCAATAAAATTGGTCTAAACAGCCTACAAAGCGGACACTTGTTGTTACTGCGAACCCGAGCAAGAACCACACGCACTGTGGTTATCATGATATTGGCCTACTTTCTTTGCTGGTCGCTAAACCAAGTGCTTTATTTTATGCTGAACATTGGCTATGGTGTTGCATGGAATGGGGATTTGATGCAAATTAGTGTTGTGCTTTGTTTCTTCTCGTCTTGTATCAACCCAGTTATTTACGTGTCCAGAAGTAAACAGTTCAGGGAAGAATTTAAGAAGCTGCTCTGTCACTCTTCAAACAAAAGAAATATCAGCACAATCACGTAATGAGAGTCATCAAAGTCAAATCATTTCGCAACCTGATAACTCAAATAGCTCAAACCAAACATTGGAATTCGAGCTTTTAATGCTTCTATCAAACTTCTATCTACCTATTCGAGCTTTTAATGCTTCTATTGACATCAAATGTTTATAATCATAAGAAAGCAAACTAGACAAATAGGAAATTAAATCTTCGAATTCCCCCCAAACCCAGAATAAGTCCCCCCTCAAATAAACCCCATGTAAGTATTCCCTGAATAAAAATATACTCCACCCTCGAAGAATTTTCATCAGCACTGGAACGAATTTCTTAACGTTCACAAAATTATGATGATACTTTCAAAAAAGCAACAAAACAACAAAACTTATCATTTCAAGATAATGAAAACAGCTGAACGTCAAAGCATTGATCAGATCAAACCTTTACAACTTGTTTTGGTAGTCATTTTTGCAGACCTTATCATTAGATTCTATAACATAAGAACTTCCTATTCTGAATGTTGCTAATAAGCCCCACCCTGCAATGAGCCCCTTTGAATAAGCTAACAGTAATTGATTAGCTTTTATCGGAAACATGTTCAGTTCTGATTAAGTAGGTTTTACCGTCAACTTGGAATAATCAATCATTCTTATTTATAAGATTAAAGAAAGAAATAGTCCATTTTGACGCGAATACATATGCATTTTAATACCTGCCTTTCTGATTTTGTTTACTGATCTATATAAAGTTTGCTTCAGTTTCTTCAAAAAGCAGAAAAGCACTTAATCTAAACAAATATTGACATTAACATTTCTTTTTAAGCTATGATTAGACTTTCTCCACGAATCAATGTAAAATATCAAATGAAAATGTAACATGAGAATAAAGAAATTTTGGTCTGTAATGAAACTAAAATGCTGTACAATTCAGTTGGCTTCACATTTCACCAATTTCTTTAAATTATTAATTTCATATTTGATGTTTTTAGTTGCACAATCGATGCTTCTTCTAATTCAAAATGTGTAGAAGTAGTAAATATAACTTTGTTTTGTGGGTTTTGTATCAATCTTAAAGTGTAAATATGCCTAGCCTTAGTAACGAAGTTGGTAACTAACTACTAATATATTGCGTAGAAAAAATCATATCATAGTGTTTGCTAGACTAGTCATGTCCTTTTGACGTACTGGACAACCTCAAGCAGAAATTAATATCTCTTGGCTATTAAGATGTATAATAATTTATAACGTATTAGAATTATAAATTGTAAAAAGTCTCCAATAAGATAAATGAGAGGTGAACATTTATTTTCATTTGCTAGCATAGAACATGAAGTGTATAATTAAACATGTAATTTCTTTTTTCTGGATCAAATTACATACTGAACTAATGTTTACTGAGGTACCACAAGGTTCATGCTTGGCGCTACTTTCTGTTTACATTCTCAAAATAGTTTCTGATGTTCAACCTCAGACATGTAAAATATCACAAAACTAATTGATGATATAGAAACCCGAGTTTTGACTATATAATTTAGCTTAGATAGTAAACAGAATATATCATTGCTACTCACAAAACACATAATATGCCCTTAGATTTTGATAGCATTTTCCAGAACTTGGCTTAAATATATATATACCATATTTTTCTCCAATTGCTTCTCCCTTATATTTGCTAAACTTCACCCATTTCAATTCATAGCTATTCTGCCATTTTCTCAAAATAATATCTGGCTCCAGATAAACAAAAGTGTTGCAAGCTGTTTGTTTGATGACGTTTCATCATTAATAACTTATTACTTTCTTATTCAAACAACTGGACATTTAAACGTCAGACGATCATAAATATAATTCTGACTATTAGAAAAAGATTTCGTACAAAGTTGAGATTTTTAAGTGATAGGGTAAGGTAATGGAATTTTCTAAGCTTCTTGTTCCCTTCCTCCTCTTTTCTATACCAAAAGCATTAACCTTTTGAGGTACTTTTTGAGATATCTAGTGCTGGCAGGTCCCAGTATGTTTATGCCCTTAGCAAGGCTAAAATCATACCTTTCAAGTCGGAAGAAATTTCCTGGAATAAACGGTGTTGATTCAACAATGGATGTCTTGAGTGTATCGTCATATTGACCTCTGTTTTAAAAAATTCCTGACTTTTGACCACGTATCTCGAGAATTTCGAACATGAACTTTGTAGCGGTCTTTTATCATGCTTTTTTAGATTTGCTATCCAAATCCCACAAATCCCAAATCCCACTTAATCACTCTATTGAGAACAAGCTTGTTGTACCGTAAGGCTCATATCTTGGTCCCCTCCTATTCATCATTTATGTCAACCGTGCGCACTACAGAGTCAAAATCTAACAAAGATGATCCCTATTGTTTTACCTTCCAAGGCGGCATTAGATTTTCAAGAAACTGTATAATTGGTACAGTGCGAACGGTAAAATATGTTTTTCATCAGACAACCAGATTTTCATTAGTCCCTCAAAGGTTCCGTCGTAGAGCCCCGAAAAAGCACTTTTTTAGGAAAATCAAGGATTAACCATGAAACAGGAAATAAATGCCATCATGTCTGTCTGACTTGCGATTCTGTGCTTGTGTACTCAACATTCAAGGAAAGATGAAACAAAACATTCGCCTGTTTTTCTAGAATAAAACTAATAATTTTGACACAATTTTTGGAATGATCCAAAATGTGTTCCGTTCAATCCTCAAGCTTTTCTTGAACTCTAAATCAGATATTCATTCATCGTATAGAGTGTGCTCTAAAAAAAGGAGATGCTCCGGGCTGAGGGCAGCTCCAAAAGACTTCGGATCTGCTTGATTTTGTAGCTTTGTGTCTTCAATAAACTAGTGTGTTTTGTGCGAGGATGGCTCAGTTGTTAGGGGCGCTGACTACAGACCTAAGAGTCCGTGGTTCGAGCCCCTGGCATGTCCAAACTTTCACCCAGAGTGAGGAGAGTCGCCAGCTCTCTGTAATTCCAGGCATAGGAATCACGAGGGGTGGTCATATCGAGCGGAAGGACCAGGACACTGCTCGATAAGCATAAGCTTCTCAGTGTCCTAAAAACTACCTTCGGATGCAAGGTAGAAACAAATACAAATAAAATACAAATACAAACTGCTTGTACCGTGTTAAAGCCAAAATAAGATTGCTTGGTTGCTGATTTATAACTGAAACTGCATTTGGGACAGAAGCAAGTGGAGCAAGTGCCAGCCTAAATGAAAAGAGTTTTCCTCGTCCATTCCAACATTAATGAGCAATCAGAGTCACAACAGAATAGAAATGCCAAAGATTGTAGACTGCCAGCCATCAAATGTCACGAATGACAGCGTGATGTTTGTCAGATTTGAAAATGTTCCCTTCTAGGTTTTGATCACAAATCATGTCTCCTAGACATAAATGTAATTATTTCAACAATGACAGGACTCACAGATCTGAAACTTACAAAAAATATTTATTTATAACTTGGAAAGAAATTTTCCAAAAAAAAATTCAAATCATTCGACTGGTCTGTATTTTACAGACCACTTTGTCGGAACACTATTTTCACTTTGAGAAAAGATTTGAGACAAACAGTTTGATGTAATTTAACCATAAAGATACCAAACAACTTGCCAAGTTGATGTTACTTGAATGAGCAGAGGGATTTCTCCTCCAGGCAATGGTTGCCATGGAAACCCCAAAATAGCCCTTTTTCCAGGTAAATTATGGATTACAAGTGATATCAAAATTCTATCTGCTTATTCTAAAAACAACCTGAAAATAATGTATCACGAAAAGTTTGAGCTAAATATCTCACATAGTTTTAGAGATATACTTTCTTAAAGTCAAAGGTGGCTAATATTCGAAAATGGCTTTGAAAGTTTATAAACAACTTTTTTACAACAAATGTTATCATAATGACAGAAAAGAACTTTTTATCATAGCCAGTATGCATCAGATTGTGCCTCCTTTCTTAGAGGACAAATTAAAACAGGCTGTCCTACTATTTGATTCTTTTTTGTCATGTTCCACAACCAGAGGTATATTGTGTTCATTGACAAATTGACAAATGTAATGCCATTATCATCAGTTGACGTCATTTTGTTCTTTTGGGTCTTCTTTCTGTTTTCTGTTTTCGTAAAGACAGTCTAGAGAACATTGTGGATGCTGCATCTACCAGCCATGTAATCTTGTCCTTTTTTATTTTTGCTTTATTCTTTATAATGTTCTTGAGATTAAGTGTCGCCTTTTGGTTCGAAGCATCAGCCTCATTTGAGTAACAACAACACTCACACTTTTTCTCCAAGTCATTATATGTTGCACGAGGAAGTGGAAATGGAAGGTTAAAAGCAGTGCAAAGCTTTAGCATATTTGTCAGCCAAAGACCAGTCTCAATACCAGCTTAAACACACCTGACATTTACTTTCGATGATTTTCAAATGGCATTTTACATTCTTGGGCTTGTATGAAAAAGAGTACTACCTTGGCAATGGATTGGTACATTTAAGGACAAGGGGTTCATCCAAACCAACTTGCTTGCCATCAACTTTTAACATAATAAGCTTGCCTTTGGAGCTTTTACAAGATCCAAAGATTGCAGTTTGAGATAGCATATATGCTGTAACTTATTGACTCTTGTGAGATTAAAGCCATGTGCGTCTTGATGACATTATTGTTCAGAAACGAACTTTGGTTTTATTAATTGTTACAGACTCTAATCCAAGTGATCTTGCTCTTTTTCTTGTTATAACTTTGCTTTAATCTTTTTCAAGAATTGGACAATGTCTTGAGATCTTTTGGAATATCGGTTTACTTTCTCAAGTGTTTATCTGGGGTCGAAGTGGATGGGCCTACGTCAAATGTCCTAGTTTCATCCCTGCTCTCATCTTCTTCTTCCTTGATTATTTCTGCTTTCTATTTCCAGTAAATGTTCTTCGCTCTTCACGGTACTTCGATGTATTTTACTTCCAACCATACTTAATAATATCGGTAATATTAAATTTATATCTTCATTCTAATTTGTCGACCGATTCTACAAGTTTTCATGCCACCTCAGCTCTCTCCAAATATTCCCTGCTACTTCATGTAAAAGCTATTACAGAACACCAATTTAATTCAGTTCAATAAATGGGAGGACAAAATTTGCGTGGTTAAAAACGAAAATTCGGGGCTCAACAGTAAAAAAACCCCATAGCAACCAAAAATAACAAGGTTGCTAAGGAGCCCAGGCCCAGTGTCATCTCATATCTACCTATCCAGCGTCTGTGTTTTTTAATTGTTTTTTATTTATTGAGTGGTGTTTCCTTTCTAGTAATTAACTTTCATTCATGAAAAGACTGCCCTTGTCCATAAGCAAATATTTAAATTGATTGCAAGAGATGACTGCAAGAAATACTCTGAAATGAATTTGAAGACAATCTAAAAGGCGAGGTCGCAAAAAATTTCTGCTCGCTTCGCTCGCAAGGGGCCTTGTCATTCAGTTTTGCTGCAAGGCCTTCGAGGTCTCTCGGTGGTCCTGTCAGTAAGATCAACGTGCTGAACTATTTGAATTAATGAAGGTATCTCATTGCTCAAAACTTGACTTCTATAAAATCAAAGTAAGTATCCTCAGTTACTCAAAAATCGGAAAGACTCTAAAAAATGGGAAAGAATATTTAATACTGATTCTTATAAATAATCGGCTGGAAGCAATGCAACAAACTAAAGATCTTGGTTGCAGCTCAGCATAACCGAGGATTAGATGAAACACGTGAAAAAATTTCTTCAGGGGAAGTGACTTTTTGAAGCATACGAAATCCTCATTGAAAAAAGGAAAATGAAAATTGTCAAAAAACGTTTCATCCATATTTTATGTTAACGTTGCTAAGAACGGAATAAAGACTTTTGGCAACTCTTTTTGGCAAATTTGACACTTCTAATCAACAACAGAGTAATCAAGGAATACATCGTGAATTTCAAATAAAAGGGCCATAGGTGAGTAGGGATTGGGTAAAAAAGTCATGCATAAAATTAGATATAAAAATTCACATATACAGCGTCGTCCTCATAGATCATGATTGCCGCGGAAAGACGGGGGAATTTTTAAAATTTGGTGCTTTCAATTCGCTGGGAAATGCACTCATTGAAGCAATTTTTGCCACTTTATAATGCAACCTTATTGCTGGTGTCCTTTGACATAATTGATTCTCTTGTGATCGAGACAAAATGCCTCTTGTCTCGGTCACATGGGGTGGTCATGACACTTGGGAATAATCAATAAAAGAAACGAATGAATATTCGAATGAAGTAGTCGAATCAATCCAATTGCATCGCCTCTTGGCCTACCATTACCATCAGATTGGTACTAAAAATTTGTTTTATCGCAGCTCCTCTACTCTTCTATTTCTTCTACAGTTCCCTTTTTCCTTTTTCGCCTCTTTGGAGGAGAGTACCCAGCTAGGGCCTGTAGTCATTTGTTCACTTACACTCTTTTTTATAAGGACAAGAACCCGAACAAAAATCAGTAAATTCAAGTGCATGCTGTTCTCAATTTTCCCATAGTTTATCATTTTCCCAAACATCAAGGCTCGATTTTTTACTCTTTTCATTGCAAGAACATTTATTTTATTAGGAAGTACCAGAAAGCTCAGGAAACAATTTTAACTGAAATCGTTCCATAAGGGGCGACGTGACTCCACTTCAAAACAGGGCCTCCATGGAAATCTTTTTGTTTACCAAAAAAAAGAAGGGGTCGAAAAAAATTGAGGACATCCAGCCTGATTTTAAATTTACTGGTTCTTTTTAAAAAAGAGTGCAACTACCAGTTATTGTGCTCAAGGGGAGTTTTCAGGCCACATTTGCCAATTCTTTCTTTAATTCCGGACCTGTTCACCGACAACGCATCCCTAGATGCCAAAATTATCCTCGTTTTTGAGATGGAACTTTTCACATGTGGTTTCACAAATTTGTTCAAAAAACATTTTACATAACCTCAGGCTCGGTTTCTTCTTGATTTGTTCTTGACATTTGACCAATTTTGAAGCTCATGTCCTTTAAAATTACTCTTTTAAAAATGAGTGTATTTTTACAGCAAATGCCATGCACACAGCATGGGGTATGATGCATCGACCGCATACATAGAGGCGCGGTTAGAGGTTTTATTTTGTGGCCGTCGCCCTGATTATCTGAGTCATACCAACAATAATGCAATCTTAATTATTGAAAATTGATATTGTTTGAAAGGTTACCTGCAGTGTAAATAATTACTGTATGCAGAGTAAACTTGTCTTGAATTGAAGCTCTTATTTCGGAATACAGATTCGCACAACGAGTAAGACAGGGGGTAACCGATGGATAATCCTGTGTCCACTTTGTTATTTTGTCGAACAAGAACTTGGATAAAGATGAAGGCAGCTGTGATATATATTTTGGCTTCTTTTGTCAGTTTCGCTTTTCCGGTAAGATACAGTTTCATCATAAAAAGACTAAGGTTGTTTGAAAAAAGTTATCATCTTATTGTCATTATGATAGGGCTGTAATGGTTACTAAGTAACATCTAAACGCTGGTAGGCCTAGGACTAGAAACCTGATTGTAACCTTTGTTTTTTTAGTTTAGTAAATCTGGTTTTTGTTGTTTTATTGTTTACCTGGATCTTTGTTTGACACAGAATGGACATGTCTTGGTTATTATAACGGGCTGAGAATCTCCTCAAGTAGCATTTCCGAGAGCATTTCCGAGATGGTCTACCAAAGGTTTGCTCGGGCCTATCTCATTTGGTAGAGTGTTGTAGAATGTTTAACTGCTATTACATACTTATTAAATACCTCTGCTCATCATTATAAAAGAACCTTTAACAGTAAACTTTTTCGAGAATTTGCACCGTTTCTGAGGCCGCTTAATGTTTCGTCCTGACCCCCGGAGTAACCATTGCGGAACTAGATACTAGAACCTCGACTATATTAAGTTAAAATATAGGAGTTAGTAATTTTTGAAGAATTTTCTTCATAACGCAGCTCTTTTACCAGCTAAATTCACTTTACTTCAAGGGTGGCTTTGTGCCTCTGGAAGGGCACGTAGGGCGTGACCACGCCTCAAGTTGGTGAGGTCACTTTGGAAACCTATTTTACGTAGTCTTAAGGCATGGGCTCCGACGCAGGTTGGAAAGTGGAGGGGCCAAGTAAAAATATAACAATCATCACATAAGTTTTTAAAAAAAGCTCTATTGTTTTGCAAAAAAGTGAGGGGGCCATGGCCCCCCTGCCCCCCCCCCTTCGTCGGAGGCCCTGTAAGGTTGATATTAATTTGTATAACCATATAGCCATTGTTTCCGTATAGCCATTGTTTCCAATCAGCAAAGTTCAAAAAATTTTCTTAAGAAGGCCCACTCTTTAAAATTCTGAAGGGCTGGGTGCGGCGATCACCACCTAGCTATCTTTGCCAGTCCGCCCTTACTCCTACTGCTATTATAGATGTGATGGTATTATTAACCACATTCATGGGTGTGTCATCAGCATTTCCCCCACAAGATATCTATGTTTTCTGAAAAGATGGGCTAGTTTTCCTTACAGCAGCACTAGTCTCAATATGTGGAATTTCCAGTCTGCAAAATTGAACAAAAACATTATATTTTCTGGCTTAATTTCCAAGAAAAATTTATCTTTTTATCCCAAATGATGAGGGTGTATACCCCTCTGTCCACCACTAGTGCTATCACTTTATACCTTGAAACCATAGAAAAGATGCATTAAAGGTATTGAGTCATGGTAAATGAGCCTTCTCTTTAGGGGGTTATTTTGTTTTCAGTATGATCGCTGCAGTTTTGTGGGAGAGGTGTCCATTGTTGACAAATCGCTATTGATGGAAATTGTTTTGTTAATCAGTACCAGGTGAGTTCATGTGACCAGTTCCAGGTAAACCAAGCATTGCAGCACAAAAATCTATCAAAATTCAGCAGATCTGGGTAGATTTTGGTATATTCTCTCTATTTATCATGACTCAATGCCTTTAACTATAGGGGAAAAGACTTTTAAGCATTAGGCAGTCTTCTTAGGTTAAAATAGATTAGCTGAATTACTTGGCTTCTACCCTCAGAAATTTAGGACCAACTTTGTGATAAGCGTGTTAAGCAAATCTCTATACATTGTTTATTCAATTTGAATATAAACAGCCTCAGCAGATACTGTACATTTGGATCCATTCTCATATTAACATGTGGTTGGGATATTGTTGCACATAAATATCTAAAAACCTCATTTGTACTTTTTGATTGAGTATACTATTACTGGTTGCTTCTCTCCCCGAATTGGAATGACTCTCTTTTTGTCATTAGGTAGATCATCACTGCAAAAACTTTCACTTAAGAACACCATTTAATGCTCTTGTAGCTCACTTCCGATGTTTCCCTGCATTCAGAAAATTGCTACACTCTCTACTTTCCAAAATAGATAAAATTATTTTTGGTTTGCAGATTCTCTTGTAACTTTATTTTAATCATGGACATTTGGATGTTCTGTATCTTTATTTTATGTATGTAAAGTCTTTTACAACACATAATTGTACTTCAAACACTCTTTCTTTGTCATGTGGCTTGGACAATACACCAGCTAGTCTCACATTCTTTAAATCCTCTTTCAAAATCTCTTTCTTTTTCAGACAACAACCCCTGTTCCAAACTTCAATGATCCACTGTTTTCACAACAGTTTTATTTGGTAAGTTTACTTGCTGAAATGAAATTTCCTGCTGCATTCATGTTTAATCCTTTAACTCAATAGCTCATATATGAAGAAAGGGAGGGGAATGCAAGGGAAAATATATGCCAGACTAGAGGCAAGGTGCCCCACCAGGACTCAGAAAGTTTCATTTGTAACATCAAATTTGTGAGAAAAAACAAGTGAAGTGTGGTCCCACGCTGTCTCCGCGAGACTTGTTTACAACACATTATAAGTGATGACAACAAAAAACAATCAGCATCAAAATGGTGTGTCTCTAAAAACTTGATTTTCCCAGCCCATAGAAATTCCCACCATGGCCCTGTGCCAGACTGGTATTTTCTCTTCATGTCATCCACAAAAACCTTAGTCTACTAAAATGAAAAGTTCTGTACACCTTTGGAAACAAAAAGATTTTAGATCGGATTAAGCAAATTTTTTATGCGATCAATGATGCAACAGACTTTCTAACAGCAGGTGTACTGGCTTTTCAGACATAAGATTCTCTTTGAACATGTTACATATAACTTTCATTGCTAATGGTTAATTTCTAATTAATGTTTAATGGTATCTCCTGAATGGCTTGATGCCATATTGACAGAGTTGTACACACACTTGGTGTATACAGCTGGGTCTTTTATGTGCATCTCAGCCTGTAAGTCAAGTTTCTAGGTGACCTGTGAAATACATGTAGTAGACATATATGTGAAAACTTCACCTCAACTTATGCACCAGGATATGTTTTTGAAAAACTTGCTTGGATGCTTGCTTGAAAAACTTGAAAAAACTTTTGAAAAATTTGAAAATACTTTTTTTAAACAACTTTTGATAGAAGGGTTAAAACTGTTGTTTTAGAATTAAAATTCATTCTTTCATAAGTGTTTTGATCTTGGTCAGTCAAAACCAACATGCCAAAACAAACTAAAAATAAATTATGAAGCACAATTTAAGATAAAAGTTAAAATATGCAGGTTACTTTTATGGATGGAGGCTATATATAATTGATTGCATTGAGTATAATAACACGTGCTCATCAATATTTGATCATCAATTTTGATATCTTAGGAATTGAAAGAAAGCAATCATTTATGTTCACAGTTCCTAGCTTGTTTATTGCTTTTTTCCTTTTGTTTTTTCATCTTTCACGCTTATATGCTTTGGCGACTATTTATGTTTTTTAAGAATCCTTAAACTTTTGAAGTTTTTAATAGGAGGGGGGTATTATAAATATCAGGAGCAGTGTTCAATAGAAGTTTATTCTTGTTCATGAAGACAAATTTCCAGTCAATCGTTTTTGTAGAGGTGCTGCTTTTTATTGCTTACCACACTGTATTCACTGTAAATCAGTTTTTGTTCAGAAACACTGGAAGTTTCTAGTGCAGGGGTAGGGCAGGTGTAGGGCAGGCGTTGTATAAGGCAGGCATGGCGTAGGGGTGGGGTAGGGGAGGCGTAGAGCAATAAACGACAAACCAGCCGTATCCTTGGCCCACTAGAAGTAAATGTAAATGGAGAGCCAATCAAACGAGCTCAAAAGGTAAAATACCTAGGAATTATGGTCGACGAAAACCTGACATGGAATGAGCAATATAAAAACGTTAAAGGTAAAATAAAAAATGCACTCTCGTCCCTGTGGAAACTAAAGAACATACTCCCGCAATCGAAACTGGATCAGGTCTACAAGGTGTTGCTCGAGAGCCATTTGAGATACAGTGATGAACTATGGGGCAAATTGTCAAACACAAAGCTGGATCATCTTCAGCGTTTACAAAACAGAGCGTGCACGCTAATAGAAGGCTCAAGATTAAAGGACGGGTGGAGCTGCAATTGGCTTTCGGTCTCAAATTTGATAAAATTTGACAGGGCAGTAATGATCTACAAAATAATAAATGGTCTCTGCCCTGACAATTTGAAAGGAAGACTTGTCACAAGATCCCAATTATCTAACTATTCAACAAGAAATTGCCTTCACCTAGACATCCCAAGGCAAAACCAGGAATTCTCCAAAAGGAGTTTTTTCTATTGTGGTGCACAGAAGTGGAACAAGATTCCATTACAGATAAGAATGAGCTCCACGATTACCATGCTCAAAAAGAAAATAAAGGAATTCCTGCAAAATTAGCATCCTTTCCCGAAGCACGATCCCTAGGAAGACCAGCATTATATGTAATTTAATCTTTACTTTTTCTTTTTTAACTTAGTAGCTGATAGGGTTTCTGTGTATAAATATGATAAAATGAAAATGAAATGAAATGAAATGGGGTAGGGCAGGCATAGGTCAGGCATAGGGCAGGGGGTAGGGCAGGCATAGGGCAGGGGGTAGGGCAGGGGGTAGGGCAGGCATAGGGCAGGCATAGGGCAGGCATAGGGCAGGCATAGGGCAGGCAGAGGGCAGGCAGAGGGCAGGCAGAGGGGATTCTAAAGATTGCAAAAAATAACAAAATGAAGGAAATTGCTCAATTTTTCAAGAGTTAGCGGGCAACTTCCCCAAGTATCCCTTTGCTGCCGCCTCCTTTTTCTGTTTAGTGAACCTTATAACTTTACTTTGTTGTTTTTATCAAGTAATTCTTTGATCAAGTAATCATTGAAATGTTTTTACATCCTAGAATGAAAAATATGGGGTAACAATGAACATACACAAGGCATGGAACAAGGGTATTACTGGAAAAAATGTTACAATCTGCATAATTGATCCAACTGGTGTTGAAAAGAACCATGATGATTTTGCTTCTAAATTTGTGAGTTGATTTGTGATGTAAAATCAGACTACTTTGAGGAATGAAAATAATCAGAGTCTGGGATTTAGATCAATGGCAAAAATTGAAAGGTTTTTGTGTCATAATGTGTCACATGTGGGTCTCTGATGTTTCATAAGGTGAAACAGCAAAATTTATTCATTTTGTTTGACATGTGATTGTAATAGCATCTATATTTCCTTAGTCAGTCCATTGTTAAGTTATGAATGATATATGCTGTAGTCTTTTTCATCACTCATATGTTTCTATTATTGCCTAAAATTGCCATTTACACAGAATGGCAAAGACTGCAGCTTTATCGATGCTTTTAGATAAAGCAATTGTTTTATAAACTAAAAATTTTAATCATCTAGAGATTTTTCAGTTTGAGGCCCCAATTATAAGAATTAGTAAGCGAAAATATATAGACATACGTGAAATGCTAATCAAAAGACTTCCAATTCATTTAGACTGGTACCTCATACAGGGTTGAGGCCCCCTGAACACGTTTATCATATATGGTATATCAGTTTCACAGTAAAATAACAAAGAAACAATTTTTTCAGGGTCCCTCAATGGTAGGGCCCCTTTGTTTTTGAACTAATTATAATCTTAGACCACTGTTGAATGCCGTGCCTATCAAACGCTCTTGAGAGGGCTGTAACTACCGAGCTATTAGCAAAGAGCCAATCTACAAAGTAAATTTTTTTGCAATATATTTTTTCCATAGGTTGTCGAGGGAAGTTTTGATTTGCGAACCAACAGCTCGGATCCTTCCCCTGATGCTAGCCGCTTTGGCGAGTAAGTGTGTCAGGTTTTTATGAACAGAAACGTAAATAAAAATTGTTAGCATGTGTTTTCAATTTGTCTTGTAGCCAACTTCGTTTTCATGCATGACTCGCGTATGTGATTTGATTTACTGTGCGAATGGATACTATGCAATTGTATATTGGTTTTTTAATAACTTTTTTCTTTTATGAAATAATCTTTATTTCTAAAATGCTCTTTATTTTGCTATGATTGTGCAAATTTTGGTCGAATATGGTTGTATGTACCTACTTCATATTTCAATAGGGGACCATACTCCCATGGAACCCAAATGGCTGGAGTGGCTCTTGCCAAAGCAAACAATGGAAAATGTGTGGTGGGTGTAGCCTATGATGCTAAGATGTCAGGTTCGTAAAGACAAAGCTTTTTAAAACTATCATCAACACGAATTAAGATGACTAACGTAAGCACAACATTCAGGGGCGGTGCCAGCCATTGGGCTCTGAGAGGGACAATACAAAAGTTCAAGGCCACGTCCTTTTCTGTTAGAAAACGCCCATTTCCACCGAGTTGCGCTAATTTCACCAACAGGGAATGCCCGTGACTAAATTTTGACCACGTAAAGGCAGTTTCGAAATGATAGGACTACACCACAAAAAATACTTTGCCAAAACATTACCCCTCCTATAATTTTCTTTTTGAATTTAGACGAAATACAGAATTGATCCTGACGAGCGTCATGAGCTTCTATGCCAAAAACTCGAGCACTTTAGAGTTGCTGACAGCAATTTCCGTTGGTTTATGTACTACCTGTCTAACAGAAAGCAGTTTTGTCGGTTTAAGGGTACAGACTCTAAAACTCTCAAAACATAGATTGGTGTTCCACAAGGCTCCTATCTTGGTTCTCTTCCCTGCGCAGTTAGAAGCTCATGTATGCCTATTATATTATCTGTTCTTAAAGGCAATCTGTCTCGTTGTGGATTGGTTAACGAGAACAATAGCTGGAACAATAGCCTAAACACGATTCCAGCGCTCCGCCATATTTTTTACAATGCGATAAATAAAAGGGGGACTGGAAACAATAAAAATCCCTTTGTTCTTATAACAAATCAACGTCGTGACAGATTGCCTTTAAGATCTAATATTTTAAAGGACCTGTATGAGGCTACCTATACTGACCTATAGGATTCGGATTTCTCGCCTCTGGCAATCCCCTGATTCACAATCTAAACTGGAAACTTTCAGTCAATGACACGATTAAACACGATAGCATGATTTAAACCCAATTTGTGAGTGATATATTCACAAGGAATTCTCAAGGTGCAGACTGGCCACTGCTTAATAGAAGCATTGACTGAAAGCTTCCAATGTAAAGCACATTCAATAGGCTGAAGTTATTTTTGTTTAAGGGTGCTAAACTTGGATTAGCCTAAATACCGAAGCTAGACAGGCAACATCTCCGATAAGATTTAAAACTTTGCTCTAAAGTTTTTGTTTCCATTTCATTCTTTTAGCTTTTCACAATGGTATAAATGTTGTAAATACAATTTGACATTTTACAAAGAAATGTAAACGAAAATATTTTAAAGGACATCAAAAATTTCGTGGGTAGTGTTAGGTAAATTTGGGCTGTGTTTGGAATTGGGTAGTGTATTGTATCATTTTCAAATCTATTGTACCTTTTTATTTTATTTTATGTAATGTAAGATTTTCTGTTAACTGAAACCTGAAACCATCTGTCTTGGCCAGTTTTAATTGACAGATGACTGATGCCACTTTGGCATGGGTTCATTTTCTTGAATCCTTGATATTAGATAAACCTTTTTGAATTGCAGGTATCAGGACCGTTATGACAGGCAGTGTCACACCGAGCGAGAAGGAAGCCATTTTGAATAGACTGGGTCGTGCCTTAGGCCACGCTAATCATATCAATGATATATATTCATGCTCATGGAGCCCTCTTACACAGTTTCAGGATACTGTCGGACACATGAAGGAAGCCGACAGGCAAGCCCTGAGAAACTCTACCACAAATGTAAGACCAATTAGAACTGAATAGAATATTGTACTTCATTGTGTTGTATTGTTTGCTACCTAGCTTCCAAAGGTAGTTTTTAGGTCACTGAAACGCTATGCTTACCGAGCAGTGTCCTGGTCCTTCCTCTTTATGTGACCACACCTCGTGATTCCTACGCCTGGAATTACAGAGAGCTGGCGACTCTCCTCACTCTAAGATAAAGTTTGGTCATATCAGGATTCGAACCACGAACGCTTGGTCTGTTATCAGCGATCCCAACCACTGAGCCTTCCTCCCACCTCAATAGAGATACCTCGAGTCAGTCTAACTAAATGTGTAGTTATATGCATTGACGTTAGTTATATGCTTTTGCATGAAGGATAACTGCGTGGATTTGAATAAAGACGATGAATGGAACGTTTTTTGAAAGCAATTCGACAGAATTAGTCAAGTTTTAAGATTGTGAAAAATAGGGTTTACAATAAGTATAACAATAGAAAAAGATACACTAGAAGTTAGGGATAAAGACGAGGTCTCGTGAGTGGCTTTGAAGCTCTTTCCCTCGATACTGAAGAGTTTGGAATCGAGGTTTGCTCACAGTGGCGTAACTTGGCCTTCAAGACTAGAGGGTTCAGGCTCGTCAAGAGTATAGTTTACTGACAAAGACATAGATTAAGATAACGTCAGGTGCTATTTAACTTGCCGATAGGTGATTTTACCAACCAACTAAAGATTTTTTTGAACCAACTGAAGATTTACGGATAATCTCAAGAATTTGATGGGGATGTCATGCCCCCTACACCCAGCGCAAGATACGCCCCACTAGGCTTAAAATGAGACGGTACACTTGTTTACCCTCCAGCATTGTGTTGCACTCACTATCCATTCTGACGAGTCGCAATTCACACCTGCATTGTCTTCAATTATGAAAACAGCTGTCTTTTTTCTTTGTAGGGTCGTGGTGGCAAGGGTAATATATACGTTTTTTCTGCTGGTAATGGTGCTCCATTTAATGGAACTTGTGGTTACAACGAATTTGTGACATCTATTCATACCATTACGATCAGCGTTGTCACTGGAAAGAACGTGAAATCAACTCAGAATGTCAAATGTTCTGCTATACATGCCGTCACGTACTCAAGGGACCTTGGCCTTGGAATTGCCTATCCTCATGATATAATGGTATGTATTCACTTTTGGCCGTATTGATTTTCTAACGTGGGAAGGAAGTAGCAATACAAAGTTATGGGCAAAAAACCCCTCATGTTACGAGGCTGCGTTCCAACATCATCGAGAGCGAGTTGGGCCATTGGTGCATCGGTGCAATTCGCTTAAACTCCCACAAGCCTCTAATGGGAAGGGGCTACCGAGGGCAGTTACACAATAACCCCCAAATGTAATTGACATTGGGGAGAGGAATGGACAAAAAAGACTTCCGAGTCTGCAGATCCAGATTCAGGATAACGAGTACTTCAAAGATTTGAACCAGTCTGGAGTCATGGGGAACAGAATCTATTTCTAGTAGCTACTATGAGCAATAAACTTCAGTTTAAAATCATTTCTCGTCATTCTGGAAAAACGGGGTTTCTACCGACCGTTCGCTACTCTGAGCTAAGGGTAAAAACTGATCAACGCTCACCCCAGTCACAAAAATGTCTGGAAACAGAATCTTATTCTTACAACAGATATTGCCTTACCAGTAGCTACTATTTACAATTAAATTCAGTTGAATATAATTTCTAATTTTTCTAGAAAAACGGGTTTTATACCGACTGTTCATAGCTCTGTGTAAACTCTTTAGACGTGGGGACAATTTTTATAATGTGGTAGTAGTTCTTATTCTATCTATTGCATTATACCATTACCACGATATTCTTCCACCCAATATTTTGTTCAAAGATCGTTATCCCTCCTCTCAAGTTAATTTATGCAGCAATGCCTTTATCTATATATTGTCTATAACTTGATTATCAATCTTACTTTTATTCATTGTTGATATATTGAGTGACACAAGTGTTTTTATCTAGCCGACGTGTGCATTGAAGAACACATGTGCCAAAACGACTGGCGCATCATCTGCTGCCACGGCAGTTGCTTCAGGAATTTTTGCATTGGTTCTACAGGCCAAGTAAATTCATAATCTCAGTTGTAGATTAAGTATAAGCAGCTAGATGATTTAAGAGGATTTTGGGAATAGACAGAGCTTGGAGACGGATTAAAGGGGCAAGGAAGGGGGGGCTAGATAATAGTTTGATTTTGGTGCCAAAACCTAAAATTCATTTTTTAACTTTAAGTTAAAGAAGTTAAGAAGATAATTAAAGCAACTTTTTGCATCACTTTGTTACTACCGACTACCAAAAGATGCTTTTTATTTATCGAAGAACACTAAAATATTGGTCCCCACACCCTTATAATTTGTAATTCGTCCCTGACCTGACATAGACAGAGCGTCCCTGACATAGACATAAGCGGAGAGGGGAGATGGCTCGGTAAATCTCCATTTGTTGGTTCACAAGATCCTCAGTTGGTCGGTAAAATTGCCTGTTTGTTACCTTAATGTTTCTTCGTCTAGTTCTTGGTCTGCAAATTTTACTTAGATGACCCTCCACCCCTAGTCTGGAAGGTCAAGCTGCGCCTCAATTGGGACTGGGACTATTTAGATAGCATTGAAATCATCGAAGGATGCATTTTTGTTTTCAAAAAGAGTGAATTTGTCTCGATTGCAATCGATGTATTTTAAACGTCAGGGGTTGAAACACTTACAAATATTCCTTTTTTATGTTTTTTTATTTTGAAAATAACTATCTAACGATACCGTAAGTCCTTGAATAAGCCCCCACCTTTGAATAACTCCCCCTCACTTGAATAAGCCTCAACCCTTTAGTAATTCTGGTGAAATAAGCCCCCAATGGGCTGAGGTGTTTCCCCGACAGCAATATTTTTATCCCCATATATCTGCACTTTTAAGCATAATGACCAGTCCTGAATACAATAAAAAATTTACCCTGGTAATACTTTTGGCTGCTGCTAAAAAGGCCCCACTTTCGAATAAGCCCCTCAACCTTTTGCAAACTAAGCCCCCGGGCACTCATTCAAGGATTTATTTTAAATTAAGTTTTCTTGTTATTTTGTCTTAATTTTTAAATGTTCTATGTAAAGGTTATACTTAAAGTTTTCTCATCCACTTTCATGTGAACTTTCGTCGTTTCAATGATGAATTTACAGCCTCCTGTACTCAATTTCATATTCCTTTACAAAGTACTACAATGAAATGAAAAATAATGGTCTATTTTGACTGCAGCCCAAGCATTGGATGGCGAGACTTACAGCATTTGATTACTCGAAGTTCCTGCTCGGATTTCAAAAATATAACATGGACAACAAATAAAGCTGGAATAAAGGGTATTCTTTTATAGTCTTCATATTATATTATTCGAACTTTGTTTTCACAAGGCTCTAATTATTTGCAACCAAATAAACCTCCTAGTTTCTGATCGAGAAAAGACAATTTTTTTAAATTCCTAAAAAATAGCAGTCGTCCAAAGGGCGTCTTGATTCCTAGGTTCCATTGCAATTTTTTGCATGAACATCTGAAACGCTAAAGAATACATTTTCTTGCAATTCATCTCTACTAAAGTTACCGATTTTATGTTTTTGATCTTCATCAGAGTGTTTTTTCTTTGTCCTCTTGTTGTCTCAATGTTGAATGGATTGTTGACTGAAATTTTTCCTGTTTTTTCTGGTATTGGTCGTGACTATAGCGAAAAACATCGTGTTTGTTGTCTTAATCGCGATGATCATTCAGTAGAAACTAGGTCTATCGTGTAGCAGAAACCAGGCTTGGTCGCGGCTCTCGACGGGCCTACCTACACCAGTATAGTATTGTAACGTCTTGGCTGTAAGGTGGATAGCTAGCTGTCGTTCTTTTATCATTATATCCTTTGATATCGTCATTTATGTTTCTAATCTTAATGTTACTTTTCTTCGCAGTAAGCGATGACTTTGGATTTGGCTTGCTTGATGCTGATGCTTTGATTACGAATGCTAAGAAGTGGAAGAATGTTGGAAAACAATTGGAATGCGCCATAACGTTGCCAAGTACACCGAAACCGTAAGCAAAATTGTATGACTCATAATATCCCAAGACTTTAGGATTTCGAAACAAATTACTTGTCAGATTAGGAAGAATATTGCCTCGCACTTTGTATGATGTAATTGGATTCAACTGCTAGTGTTGTTGGTGTTGTTGATACTGCATTGTTAGTTGCTCTCTTGAAGAACCTATTCTCTAAAACAACCAATGAATCACGAGCACTCAGGGAATCTCCAGTATAAGCAAAGATCCAATCATAGCCCTCGTTACAAAAAGGTTCTAGATACCTGAGCATAGCAGGTAAATATGGCAGGGGCAACAAAATTTTTTTTGGATTGGCAGGGGATGGGAATGTCGTGCTAACGAGAGAACTTAAGGCTGACTAGAAGGGACAAACCTTAGCTTGTAGGGGACGTGGAGAAATTGAAAAAAATACCCCGGTCATTTTATATTTTCAAAGGAGATTCCCAGATAACGAGATTTCTCACCGGGGATGGTTTTCACCAGGCTTGATACACAGGGATGAACTGATAGATTTGTTTTGTCTTTACTTTATCAGTTGTTTTTACTTAATCGAAAACTTACAATATCTTTAAAGAGAAAATTAATGTGATCAATGTCTTTCTTAGTTGTCTTTTTCTTTTGAATTTGAAAGTTTACACTTGTATCTCCATTGCAGTATTGATGGCATCCAAACACTGAATGAAGTTGTAGATCTGACTTCGTGGCCAGCATCCTGTGGAGGAGAAGGACAGAGAATCAACTACGTAGAGCATGTTGTATTACAGTTCAGCTTGAATTTCACACGTCGATCTGACATTGAGATCGCGATAGAGAGTCCAGGCGGAACTAAATCATTTATCCTGCGATCAGGTAGCGTGATTATCAATTTAAAGGCTCCTAAGGAGGAAAAGGTGCAATGGGACCCCCCGGGAGGGGGATGGCTCAACCCGAGTGTTATTTTCAAATTTTGCTTCTTGTCTTTAAATTTGTTTTTGCAAGATCTTCTTGCACTTTTCAAAGACCTAATCTCCCTGTTTTTAAATACAGTATTTTCTTCAAACACGAGTTTTTATTTACTTCAATGAAGTTGAAAGGTTCCATTATAAGCACAAGAAATAGGTTTGTAATGAAGAATTTTGTGAAGATGCAGAGCCTATAACGATTGGGCCACAATTTTGAATAGTTGCATTAAACTTACAGGGATTTTCTCGAGCAGCAAATTTCAAAGCAACCTTGCTATTATATTCCATGCTATGATCACTCTTGCTTTGACTTGTTGATCAGGTCATATCTAGGTTGCTTCTCCGAGTTTCAATTTTTATGCCATCATCAGTCAATTAGCCTGCCTTTACGCCACCCAGCACCTAAAATCAAACCGGCTACAGTAATCTTGTTTGAAATTTTTTTAAAAATTCAGAGCGTGGCAACATTTTCATTTGTGTGTATTTGAAAAAACGTCACAAAATCAGGCCTTTTGCAAAGATTCTAGATTTAGTTGTTTATGTCGTGAAGTCAACCGTCTCAGTTCACGGTGACCATTAGCAGTGCTTGTTATGTCATGTCAATGCTACGATAAATTCGAGCCACATAAATTCGAGCGGTACCAGAGCCACATAAATTCGAGCGCGGCAATGGGTGACAGGAATGGGAAATGGATAGACTTTACTCACATAGGTAGACCCACCAGAATTTTTTCATGTTGTTCTTGTGAACTTGATCCGTTGATAAGTCCAGCTTTATATTTCAGGAAGATTTTGGGACCGGAATAAGGAAATCAGTAAATTGTCTACGATGTCGTTGCACTTTTGGGGAGAAAATCCACGTGGAAATTGGCAGATAAGAATTCGAAATGTGAAACCAAATGCTGGAAAACATGGTAGGCGGTTTGTTTTAAACGTTCTCTGTTGTGAATATGTTAAGCTTAGGTTCTGGAGATGAATATGTGGAAATAGCTGGAAAGGAATCTTTGTGAGAAAAATTTTAATGGTATTAAAGCAAGATCTGGGCAATTCTTGAAACTGGAAAGGTATTAAAGATCAATACTTGAAACTTGATAAAAAACGTGTCGTCCATCCTGCAAATTGTTGGCAAATAGCCAGATGTTAGATCACGTGAAACGATGAAAGCTCCTCCTGTTGAAAGAAAAACAGGCTTCTTTATCAGGGATGTCCAAATTTATTTTTGGGTAGGCCATAGACAGAAAACTTACTGCACAGGCGGGCCAGACGAATAGTTATGTAAATCTCCGGCAAAGTTTATATTGAACAGTAAATGGATTATTATTTACAGTTACATGAAAGAATAAAAGTTACACAAGCAGTCAAATGAAAAAATTATCAATGTGAAATGTTAGTTAATTTGTTTGTAGCAAGTCTATTGACATCTCACTTTAAACTTGTAGAGCTAAGTAAGGCCCAACGTGAAGTGAGGCCCAACGTGAAGTAAAGCCCAACGTGAAGTAAGGGCCAACGTGAAGTAAGGCCCAACGTGAAGTAAGGCCCAACGTGAAGTAAAGCCCAACGTGAAGTAAGGCCCAACGTGAAGTAAAGCCCAACGTGAAGTAATGCCCCACGTGAAGTAAGGCCCAACGTGAAGTAGGGCCCAACGTGAAGTAAGGCCCCACGTAAAGTAATGCCCAACGTGAAGTAAGGCCCAACGTGAAGTAATGCCCCAGGTGAAGTAAGACCCAACGTGAAGTAATGCCCAATGTAAAGTAAGGCCCAACGTGAAGTAAGGCCCAACGTGAAGTAAAGCCCAACGTGAAGTAAGGCCCAACGTGAAGTAAAGCCCAACGTGAAGTAAGGCCCAACGTGAAGTAAGGCCCAACGTGAAGTAAAGCCCAACGTGAAGTAAGGCCCAACGTGAAGTAAGGCCCAACGTGAAGTAAGGCCCAACGTGAAGTAAGGCCCAACGTGAAGTAAGGCCCAACGTGAAGTAAGGCCCAACGTGAAGTAAGGCCCAACGTGAAGTAAGGCCCAACGTGAAGTAAAGCCCAACGTGAAGTAATGCCCAACGTGAAGTAAGACCCAACGTGAAGTAATGCCCCACGTGAAGTAAGGCCCAACGTGAAGTAGGGCCCAACGTGAAGTAAGGCCCCACGTAAAGTAATGCCCATCGTGAAGTAAGGCCCAACGTGAATTAAAGCCCAACGTGAAGTAAAGCCCAACGTGAAGTAAAGCCCAACGTGAAGTAAGGCCCAACGTGAAGTAAGGCCCAACGTGAAGTAAAGCCCAACGTGAAGTAAGGCCCAACGTGAAGTAAGGCCCAACGTGAAGTAAAGCCCAACGTGAAGGAAAGCCCAACGTGAAGTAAAGCCCAACGTGAAGTAAGGCCCAACGTGAAGTAAGGCCCAACGTGAAGTAAGGCCCAACGTGAAGTAAGGCCCAACGTGAAGTAAAGCCCAAGGTGAAGTAATGCCCCACGTGAAGTAAGACCCAACGTGAAGTAAGGCCCAACGTGAAGTAAGGCCCAACGTGAAGTAATGCCCCCGTGAAGTGATGCCCCACGTGAAGTTAAGCCCAACGTGAAGTAATGCCCCACGTGAAGTAAGACCCAACGTGAAGTAATGCCCAATGTGAAGTATGGCCCAACGTGAAGTAAGGCCCAACGTGAAGTAAAGCCCAACGTGAAGTAAAGCCCAACGTGAAGTAAAGCCCAACGTGAAGTAAGGCCCAACGTGAAGTAAGGCCCAACGTGAAGTGAGGCCTAACGTGAAGTAGGGCCCAACGTGAAGTAAAGCCCAACGTGAAGTAAAGCTCAACGTGAAGTAAAGCCCAACGTGAAGTAAGGCCCAACGTGAAGTAAAGCCCAACGTGAAGTAAGGCCCAACGTGAAGTAAAGCCCAACGTGAAGTAAGGCCCAACGTGAAGTAAGGCCCAACGAAAAGTAATGCCCCACGTGAAGTAAGGCCCAACGCTGCCTCCGCGACACTCGTTTACAACGCATTATAAGCGATGACAACATAAATCAATCAGCAGCAAAATGGTGTGCCCCTAAAAACTTTGTTTTCCCGGCTCATAAAAATTTCCATCACGCCCCTGCTGCAAGCCTTAAAATGAGAAAGTATGCTTAATAATGAGTCATAAACATTCTAGCAGGGATGGCACTCCATAAACATTACACAAGGAGCAAATTGTTAAAAAATTTATTGACTACGCGCGGGCCACAGATTTTGATCTCGCGGGCCGTATTTTGGACACCCTTGCTTTATATATTCTTTCCTTAATATTATATCCCTTTATCTTGTTCCTTTCCTAGCATGGCTGTCTTATTTAAAAAAATGCAAAATGGAGCAATCTTTGTTAAACATAAAGGTGCAATATTTTAAATGATAAACAGAAGATTTAGTCGATAGTTTGAAATTATTATTTTCTCTCTCAGGAACTCTGTTTGACTGCAAAATGACGGTATATGGCTCTTCAAGTGATCCTATGGCTGGAAACACAGTCGTTGCATCGCAGATCAAGATAAACCAGACAAGTACACCATCACCATCAACAACGGGTATGTCTATGTGATTTAATCAAATCGATAAATGCTGTTACGCGCAATCGTCGCTGTGAATAGCTTTATTGTTAGTTTTTTGGCCACATGTTTTCCTGCTCGTGGTTCCAATTAGAAGGTTTTTATTTCTTTTGAGAAAAGACCAGTTTATATAGCTTCACGTAGTTTAATATCCAAAACTGCTAACGCTGTTTTCCGATTCTTATAATAGGATTTAGACATTTTAACCACTTTCCCTGATTTCCCCCCTCCTCTTTCATCCTTCTTGTTCTTTCCTCGTAATATTTTGTTGGTTATCTGTACAGCTTCTACTTCCAATTAACTCCACTTTCATTGCAACCTTCTTCTTTCTCTGCCATCCACCTTTTTTATTTATTCTCCTGCAGCTACTCTTTTTATTCTAGCACACTCCCCTTCATCATTTATTCACTTCCTTTTCTCTCCCTTCTTTTCAGCCTCAAGCACTTACGTTTTTTTTTCAAAAGACCTTTTTACTTCAGTTATACTAAGATTGAAAAGCATCAATAATGCTTTGCGGATTACTTTATCTTTTATTATAAACATGTTTTCATTTCGAGAGTTTAGCCAGCATTTTAAAGACAGGGCACCTTCTTTACCCTGGCCGTCATTCCTTTTTGGACATGTTCATCTTTATATTTTATACATTCCAATCAAAGAATTGCAACACATTTTACAGTCTACACTACTAACAAAACCTACTATACGACAATACAGGGCCCGATACAACGAGGAGCAAAATGCTTTGGCTAACCCGGGGCCATTACATCATGGCCATTCATCTTTTTTCGCTTCTTCTTCATCAAGAGACATTTGTCAATTTCTGATTCCCTTTCAATTGTTTTCCATCATCGTGAAAATATTTCTTCGACTCCATTGTTGTTGAGATATGAATTATGAGTTGGCAGACATTCGTAAATATTTACCGCAGGTTTAGAATAAGATGGCAAGAATGACATTGAAAGAGACATCACTGTTAAATTATGTTAAACTTCATATAAGATGGATTTGACATCGTCACAAAAAACGGGAGACAGTGAGAATAAAAACTCGTTAGTTTTTATTTCAAGTTTCCTAAGTAATGCTTGTATTAACATAGGTATATATTTTGAAAAAGAGATCAACCAAGTGCTAGTACTATTTGTCAATACCAAAAGCGAGGTTGAAATGTTAGGCCATTAAGGAGCATTTTAGGTGATCACTGGTTTGGCCACAAAGGCGTATATCAGGTTATGTTTTGTTCGGCTACGAAGGAGCATAACAAAGATAGATGATGCCTTTTTCCGTGTGTTTTCAGAAACCTCTTACAATTTTACCTTACAGGAAGAACTGACTTAAAGATCTAGTGCAAACAGGAGGAATCTCTACCAGTGTAAGCCATGCAAAAGTTCAGCGTATTTTCAATAGATTAGCAAAACGCTGCAATAAGAAAGGGGTACAAAAAATGGCACACTGTGATAAACAAGGGAAGGGGATGATTTTGGTTGTTAGGCTATTAGTTTGGACAGACACCTTGATTATAATTTTTTCATACACACACGTTGATCCTTTTTCCTTATCTCGAATCATACGGACGCAAAGAATTAAATTTATTACAGGCCAATGCAGAAGAGTTATCCCCAAATTTTTTTCACATTCTTTTATAATGCAATCCAGAAACCTCATTGCACATGCACATACCAATGGGCACACAATCTTGGGTGCAGTGTCTGTATCACCTCGCAGACCTTTTCAGTTCTTCATAGACCGAGTCATCATCTTGTGAAATTACTCTCCTTATCTGTCCTGTCATTGAGACCCCATTCACTCTGCACTAGATGAATCATCATGCAGACAGCCTTCCCGTTCACACGAGATCTCCCTACCCGCATAAATGTTTGTAAGACTAACTTTTATCAACCTACAAGCTCATACCAATGCTTTCTTTCATTTTTGCTTCGTCCATATTTGCAAAAAATATCTCTTTTGCCCCCTTTGATAATGGTTCCTGTCTAATACTTGACGTTGATACAGTGTAATATCTGCTGCTGTGTAATACAGTGTAATATCTGCTGCACTTGATACTGTTCTTCAGGCTAACTCCAATATCTTAGTAGTACACTACAAGGCTAACCCTAGTAGCAAAATGATAATACACAATCTGCTGCTGTGTAATACATTGTAATATCTGCTGCTATATAATACAGTGTAATATCTGCTGTTCTTGATACTGTTCTTCAGGCTAACTCCAATATCTTAGTAGTACACTACAAGGCTAACCCTAGTAGCAAAATGATAATACACAATCTGCTACTGTGTAATACATTGTAATATCTGCTGCTATGTAATACAGTGTAATATCTGCTGTTCTTGATACTGTTCTTCAGGCTAACTCCAATATCTTAGTAGTACACTACAAGGCTAACCCTAGTAGCAAAATGATAGTACACAATCTGCTACTGTGTAATACATTGTAATATCTGCTGCTATGTAATACAGTGTAATATCTTCTGTTCTTGATACTGTTCTTCAGGCTAACTCCAATATCTTAGTAGTACACTACAAGGCTAACCCTAGTAGCAAAATGATAGTACACAATCTGCTACTGTGTAATACATTGTAATATCTGCTGCTATGTAATACAGTGTAATATCTTCTGTTCTTGATACTATTCTTCAGGCCAACTCCAATATCTTAGTAGTACACTACAAGGCTAACCCTAGTAGCAAATAATAATTGCTTCTTTTCCAGCCTGACATAAAATGCTCGATACCGTATAGGCTGAGCTCTGTACGCTTAAGGGTATAGAGCAGGACAGTTCTAATTTGCAGCTCCGAGTTTGACACGATCATTGGGTACCTATCGATCGTGAATTCTGAATGAAATCTTAAGTATATATTGGTTAATTTTGATTTACCAGATATTGATTGCAAAAATTTTGAGCGAAATTGAGAACGTTTTAAGCGAAATGTACAATGTTCTCCTACTCCAAATTTGTGTAAGGTACAAGTGATTGAACATCTAAGATTAAAACTTGTGCAAAATGGAATCCGTGCTATATTACTATTTCGTAATTAGAGTCGAAGATAAGATAGAAACAGCGTTTATTGATTTCAGCAACGTTGCCATCGACTTCTCCAAGAAAGAGCTCTTCTAACCTTTCCAAATCAACTTCTTCAAAACCTCGTAACATTGCTACAAGTAAGACAAATTTATTTCTTTCAGTTGCATAGTCAATCCATCACCACATTTTTTTGCAAACTTCGTGTGTGTGTGCCCCGGATTTGCACCCTCCTTATCTTTCTCTATCTGTTGTCTGTGTATCTGTTTTCTGTCAATCTGTGGTAAAATCCTCGGGACATAGATGTAGGAACCGGGGGGCTAATAAGTGCGCATTTGCAGCTCATAGAGGTTCCCATTTTGCTTACATGCCTCTCCCACTTGTATAATGCTTGTCAAGTCTGTCTCATAGCATGAATCCCGCCATATGAAATTTGTTGTCCATATTCAATTTATTTTATATCAAGTCTTACCTTGCTTGGATTTTTTTTAATCTTGGCCAGATTTCCAAATTGCCAAAGCAGCAGAAAGGAATTCTTCTGTACTTCCGTCGCACTGTCATCCAAAGTGTGTACTTTCTGCTTGAATCGATCAAACCCCTTCAATTTTTAATGCTAGTTGGAGAACCCATTATCATTGAAGAATTTGCATAGGGGTACGGCCAAATGTGGCTACCGGACGATTGCCGTTGATAGCTTGCCTAGCTTATTAACACTCGTATTCCTTAGATTCCCTTCTTGAAGATTTGTCTAAAATTATCAAGTTTTTTCTTAATTATTTTAGTTGGCGCATCGTCAAAGATAACAGTGGTTTTGTTCGTTTTTGTTGTTTCTCTTGGCCATCTTATCTGAGTGGCGCTCACAGCTTTAGAAGATTTGTAGCTGATCAACGAAGCTATGACAATTTTATTCAGCTGCAATTGTGCTTTAACGATCATCTGCTGAGGACGTCGTTTTGTTTCGATATATGACGTGACCGTGTAGTTTTTGTTTCTTGAGCTTTTTATCAATCGCAGATAATCCTTTGCCAGTACATTACCGGTACGGTATCTTAAGTTTGCATTTTCAGCACTTTGGCCATTTATGCAAAGGAGGTTTGTAGCAATGCCCAAACAAGTCTTGCATGAATATTTTTTCATTGTATTGGTTTTGTGTAGTGTGCATTGTGTAGATATATTGTTATTTTGATACGGGTTTTTTGTCGCGACAGTAAGATTGATTGTTAATATTTGCTTCGATGAGCTGGGCTCATTAAGAAATGTTTTAGATATAATGATATCGACCAGAGAGCTTACACACACGTTCTATATGAGAAGTAAATCATTTGCCTTACATGAATATAATTTTCGTCACAAGGAACAAATTTTATCTGCGTTAGTTTTCAGATGTAAATTTTCGTATGTCTTTAAGCCTTTACTACTCTCATAACAGGCAAAGATCAAGTTTATAATAACGCTAAGCCCCTTAGAGAACATTTTAAGATGTTACCATTTTAAGACGCTAAAACCTTTAACCGTTTTCTCCTAATCCGTAATTTTCCCGCGGTCCCTGCTCAGAGGCTATAGATTTGTTCATTTAAGAAATTTCATGTTTATTATTTTGAGTTAAGGCATTCAGGAAGGGTGCTAGGTTGTGTATATTCACTCTTTGCTAAGGCTAGGCCATTTTCTTGGCTCCACCAACAAGATGCCTACGAGATTCATACCCAGCCTTCTTTCTTTCCATTTCTTCGTATATGTTGGCTTGCGTCACTAGGAGTCTTTTTTTCATTGCTACTATCCCACATTACATATTATCATCAGACTGTCATCTATGTTAACTTCATATTCTAATGCTTTCTTAACGGGGGGCACTGTGAAAGGGGCAAGGAGGCGAGTTTTTGTCTCGGATCTTTGACCATTGTATACCTGTTCTTATAGCATCTAAAGCCATAACTACCAAAAACGGTATCATGTCATTAAGTTTCCAAGGGCCTAAAATCTAGTTTACGTCTTACAAAATTTTGTGAGATAAGCAAATAGTTAAACCTGACACAATTGTCATCGTCTTTTCTCAAGCCCCATGTCTAGCCATACTTCATCTACCCTAATTCAGTCTACACCCCTCCTCCCTACAAATCTGAAGCAATGACGTCACTCTTTCGATAACTCGAAATCATTGCAAAACATATATCTTGTAATATACCATCTACCTTATAAAAAAGTTACTGACAGCTCAAGACTTTTTCGCTAATAAGTCATTTTATTGACACTGACCCTCTAACCGTATTGCTTTTTTCAAACTAAAAATTTACATAGAAAATACGACAATTTGTATCTTTTATCGCAAATAAACGTAAAAATGATTGTTAATAAATAATGAACACTGATTGTGAATAAGATTCGATTTTATATGAAATTAGATATACGACGATACGATGTTCTTTGTTTTTCTAGTAAATAGAAAGATCGATGATTTTATGGCAAATCTTAGCTAGTAGAAATTATACAGCATTCCAACGGAGGGTCCAGGGGTTGCTTCAGAAATTCGTTAACAATGAGGTTGACCACCACATACCAATATTCTGATAGGGGTGTCATGCTACGGCTGGCTGTGTATCCCCAATTAATCCTTTTTGTTACTACCCTCGCTACCAAACTTCCGAAGGCTTTAGCATACTGAGAAGCAGTGCTGATCGAGCAGAATTCTGGTCCTTCCTCGCGACGTGATTCATACGCCTCTAGAAACTTAGCACTGATTCATCCAAAAAATTGAAAGCATGTTTTAGCCGAAGATTTAACCGTTTATTAACTGCATGAAAGTTGTTTCTTGAGGGATTCGTTGGGCTTCAATGCCTTTTTGATTACAACAATTATTTCATTTTCATTGTTAGGGCTGAAAAAAACTTTAGTCGCTTTGCATTGCATTGCATTGCATTGCATTGCATTGCATTGCATTGCATTGCATTGCATTGCAATTGCATTGCATACATTGCATTGGATATTTCATTGCCTCGGTTCTTCCAAAGGTCAAAATCGTTTTGAAGACGATAGCTTATTATTCTTCCTTATAAAAACATTCCTTATTCTCCAAAGATAAGCAGATGTTCTTGCTCTGCGATAATGCTCATTGTATTTGATTCTTATCTCCCGGACGTATTATCCGGTAATAAAATGATTTGTATCTTGTACCCTGACAAAGCAAGCTGCACCATAGACCTAGGCGCCGGGTGCTTACGAGCCCCGGGAGCACAAGCCCCAGTTTTTGAATAAAAATTAAAAGCCTGTGTCTACTCACAGAGGCTCTCCTTTCTGCCTACATGTTCCCCCCCCTTTTTAATTGCTTCCCATGTATATGATCAGGATCATTCCAGGTAAAATGAGATCTATCATTCTTTCCCTGTCCTGCCTAAAAAATGTAGACAGTCTCCCAAAAGTTTGTGTAAGCTAGGGTAGCTGTCGATTTGGTTTCACGATAGGAAGTTTGTTCTTTCGACTTATTTTGATTCCCCTATTTTGGTCACTGTTTCGTCCATTTTAAAAATGAAAGGCACTCGTCGGTTACATGATTCTTCATCCACAGCATTTGGTCAATCACAGCTTTACTGTTTTGTTTCAAGACTATAGTTTAGGTAAAAGCTTTGTTTTCCATTGTAACAGTATAGTACCAGTAAAACTAAAGCTTTGTTTAGGGTTGCTTGCTGAAGGCGTACCTTGGTCATTGAAAACTTGATCAGTAAAAAATATTCGTTGCCAGGATTCTGTATCTCGTTATTCACCTTTCCAAATTACAGACAGGCTTTAATAGGAAATCATACCAAGATTTGAGCAGTATTAGGCATTTTCGTCTACTATAAACCTTGAAGAATTCGCAAATTAGCTTTAATATTATCCATAGTGCGTTTATAATATCATCTAACAAAATTTCGGTGTTTAAATAATAAAGAAAACAACTTCAATAATAGAAATAAATGCAAACACATTTATAAAAACTCAATTTAATGTTTTCTGACAAACGTAATATTAAGCGTTTTTATAAGTCTTGCAAACAAATAATAATTTTAACAAATAGGTTGAATTCAACTAGAAAGGAGTAGTTGTCACTCGGTAAAGTCGAGGTTAAAACATTGAGATCGAGACTTTTGACAATCATGAATAGTGATGCCATTTCATTAAGTTCTTTACTGAAACAAAGCTATCAATTTTGATTTTATATGCTCTTATATAATGAAAGCTTTTTTTACATTCGTGAATCTATGCTTTTGGGTTAGATTTTGCATTTTCGTCAAATTAACTTATCTTGGTTGAATAAGCCAACGTATGCAAGTTTGACGGCGTTAAGACTTTCCCAGTTATTTACTTCCAATTTTACAGGTTTTAAAAACAACGATCAACTGCATGATTTAGGTCTAATTTTGTGTCAAGCAATATTCAGTTTCAATGGTACAAAATTTAATCGTTTGTTTGTTGCTTTGTAATTTAAAACAACATTTCATGGCTCGAGGGGAGCCCTTCTACTTTGTCAGAATGCAGATGGTGTCTTGTTTGTCCTTTCCATGGCAAATTAGATAAATGGCAAATTCTATACAATATGGCTGGGGCTTTTCCACGAAAGTTCATCGTCTTTAAACCTTCCAACATCATGCTCACTCATCCAATCAACTTTGTTGGGTCTAACTAGACCAAAAAATGAAATTTCGAAGAAATCTGCAATGTTTTGTATGACTCCGCGCCTAAAATGAACAGTAATTAGAAGAAATTAAATCTTATTCAAATGATACTCTATTGCTATTAAAAAAGGAAAGCTCTCATACTTCGGTCATCCATTTTTCGCCTTACAGTCAGGGCCGCCGTGAAGTTTCGGAGTCCCTGGGGCAAAACCGATGAACGATGCGAGCACGCCCTTCAAACTAGAACCTTCCTCATGTCATTTTTCTGCAATCGTTTAAAATGTTTAACTTTTTTGGCGTAAATCTAATACATCTGATAAATTACATTCTTAAAACGGAATTCATTACACCCCAAGACCTCGCAGCAATTTGTCCCCGTTGCCCCCCCCCCCCCCCCCCGACTCGGCGGTCCTGCTTGCAGTACGTCTTGAAAAAACTATTGCAGAAAATCAAAGTCTAAATGGAAAAAATCGAGTTTGCTATAAGCTGTCACGTGAAAGACTGGCTACCAATTACCACCATTTGCAACTGACCAGACTGGTGACCAGATTGGTAACCGTGAAAGACTGGTTACCAATAACCACCCCTGTTCACCCCAAGCACCCCCGTTCTTAGAAGTCACGTGCCCATTGGCTCCAGAGAGGACAGTTCCGGGACCAAAAAAGCCAGACCTTTTAAGTTACCTTTTAAACGAATGGCAGATCGCACTCTGATCTCCTTGGCTTCGGATATTTTATACTGGAGTATTTTGTTACTTACGCAGGGAATCATTTACGATATGCGATTGTAGAGGGGCTCTTCATATCAACTCTAATCTGTTTAGATTTTTTGAGTATAAAAGGCCAGTGTTCAAAGTTAAATAACTGCAAGCGTAAATTTCATAACACGAAACTTTCTTCTTCCAAAATCCGTTTCTGTCGATGGGACTTTAGATTTCGGAATGTAAGCAGTATCTAGAGATTTAAAATATAGTCAAAGTATCTGCCATTTAGGCATTTTCACAATACGTACGTGAAAGGGCTTCGAATTTGTCCAGTTGTGTTGTCGTTGAAGTGCCTATACCTTGCTGCATTCATTCTTTCATTTGTTGTCATTCCTAACCAGAATATCTGAAAATACCAGCAAAAATATTGAATTTTCGAAATTTCCAAGTCCGTACAGGCAATGGGATGTAATATCATATTTCTTACAACTCATTATATAGCATTCGAGGCAGTTTTCAGAGAGGTTCTGTAGCATTAACACTCGAAATCACTGCAAACAAATACTTGAAATTTTAGAACATGGCACTTATTACGGATTTTCATGACAAAAACATCATTACCGATTTGTGCAGAGATTTACATGCATAGACTTCGGGCATAAAGGGCGAGACCTGCTTTGCTTGTAAAAACACAAGTAACAGTAATTGCTTCATCAAATACTCTTTCATCGACCAATTAGCCTCGACTCTCTAAATAGCCATTTTCACCATCACTAAACTTCGCAAAATTCTTCCACAAACTCTATTTTGCTATTAATGCTTATCTGATTTTTCTATCTTATTCTAAATTTCTTATAAATATCGGATTGCTCTCAAGTAAACACTAATCTGATCCACCAAGAAACACAAGATTTCAGATATTTTTTGAAACCCAGATAAACAAACCCTTAGAAATTAGTATCTTTTCTCTAGTCTTTATAATGCTTTCGCACCAATAGACTTTTATCTTTCAGATCACAAATTAACAACATTGATGATAAACCTCTCGCTTAGAACTCTCTTTATTTCCTATGCAAGGGCCTGCTTGTACCCTCCCCTATCACGATTACTAAACAAACGCACAGCTCTGATTTTCAAAACGGCTCAGAAATGAAAGAAAACGATCTAAATTTTCCATCAGATATTTTCAAACTAAATAAAGCACAATAATTTTTGCAAAAATCATAAATTCCCTGGTCAATACAACTTTCTCTGGTCAATTGCTGTGCATACAGTAAGTACCCACATGTAGGAAACCTCCTTGCATGAGAAACAGGCCTCATTTTCTTCAAAAGGGGATCCTTTTATTGAAAAAAATTAAGGCCTGAAATAAAAAATGTTCCTTATTTTCAAGTATAAAAGTCGTGCTTTGCATTTTTTGTCTATGCTCTAGAATGGCTGTAGTGTGTGTATTTTATTGATGTGAACAATCATACTGTAAATTATGTATTATATACTACAACCAGTAACATTGAATACACATCCATGGACGGTACTGTCATATAGCTTGTTTTGATTTGTGATTTGACTTGACAGTATCTATTGATGATAAACTTAGACCCTGATGACGAAAAGCCTGTGTTTATAAGAAACTTTCTGAAACCTCAGTTTAAAAAGCGGCCTCTTATGTGCGAGTACTTACTGTAATCACCGCAAGAAAGTCACTAGATGACAGACCTGCATATGCATGGACTCACACAACAAAACAGCATTAAAAGGAGTTACCACCTGCAATTCTAGCAGCATTTCATAAAAAGATATATCCTTTATCTTTGCATGATTAACTTTTCCAGAACGCGAACCTACCTGGTAGCAATTACAAATGACTAGAGCACCAACCCAGAGACCATGGAACAGAGCATGTGCATAACCCCATGTCACCCATGGGGCACATTCACAAACTGTGACAATAGATGAGAGTATCCCTTTCTTGAATGGCCCACAGTGAATGTTGAAATCTAGAACCAAATCAAGCTCTTATATATAATCGAATCTGTATCAAATATAAATAAAATCTCAAATAAAGTAGAAGATAGGCTGAAAAATACATGTTCTCTGTTACTCCGAGTTTCGTGCTTGCACAGCGATCAGACAGAATATATTGAAAAATATTTCTGCTACCAAGGGATAAATGTACAAAAGGTGTGATAAATTTTCACATAGAAAATGCTGTTAGCTAGAGGTTAATTAGAAGTCAATTAGAGGTTAATTAGTTAGATGGTTTATTGTTATAGAGAACATGTCATATTTTTAGATTATTTTCTACTATATCAATTGTCCTGTGCTAATACACATCGAGCACTGTTATGTCAGAATAGACAACGCAATCTGGAATTAACCTCAACTATAAATTGAAAGCAAGCGAACTTAGAAGAATGCTTCAAGAAAAACTGGTTCGCATACGTAATTGAAACTTTACTTCGTTCCACTGCTTTCGAACAAACAATAAAAAAAGTTCTTTATATGTAAAAAATGATACACATTCAATCGATGATACAGATGAAACGCAAATATCTAGGTAGTGCATATATGACAACCAAGTCAAAGATAATTCTAAGATCACATATTGTATTCAAATGTGATATTTAAATAACATGACATCAATAATTTAAGTATTTGCACCGATTGGTAGCTTTTAAGAAAAACTGTAAAAATGGGAAGAGAAGAATCTTAGCTGAAGCTGCGAAAGGGAAACTGAAATGGATCTGTAGAGTATCTTGTATTATTGGGCATCAGCTAATAAAAAAGGTGGAATGTGAAAGGAGCTCATTTCGTCATGACAATATAATTTCTGATCTGCTCAATATATGGCAGAAGTTGAAATCAATTGACATGGCATGAAAAATGACACGATACCTAGATTTATACTTATAAAAACAACATACATGTAACTGCTGCCCATTGGTACCAAACATTCATCCAGAACAAGAAAAATATATACCAGAAGAAGAAGTGATGGTTTTTGTAACCTAAAATGGAAGATATACAATGATATTTAATGCCATTGATGATTTTGATACACATCTCGAAGAAGAAAAGTTTGAAAAAATAAATATCAATTGCAAATGTTACTGTCATTGCATAAATAAAAGCGAGAGGAAAAAGTAATTTGCTATAAGATTGCTATATGTAAACAGGTCGTTTATCTGATTTTAAGAATTTACGTTGAAGATTATTCATAAGAGCAAACGACGAAAAACTGTCACTCTAACGAGGCCCCGAAGGCTAGCGAGAAAACGTGAAGTTTGTTCAGTTGCATTTATTGGATATTTTTTCAAACTTTTCTTAGGAGAGACTCTTAGTCGATCGTGGTTACTTTTGAATAGTGCTCAATTCAAGCTTGGGCAGTATTGGTATTTTGACACTGAGAAGGTGTGTTTATCGACAGGGCCACCAAGAGGAGGGCAAGGGGGCAAATTGCCCCAGGGCCTCCAGGTCTAGGGGGCCTCACAAGTAACTATTTCTGTTTAAGAATGGAAATAATTGAAAGTAAAGAATTATGCCTAAAAAAAGTAAAGCGCATTTAACGATTGCAAGTTAATAGCTTAATTAATTAATGATAGTAGATCATGGCTCTCCTCGATTAGTTGACATATGAAGGGAGCTCCTATTTAAGTATTTCCCATAATACATTTCATTATATTTCTGAATTTATATATATGTTTTGTAGTAACTTTATGGTTCATTGTGGTAAATTTCTGTTCATTGTGATAGTCTTTTATGAAAGTTATTTGTTATAATTTAAATAGAAGTTTACACTTCATAATGTGGAATTCAAAACATGAAACCTACCCACTCTCAGTTAAAAAACCATATCAGTGCTGGATGAAGAAGGAATACTGCATCAACCCTACACCCACAAAATTACATAGTTATTCACCTACACTTCTTCTTACCTACACAGTTATCAACCCACGGACAGTGATGATCCATTCTTGCAATACATTTGTTACAAACCCCACAATGCTTTGAGCGCACTGGTCGTCGTATCTGAAATAATTACAATCGAAGTCCATTTACAAGAGGTTTAAAGGTCTACTACACAATAACCAAAAAATAAAAATTCTAAAATCCATTTTAAACTCCATTTTAAAATAAAGTTTAAACTTACAAATTCATGAAAATGTAAACAAAAAGAGTTCATAGAGAGGATAAAGTAACAAACACCATTTAAAAACCTCCCTTTCGCAGCAGAAAAAAGTTTGTTTTGTTAATTCTCTTCTGCTGGCATGCACAAAGACTTTGAAACCAGAACTTTGAAACTTACTAAACATGTCGCACAGAATCTTCCAAAATCTTTTAGCATTCCCGTTTCAGCTAACTCAATAATATTCTGAAATAAAAACATATTGAGCTACATCAACAAGACTGAGTGTTGTCGTTACATCAGCTGTATGTTAAGTTGCTGATTTGTGCAATACGAAGAAGCAGTAAATAAACAGTTTACGTCCGATGTATGAAATAATCTTCAATAAAGGTTAAAAATATTAGTCATAAAGAAGACCCCAGCAAAATCAAAGTTACTTTGTTAATGGTTAATACTATGAACGATTGACAATGTAGTTAACGGATTTTAAGAAATTATAAATGTAATATATAATAACGCAAAATAACGTGTCAATTGCATTTGTAGAACAATAATCAAATATGAATGGGAGATACCAAATGGTCATAATCGAATCGTATTGTTTTGCATTCTTTTGTGCTGTGTTGTTTTGTGTTGTGTTGTGTTGTGTTGTGTTGTGTTGTGTTGTGTTGTGCTGTGTTGTGCTGTGTTGTATTCTGTTCGGTTTTCAGTCATCTCTCATTGCGCTGTGTTGTTGTGTTGTTGTGTTGTTATGTTTGTTGTTGTGTTGTATTGTATTGTGTTGTATTGTGTTGTATTGTGTTGTATTGTGTTGATTTGTGTTGTGTTGTGTTGTGTTGTGTTGTGTTGTGTTGTGTTTTGTGTTGTGTTGAATTTTTTTGTGTTTTATTCAACAGTACCGTATTCTCTTTGAATATCAATAGAAATAACTTTTTATTATTCCCCTACTTAGGTTTCAAAATATACCCACACGAAACAAACTGGTTTGATAAATACTACGACAATCACTGCAACAAATACAGCACACGGAACACAAAGGAAGCACCAAGATTGTAATGAAAAACACAATAAGTTACCTTTTTCTGTTCTGACGGGGTATTCTTAATGACTCCTGGATCTGACAACCACGATTTATAAAAAAAGTAAAACAGCCCAGTTGCATTTAATGTAAACAAAAGTAAAACTTTTGGACCGATGACTTAAATTGATGTCAAGGAAAATTTCAGGTGAACCGATAGAAATTAAATACAGAGAAGCATTCCCTGAACCATACAAAAAAATTTATGCAAACATACTAAACCAAATAAAAATCTTAATATCTACATTGCCTTTCTATTCTCTGTTAAATTTCAATATCTTCATGTTTACATCGCCATTTCTCTCCTGCAATTTTCATCCATATCTAGTTTATATCGGTATAATCAAATCAGTGTGGGCACTACAACACGTTCGGTACCAAAATGCACAAAGTACCATTGCTTACATACAAATATGGTCATTGAAAAGATACATGACCAAAAATAAATGAAAAGCGTCGCGAACATGAATGCCTTTGTAGCAAGGTAGGTACCAAGAGCGATTGTGTTGTCTTCCATATCTCTGAAAAACCTAGTGTGAACAAGACAACAATCAAGTCAAATAACAATATATACAATCATATGCAACATAGAACCGTCCTAATCATATGCAACATAGAACCGTCCTAATCATATGCAACATAGAACCGTCCTAATCATATGCAACATAGAACCGTCCTAATCATATGCAACATAGAACCGTCCTAATCATATGCAACATAGAACCGTCCTGATCATATGCAACATAGAACCGTCCTAATCATATGCAACATAGAACCGTCCTAATCATATGCATCATAGAACCGTCCTAATCATATGCAACATAGAACCGTCCTAATCATATGCAACATAGAACCGTCCTAATCATATGCAACATAGAACCGTCCTAATCATATGCAACATAGAACCGTCCTAATCATATGCAACATAGAACCGTCCTAATCATATGCAACATAGAACCGTCCTAATCATATGCAACATAGAACCGTCCTAATCATATGCAACATAGAACCGTCCTCTTCTATACAGCAATGTGATACATATGTATATAATTTGGCGTAAAGAACTTTTAGTGGCCTAGAACCGTACTTTTCTGTTTTAAGGCTACTGAAAACCGTCTTGTTCAATACACCAACTTGTGTACAGCTTTGTCTTTACGGGCATCAAGCACAATCATTTTGAGCATGGAATTTGAAAAGGGCGAGCACAGCAGAGTTAAGCAATTTTTCAGATAACCCAGATTGTGCTAAGGTCTATAATGGTGACATGTTTCAGATAAATGCTGATAAAATAAAATTTTATCAGAGTTAATTTCACGAGGGATGTTGTAGAATTTGATTTACTAAGGGTATTGTTTTTATCCGAATTGTCTTTTCCCCTTTGGGTGCCAATTATTCTGCTTTCATTCTGGTATTCGGTTCTTATATCTCCTTTTCAATGCATTTGGAATATTGGGCAGTAGGAGTTCTGTATTCTGGGTTTTTACACAGAGTTGTTGGGCCCTAGGCTCTGATGAGGACTTTTCAACGCTCTTCTCTTTTCCCGTACCCTCCCTCCCTTTTTGGTATCTAGCAAAGTGTGTTTTCTTTTTAAAATCTTATCAAATCTTTTGCTCTGTTAGGAATTACCTACATCACAGTATTCTTTAAAAGGTCCTGTGGTTTTTTAGTTTAGGATGGGTCCGGCTTTAATCCTGTCATATTTTGTCTTTCTCTCTCATACCTTGAGTATCTAAGGTAGGATTGGTGCATCGGCTCCCTGGTGGAGAAAAGTGATCTTTTTTGTCCACTCCCTGCCCAGAAGTTTAAACCGCTTGCTCTTGAGTTAATCAAGCTACTTAGATATGGCTTTTATAGTTTAGGGTTTTTATTTGGGTTAGGTGGAGCAACTTGTGACGATGCACCAAGGGCCCAACGTTGCTCCCTGTGATGAGGGAATGTAGCTTCAGTGCCTGATTTGACGAGGGTTGGGCCATGTTATTTCTGAGGGAGCTATTTTTTATCAAAGTGAAAACATTCCTCTGTTGATGCTATTTTCCCGAGTAGAAAATCAATTGGCAGAGCTCAGTCGTCCTTTCATCTAGCAGTTTTGGCATCAATCCACCTACAAACGAAAAAGCCGCTATTGTTAAGACAAAAGGAGATCGTTTTTCTCTTGGAATATATAGTAGTGATTTTCCTTTAGACGCGCAGGACTGACTGGATAACTTTACCAGTCACGTGCTCGCGTTTTTCTGATTGGCCTATTTCGATCCACAACTGAAGATATATTCTCCATCTTGTTCTTTTAGAATCTTATTCTGACGTCTTTTACCCTCTGTAAAATGCTTGCTTTTTTCAAAGCCATTTCCGAATCTTGTACCGCCAAAAACTTGTTCACAGTTTCAATTAGTCGAACAATCTCATGAGAAAATTGGAACAAATTTGAATCAAGCCCGATTGCGGTTCAAAAGAAAAATCTAATCAAGTGCCTACCTTAAAAAATAGTTGAGTGAGAAGCCAAGAAGCCCCATCATTAAAACAGTGTATATCCACCAAGGAGAATGTTCCAAAATAGTGCCTGATAGAAACATGGCCATTATTGGTATGAAAACACCAAGCTTTCTTTTGTTTTCCTGCAACAGAGCAAGGGAGAAGCAAATAAGAAAATTTTCTTTACATATTTCCTTTGAAAATAAATTTAGCTGGTTAATTTCTCGATTAATTAAAAAGTGCAGTGGCATGCTCCGACAGGACATGAATGGGGAATTAAAGCGTCCCTTCCCTCCACTAGCTTACAGGTCCAGCCTGACCCGACTGGTACCACCTGGCAGGGTTCCCTAGCTCAGGGCTACGAGCGATGGCCAACGGCTAACTCGGCGGGAGACCGGCAATATTTCTATTTTTCATGAAATAGGCTTGGCAGTTGGTCAGGATGACGCGTGGGGTTTCTCTGCTTTTGTAAATATGTAGAGGCAACGAAATGGCATGTTTTGAAGGTATCAAAAAGATATCAACGCCTTACCCTTTTATGAAGCAATGAAAATAAGAATGAAGTTCTTTCGTTTCCTCGAGCTGACAAAGCAGCTTTGATTTGCTGGGATATCCAATTATTGCGGCGCTCATTGGCAAGTTCTAGCGGCGTCAATTTCTGTTGGTAGAAATCAGGACATCATAAAGGAATTCATGGTAAAGCAGCTACCTGAAATGCTTGATATGCTCGTACGCACACACGAGATTGCGGTATGTTCGTACGCGTACACAATTTCGCTGCTTGCATCTACTGATATGTTTTTAAACTGGTATACTCAAGGTTGCTGAATACAGTATTATAGGCCTAAGAATTCTATCACCCTCGATGCATACGCTGGTAATGAAAGCATCAATTCAAGCACAGAGGCTAGAAAGCTCTAAAATGCAGAACAAAGTTCGCTAGGAATCTCTAAAGTGTTCGCTAGGAATTTCTAAAGTGTGCTTTGAACGATACTTATTTTAATAGATGTTGTATATTTGTACCATTTCTGTGAAATATACGAAAGACTGTGTTAATTGCAATAATCATATTGAGACTACTTTTGCGAGACGAAATCATGTTCGCCCGTAACCGTAACTTTATTAAGGTAACTGTATAAAAAACATTTCAATAAGCAATAGACAATTTATGACAAAACCATATGTATATAAAGAGCTTTTAATCATATATACAATGCCTTAACATAGGAAATGTTATTATCAAGAAGATTAGTCTCTGGTACCAACTTAGAGTAAGAAGGAGATACTTTGGATGTCTTACTTGCTCATTTCTCGAGTCTAGACTTGCTCCGGATCGCAAAAGAGGCTTGATAGCATTCGTGTTGCTGGATGCGACAGCCCAGTGAAGAGCTATTGGAACAAATGAAATATGTTTATCTCAGTTTCATCTTTCTGATAGTTTTCAATTGAAAGGCCATGCTAAGAGGTCTTGCATGTGAGACCATAACACGATTGTCACTAATGTTGATTAATGTACGATAAATTGGGATGAAATCCGAAATCAGATAAAACATTATATAAAACTGAAATAAAAAATATTTTGCATGACAGGAAAAACGAGCACTAGGAAACCAACATGGTATATGACCTCATAAATAGCGTTAAAGACAAGATAGCGAAGTGATAAACGACTAGAAAGCGTAGTCAACTGAAGTATCAATGTAAGCCAGTGCAAGACCGCGTAAGCTCTTTTCCATTCGAGGTAGATATAAACGAAGGACATGAAGCACTGCGGAACAGGCAAATAAACAGAGTACGGCCTCTGAATGATTGGAAGGAACAAAAAACATGTCGACTATCAAATAAAAACAACTTCCATGTTTTTTTAGAGTGCTCCGAAAATCAACACTTCGTATATTGATGCTTCGATCACAGGATAGCGTGCATTAACGTTCACTAATTAAACCTCTTCTATGATACAATTATTAAACCAGACTAATTAACAATTGCACATAAAGTGTTGTTCGCAGAGACCTTCTCTTGTGAGAAAAGCACATAGGCCTAGACGCTACTTTATAATTAACCTATCACTCAGAAAATTAAAAAGTAGATGACACAGCTGAATAAACAGGAATGAATTTTTTCCTGACCTGTATTCTTGTGTACCCTGTCAGCCAGGTTCACAGATGATCCAAAGTTCAGCAGAATTCTTATTGTATCAATTCTGAAATAAATTGAATTTTCAAAATTACTTTTCCTTAACAAAACCATAACATTTCTGAAAAGGGTTCAAAATACAAAAAACTATCAAACCTTGATTCTTGTGATACTACAAGCTACTATGAGTTAAATAGATTACTGTGAAATACTCAGTGCTACTACCAGTTACTATGAATAACTATTAGTTACCGAGTTACAATAACAGCAGGTGATAAAACTAAAAGTTTTTCTAAACCATGGTATTTTCTCATGCATAATAAGCAGTTGAATTATTAAATGGGTATCAAGCATTTTGCTGCAAAAGAAATGACAATATTAAGCTTATCAAGTTTATCAAACTTAACCATATTGTCTTACGACATTGCTAACAGGAGGCAATATCTATTTTCAGAAATGCTCAACAACAGAACATATACATAATTCTAAATACACAAATTCTAAACATACAGTTTACACAAACCGGCTGAAAATTCTGCAAGATCAGATGAAACCGGTACCAAAAATGGATAATTTCTGTGAATAAATCTAAACTGCAGGCATCTATCTACGGCAATTTGTGCAATATCTACATAAATCCATAATTCTAAATATAAAATAGAATTCTACTTGATTTAGTTTATCAAGCTTAATTCATGAATGCAATTCAAATAACTTTTGTTTCCAACTAAAAGGTATTTACCCAAAGCTTCTATATGCTGCCCACATTAATGGTGTCATGCCATTCTTGTCAAGCAAATCAACATCCTAAAAAGAAAACTTGTTGTAATTTTATTTTAATCCAAACAAATATATTACACTTGATTTAAAAAAGCAAGAATGATGCAATGAACAAGTTTGTTTGAAGAAAACATGTTGAGGAAAACATTACATATATTTGATTTGCTACCCCAAAATGCTACTTCTATTTGTTACTTCTATTTGCTACTCCAACCTCGTGCTGTGAAGAGCAGGATGGTTTGCACTTGATATTCCAATTTTATGCTGAGTGCAATAGTTACACTTGGCATTGAGAGCTCTAGTATAGAGCCATGAACTTTGACACAAAAACGTCTTATTCTTATTCCTTTTTACTTTCTACAGCTTTTAACATAGATTCAAAATTGCTTGTAATGCCAACAAAAGTTGAACATACTAGAGTTTAAGGGTGTCTGACAGTTAATGTTGTTTGCAAAGAAAGCCAGCATTTTAGCTTATAAATAAAAATATGGCATTTACAGAACACAATTTTTTTGGGATCTACAGTCATTTATGGCATACAGTTGCAAATAAATTGCTGATGATAAAGATCTCTAAAACAAAATAGATGTTCCAATGTAATTCAGCTGGTTAGTTTACAAGACAATCTGAACAGACATCTGAATTGTACTTATGATTAAAGGAAATGGTATGTCCAATTCAAACTTCAGCTGTAGAAAATTGTTTTTTGATAAAGCTGTAGCTTTTTTGCAACAATCATCAGGAATTTTGTCTCAGCTTTTTTAACATTTTGGAAATCCAATTAGCTACAGTTTATTTTTTCAAATGTAGAATTTTATCAAACCAAAACAGATAAGTCTTTTATCACAAAATGTGAAGGTGTGCCACAGTGGCACTTGCCAATGGCTCTTAAAAAGGAATTGCATACCATTCCCTTGGCTAGCAAATAAGCAACCATTGCTGAGTGACCAAACTGGGCAGCTAAATGCAGACCACTGCAACCTAGAAGATTAATTAAAAAGTTTTAATTTTATAACTTCTAGTTCAAATTGCATGGTTATATCAAATGCTATTGATGTTATAGCTTTTCCATTTAAGCTTTGTGGTACCTAAGAATTTTATAGCTCTTGACTTTCAAGTGTTATAGACACCCACAAAAAACTTTATAATTTGATCCTGAACAAGTGTAGCTGGACTACTAACACTTTTTTAATCTAAAAATTTCTTCTTTTAATGATAACAGTGGTGACACTGATTCAGAATGGTTCTTTCATCACACACGACAAGCACAGAAAGTTTTCCATTGTTTAACATGCATATCATGTTGTGCAATCCCCTAAACGGTGAATGCTGTATAATCAAAAGATGATTCCCAGGGCAACCAGACAAAGTTTCTGTGATCCAAAAGTTATCTTTGTAAATGGTGAGGTGTGTGATATCGCTACTTTTTGAGAAGCAGATGCATGACAAAATGCACACCTTGTCTATCCTGGGTGCTTGTCAACGTGCCGGCACAAATCACGCACCACAAATTGAGAGGCCATCATTACCTATACTAGTTGTAAACAACAAAGGTTGAATTTGGTCTGATCATTTTAAACTAAGAATTTCAAATTTGGACAATCAATTTGTTTACTTTTTTAACTGCCAATTTTATTGACCAGTAGCTACCCATTTTTCTCTTAAGATTAAGCATCAGATAAATTAAAACTGAATTCTTGATGGATTTGATTGGCTCCTGTAGACAATTTGCAGAATTGTTACTTACCTTCTGAGTCTTCAAGACTAGGGTCTGCTCCATGTTTCATCAAAAGGACAACAGCTTCAAGGTGTCCCTGTCTATAGGAAAAATTAAAAACTACTGTTTAACGATGTATCGAGTCAGCTACCAACATTTAAATGCATTTTGGATACATACAAACATAAATGTGCTAGCTGCAGTTCTATGGACAGTTTGGAGGCTAAAGGAGGTTACCAGCATCACTTTGCCATTAGCAGGACATGAGGGTGGGGAACTAATTATAATATCTTGTGTCTGTGTCGATAAATTTCTGACTTAAACATTTCTCATTGCAGACCAGTTCCCTAAAATTCGAGTTATCCTGCCAACTTGAGGAAAATAAGCTAAATTTTCGTGAAAAATATAAGAACAAACCAGCTGTAGAATGCAACACTAACCGGACAGCCCAGTGAAGTGGGGTACCATTCAAGTTGCCTCCACGTTGGTCAACAATGGCTCCTTTGGATAGGAAGTAGCTGCAATAAATGACAGAAACTTTCTGAAAAGTCACAAACACTTTTACATTTAAAATGAAAGTGATCTTTAGCATGAACTTTAACAAATAAATAATTGTATCATAAATATTATGTTTTCATACTGATGGGAAAAATCATAACAAAGCAAAAACTCTTCAATTGCAGATTTTGGCCTGGCACACATTTTTCAAAATGATAGGAAAGAATTGCTGTGAGAAAATTTAACTGGACAGTCTAAGCTAACTGTTTATATGTTTAACCAATTCTTTCATGGAACTTGAAAAATGACAAATTCAGACTTACTCCATGACATTAAGCCTGTTGTTTATTGATGCCCAATGCAACATGGTAACATCTTCAGCATCAGGAACCCGGACATCTGCTTCTCCTTCTTCAATCAATTGCTGGCATCTTTCAAGTATACCATATTGTGCAGCCTTGAAAAGTAACAAACATAGTGTTTATCAATCTTACCATAAGATATGCAACAAGTTGAAAAAAAATTCATACATAAATATATATATGATACATATATATAAAATTATTTCTCTATTAAAACCCACATAAAATCTTTCTTTCTACAACATTTCCCTCCCTGATAGTGAGAGGTGTGGCATATTTGTTATCTGAATCTTAGCCAAGGGAAATTTGGGCATACTTGCAGTTAGCTTTGCTATGAATTTCTTATTTATAACAAAATCTATTGCGTTAAAAAAATAAACCTAATGGGAGGGCAAGCTTTGTTAAAAGGGTCAGCCATTCAGATGTTTTGGCTTTCAGTTTGCTACTACTGCATCATTGACATATGTTTATTTCCATAATTGGTTTTCATAAGATATTTTGTTGTTTTACTTCCGCAAACTTTGCTAAGACCCAATCTACACAATATGCATTTCCATTTGACTTGCAACCCTGGTATTGGGGATGTGGCCAGTGGGTGGAGGGAAAATGGATATGTAGGCTTTTATGGCACACAGATTTGATTAGCAAAATGTTGATGCTAATTATTGATATATTGGTTTCTGTTACACAACTATATAAAACTTATAAATACAACAACTTACCTTAACAATATCAAATTTACTATAATCTGGCTGTTGGTGTCCATTAGCACTGCCAAATGAAGGGGCTGGACCTTTCTTTCCAGGAATATGACTTGGTGGAGCAAAAGTGTTGGTGGGATAGGCCTTTTCACTGCAACACTGAAATTTATAAACAGCTTATTTAAAATATAACCCCTTTGGTGAAAAATGTCTTCAATCAAGGTTGAAATTGAATTAATTTTGACTACAAATAATCTGAAAGCTAATCAAAACATTTTACTCCATAAATGCTCTTGTTATCGTGACAGAAGCAGAAAATCAGTCTTGTACTAGAAAATCTCTGTGCTATTTGGAAAACATCATGATTTTGGTTATTTGTATGAATTGCAAGCTACATAAATATCAGCTGCAACCTGCAAGTGAAGGTATTTGAGATTAGAGCAACATTTCTGAGCTCAAATGTATATGACTTATTATCAGGGTATACATATTTATCAGGCCTTAAGATGGGAGGCACTTGAGCTTGATACAAATTATCAAACCTGTAATTGATTAAATTTGATGATATTTGGTTATATTTATGTTTGAGCCTCTAAAAGAGGTTCAATTGGTCAGGCACCCACTGTTTTGCTCCTGGAAAGGACTGTATGTTTTGACAGGATAGAGATGGTAAACAGAGGGCAGAGAATACTGGCTACCAGACTGGATATGGTTTCTTTTGTTGACAAATTCGATAAATTTTGAATGAATCTGTGGCAAGAACGACTCTTTACGTACCTGAGGTTTGGATGAGCGATCAGCTAGAAATCTGTGCTATTGCATGAATATATAAAGATTTTATTTCCTAATTCAAACACATGTCTCCCGCAAAATAGTTTGTAAAATGGGCGGCATTAATGATTTGATTGGTTGGATGGCCTAAATCATGCATCACTGCAGTTCGCAAAAAGCTAATTGACTTGCTTAAAATTTCTGAAACTTTAAACAACAAGAATGTTTGTTTTCATCTTGTTGCGAATAAAAATTTAATTTGCACCTCATCTCTGTCACTTCCTAAAACAGGACCGCATCCTGGCTCTACTTCATCCGCCATTTTGCATGAATGCCGCTGTTAAATGGAATCTGTTTATATTTCGCGACGCGAATTGCTATATCCATTTTCAATTGCTACCACTTTCACGATTTGCGAATCGAGAACGAGTCTCTTTCAGTAAATATGGCGGCACGAGAGCTGTTGATTTGTGCTTTTTTGATGTTCTTGAACTACTGTTGCGTTTCTTCGAGAAAGGCAAGTATTTATCTTTTCAACTATTTGTTTTGACAAATAAGATACGGTCAATTTTTCACACCTATGAAGTAAATGATTTAGTTCTATTTAAAATTGTAGCATTCACAAATAGGCCATGTCATGCCATCCATGCCGAGGTTGGATAACATGTATGTTTTTGGCTACGTGTAGCTGCAAGCAACGACACTCTAAGCTACGAGCATTTGTGCTATGAGTGATGATGCTCGTAGTATTTATGGCTTTAGTGTAATATACGGAGCTTGTTTGATATTATGGGTGAAGTATGCAAGTTTTGCACTGAAGCGACCAGGGGCCTAGCCTGCGCGCAGTCTTTTGCTGGATTTTTTTTGCTGGACATACGGGAAATGTTCATTCCTCATTTGAACATTCCTCGTTCAGCAACAGCAACAAAATACTGCGCGCAGGCTACCAGGGGCCATGCCATCCTAGGAATGACATGTACACAAATTTTATGACATACCAAAGTATATATACACGCATTTTTTACACGTACACGTAATTTGCTCAGTCACTCTTAACAGTCTGGACTTTTAATACTAATTTATGATGCAACACTACGTTTGATATGCAGATTACATTTATCCTCATTAAACGGCACATTAAAGAAGTTTCCATTCAAAAACTTGTTTCAAATTCAACTTTTCAAGAGATTATCATTGCTGGGTATTGATCCTAGAAATTCAAGAAGCACATAAAAAGGTTATGGTAGCAAAATGGTATGAAAATGTAAGTGACTGCCTACCAGCCCTGGAACTTAGTTTCTTATAAAAAATATGTGCAGTGCCAGCCTGAAAAGTTTGGTCTGCGCGGGGAACGCGCATTATTAAGAATCTGCCATAGATTCCGTGCACCATATTTGTTTATTTGGTCATGTTCCCTGCAAATATTCCACCATTTAAACTTCTGACTTCTGATAACAAGGAAAAACAATGAATACAAGGTCTCTTTGAAAGCCTTTGCTTCAAATTCTGCGCATGATTTCGCGGGAAACGTTTGTTATCCGCAAATTTCAAAGTTATTGTTCCGGCATTCCCTGCACAGAAAAAATACTTTACGGTCTGGGTGTAGTGAACATGTAGAAAGACTGTAATGGGCCAAACTGCAGATGAAGAAGATGTACCCCTATTTTGACACTTGGTTCTGTCTACATAACCAAATGTCAGGTATCAACCCACTCAAATTGTCTGCCTAACATTTGTAAATATAAATCAATATGCAACTTTTTTATTCAGCAGTTTCAATGATGCAGTATGTATGTATCTTTTTTAGGTTGACGATGATCTTGACATGGTAGCCCACTCAAGTTTTAGCCTTCCATTGCAACATTCATTTGAATTAGGTATTCTAAAACTATATTTGTTTGTTTATTTTTCAAACCAATCTACCAATCTCATACTACTTCCTATTTTGCTTTTTGCTAGACTTTTGCCAAGTTTGCATGTGATATTTTGTTAGCTAGGTATCCCTACTCTGAAGTTCCATTGTGTCAGAGAATGCTTTTTTCTTATCTCAAAAATATGTGATACCTATTTAGATTAGAGTGGTGTTTTGTGCATCTGATCAAAGAATACATCTTCCTTCCTTTTGAAAGGACTGTGTTCCTACTTTTTAAAAAAGTGCCAAAGATCATCAAGCAAAAACACTTCTAAAAGAGAAATGCCACATAATTTAGTAGAAATCAAAATGCCTAAATATCTTATGATATACTCAAGAGTCAAACCAAAACATAAAGTAAGACAAATGTAAACAGTAATGGGCATGTAAGGTTGACTTTTTATTTAAGGTGTTTTAGAATCTGTCTACATCAAAGCAAATGGTCCCAATTTATTTCGAAAGAAAAAGTTTATTTCCTCTCTGGAGTCTGCAACTAGGTTACAGCTGCTGATTGGTCAAAATAACAAACCAATCAAAGGGGACCATTCTTCTTCTCTTGGGACTATCAATCTACTTACCTGTTGACATTATCCAATGTTAATCCCAGAAGAGTATTTAAAAATGATTTGAGTATGCTATGTTTCTGCGTTTCCATGCTATTTTTAAAAAGAATAAGAAGCAACTCTTGTATGTAGACGTCCCTATTACATTTCCTAGTTATTGATATCTGAATATTATGAATTTCACTTCTGGTTTATCTTTGCCTCATCTTATATCATATATATTATTCTTTCTTGGAGCCTAGCTAGCTATCTCCAAACCAGTTTGTTGTATTGTATGTCTTGATGACAGTCTCGCTTTTTGCCCCGCATATATCTGTAATTTTTAAACCTCTTCTTGTAAAATTGTTTCTTCTTTTTTAGGACCTGAGGCCAAATTTACTCCCAGGTACTGGCTTTTTTAGTAACAAACAAAGCAACCCAATTTAATGCAATTGCTTTCTTGTTTTGAATATGTTAGCTCATCTTAATGCTTTGGATCAATGATATAGCAAGGCATTGATGCAATGGAATATTGTGCATTTCATGTCGATGACCCAAGCACAAGAATGTGAAAATAATAACATTCTAATGCCAAATAAATGCATAGTTGCAAACTTTGGTCATCAGAAAGAATCTTGACCAGAGGTGGTGCAAGAGGCAGCTAAAGTCTTTGGAAGGCTACCACCAACCTTAATGTTATCATACCTCCTTTTGAAAGATAGTCCGCAAAAAATCTTGAGACGAATAATATTTTTCTCCACATCATGATTTCGCATTATCTGAGCTGTTACTTTAATCTACTCAATTACTTTAATCTAAAAAAATTTCAAAACCTCTTATCTGTAATTTCTTTTCTGTAAACAGGGGCTCAATTTTATTCAAGACACTAAGGAGCTCCCATGCATCATTGTCAAAGGAGATTTCACTGACACAAGAAGAGCTCGATAAGCTAGAGGTATGTGCAGAATTTTACAATCTTAAACAAGGGTTATTTTCTGTTTCATCATCATCAGGTACCATCTTCTATCAGAAGGTTGGCTACCATGACCCTCCAACTATCTCAAAATCTGAGTTTTGGTTTGTTGTCATGGTCATAAATAAAACTAAGGGGCTAATCAGTGGCGGATCCAGACTACCGCCATTACCGCTCGAGCAGTGGTCAGATTATTCAAAAAATTATAGAAACAAGGATCATTTTCATGTTTATACTACTACTTTAATTAAACCATATTTAATTATTGAAAATATTTGATTGCGCTGCAAACCAAACCTTACTTCCTAGAAACATGCCTGATATTTCCACAGAGACAGAAATACTTTTTAATCCTTATCGCTATGCAAATTGCGTGCCAATTGCCCAGCCACATGTTTGCAAATAGAAGGCTAGCATGGGGGGATGATGAAATCATGGCTTGCTAGCTAGGGGGGTTGAGTCGGTGTAGAGCGGATTCGAGCTGCACTGAGCGGTAGTCAGCCTGCCTAAACCAATCAAATCGTCAGAAATCACTGCCAACCTGGGGGGATGCATACAAATTTTGTTGACAACCAATGAACAACCGAGTTGACTACCACTCAGATGGGGGGTTGAGTAGTACTGCTGCTCAACACGGCTCAAACGTTACAGAAAGATGGGGGGATGCCTAAATATTCTGCAAGTGGGCAAACTGTAACTTCAAAGCCGATGTGACCCATTATTTTGTACAATACACAACTATTCGTAGGACTATATTTTAAAAAAATATTAAGACTCAAATATTCTAAAATTAAAGAAGGCATCAGGATTAAAAGTCAGGCCCACAATATTCGCCAAAAGTATGATTCTTTGTTTAACAAAAGTTGCTCTCAATAATTTCAATATTTATCTAGCTTTGTAATTTCCAACAGGTCTGATTTTCATAAGTAATTGTCCGACTAAATGCGAGTTTTAGGCGACACTTCAAAATTCTGCCAAATGTTTTTTTTTTCTAATTATATGGTGTTCCTCATCTAAATGCCGTAAATTTGTTTAGAATCTCCATCCTCAGAATATTGAATAAGATTATTTATTTCTTCTCAAGCTTGTTGTAAGGGTACATGAAATTTCAGTAAAGCACAGCTTGTCTCTAGAAAATGGTCTACATAAGGAATTATAGAAAGCAATAATCATTTTAGAAAACCAGGTGTGACCAAGAAATGGGTGTGGTCTATAGGGTGTGGTCAACCCTCTATCTCATTTCGGCAGTAGTCAGATTTTAGGCTGGATCCCCCACTGCTAATAGTAGAGATGGGCCCCCAGAACCACCTCTACAGTGTTTTTAAAGGGACACCATCTCTCTTTCCAGGAGTTCTTCTGCCCAAAGCCGTTGACCCCTGGAGTTGTAGCTCATCCACCCTCCTTGCCGGTCGCCCGCCGAGTTAGCCGTTGGCCATTGCTCATAGCTCTGAGCTAGGAAACCCTGCCAGGTGGTACCAGTTGGGTCAGGCTGGACCTGTATGCTAGTGGAGGGAAGGGACGCTTTAATTCCCCATTCAGATCCTGTCGGAGCATGCCACTGCCCTGATTTTCTGTTTAGGAACAGTTAAACCTTATATCTGGAAAATGTACTCCAGAGTTTCTACCACAATAACCATAAGCAAAGCTGATCCAATGCAAAATCAATTTTCAATTTGTCTTATCTACATATTATACCTTTTAAACATAGTTAGCTCTTTGTCAAACATACCATGTTCTTGTGTTTTATTTGTAGAAGCTTTTTAAGAATATATGCTATTTGTGTTTCTAATTAAGTTTGAGCTGTTTAAAAGACAATTTTAACTTGTTTGCCATTTCAAGATTTTATTTAAATAAATCCTTGTGGGAGTAGAACACTTGCATTTTATCATTCAGATACTTAGTCTTTTGATAGTCTAGCATGATACCTATCTTGAAAATATTTCTTTTCTTATGCTCTACAGGAACTTGTCCGTGTTGATGGTGTTTATAGAATCAGGGCCCCAGTTAAGATTGGTGAAGCTTTTGATAAACCAAATGTCACATATGTGTCATCTTTTATTAAAGCAGTAAGTTGAATCTTCTTTCTATGTTTCACTGGGTAAATGTTTGAAGATAGCAACGAAAAGAAAAAAATTAGCATTTAAAGTAAAGCATTTTAGTATGCAGTGTTTTCTGCCTTTTGCCATTTTAAATTTTTGCGGTACCAAAGGCCTCTTAGGATTATGTTAATGGACTGCTTTGCGAAATATTAGCCTTCGCTGATTTACGTGAATTTGTTATTGTTCATTCTCGTCACATTGCGGTGTTTCTTCTTTGCTACATTTCTATCGATTTTTTGCCACAAGAAATTCCTTTGGAGTCTGTCAAGCAGCCTGCTATCGGGACCTTTTCTTTATTTACACATATGATTTAAAATGCAGACAAGAGAAAAAGACGTAAGCCCAATTTTTGGACTTCTTTCAAACTAAGGTTTTAAAAATTGTGTCAGTTATAGGGCTATTTTAAACACGATAATCTTTATTAACCAAACTCTCTGTTTCTAGTGTCATCTCATGTACTCACAGCTGTCAGAAATAATTACTGTCTCTATTGACAATTCAGGTAAGTCTGTTTTGTTTATTCAAGAGCTTTTATCACCACAGTACATGTCTATTTTGGTTTTGTATCATACTCAAGCTTATATGTATATTTTTGCACCCCAATAGGAAAATTCTTCTTTTCCTGAGTATATTATAGTATATTCTCGATAACAAGACTAACCAAGAAATTAAATTGCTTTTAAAGGCAATGTTATTGGAATAAGTATCAAGACGGAGAAGAGAGAATGTCCACAAAGTATATCAGAAACAGGAACAAATATGGTATTTATCAATTTTATGTTTTTGGTATCTTCTTTTAATTCGTTACAGTTTTAAGTTATTACAGTTTTTGTTTATTAAGTAGAACAATCTTGTAATATTTTGAGATATAATTCATTCAGTGCAAAGCCAACCTTCAATTTTCTATGCACTTATGTAAAAGATATTTCATTGGAGTATACCCCCTTATTAGTTTAAGAATTGTCGATCTAAACTTCACATAAATTTAACTTTCCCTGATATTCATTCTCACAAGAAGATAGAAAAATTGAAAATGTGTTTAGTTCTGAAACTGGACTTCAAAATGTATCATGAAGTTTGTCACAAGCATTTATTCACCCTTTTTGTGTATAGTAAGTGGCTACACCAGCAAGCACGATTTATAATGTACTGGATTTTATGTTGTATCGTATTGTATCGTATTACATCTTGTATTGTATTGTATTGTATTGTATTGTATTGTATTGTATTGTATTGTATTGTATTGTATTGTATTGTATTGCATTCCATTGTATAGCTTTGTATTGTTTCGTACTGTATTGTATTGTATATAATGTATTATATTTTTTTATTGTATTAACTTAACTGATAATTCATATCCTTGCTTTACTTTATTGAATCGAGTAAAATTTCTTACTCTGAAAATGACATGATATCAATACCAATCCATTTTTGGTAGGTTGGTTCAAAAGCATTCAACTCGACTGTGCACATCCAATTGCAGTTGTCTGGAGCAGTGTATGTGAAATTCTTACCCCAGTCTTTAAAGTGTTTTTCTCAATATCAGTCCTTTGTGAATGTCGTATCGATTTAAAAAATAACAAAAGCTCGATTCAAATGTAGCAAAAAGTTTTCAGGGGCTTTCTGTTTATGCGAAGATCCTTGATAATACTATAACGGATTATTAAACAGATAGATACCCTTAGCGATCTTCAATCCCTGTGAATCTTAGACTGATGCTTTCAATGTAAATGTATACAAATGTACTTCCAATTTCCTAGCTGCGTTGTATTTAAAAAGCGTTTTCTCTTTTATTAAATATTCAGTAATTTACCACAAATGTTTTTGGAAACTGGAGTTTTCAAAGTTTCCAGAATAAGCCTTTAATGATAAGTCAACTGAAGGTGGCACCAAAAAAGGAATTACGGCAAAATCCCTTGACTAAATAAGGTAGACGTTGTTGTTCTCTACCCGGAATCTTCCTTGATGATACTGACAACACCATAATTATCCATTTTCACTTTCTCAAGAATTTTCATTTTAGGCCAGAGACACAAGTTTTCATAAGAAAATTAGAAAGAGAAGAAGCTGAAAGACTTACTGGGAAGGATAAAGATAACAGATCATTCTTAGCAAAATACGTATGTAAATTTATTTACTTTATTTTATAGTAAAACGTCATGTGGCTAAGTAGGCCTTCAGCAATTTTGGGTAAGGCTTGCAATGTTTAGGCAAAAGTGGCATAGGCTTGCAGGTTTTAGCCAGAAGTGCTGTTGATGACAAGTAATTTCATTTAAATGCCCAGTGAAGCTGCTGTTTTCATCTAGTGAACATCGTTCTCAAGTTCTTTGATGACTGATCCTAAATGTTTTTGGATTGCTTTCTCTCAACGAGAATAATGTTTTCCAGCTGAACTTCCCAACTAATCTTGCCCAAAGCTTGGGTTCTTTCGCAAGGTGATAATGTTTCTTTATGTTTAAAGAGTTAAATTTGCAAAGAACTTTCAGGGCAAAAATCAAACCAACTTAAAAAGCCTGGGTTAATATTCGATATGTCACAATGATAGGGCATATTTTGCTAAAAATTTTGGTACAGTTCAATCTTCATTTTCCAATTCCACTACATACAAATTTATCGTGATAATTAAACAAACAAAATAGCAAAGCCACAAGAAAATCAGGAGAAGAAAAAATTAAAATGGGTTTACAATGAAACTGTTACAATATACATTCAAGGTAATCAAGAGAACAAGATTAACTTTACGGAGGGAATTTCTTAAGAAAGAGCTCGCTCAGAAGTCAAACTAATCGAGAAGAGAACACCCCATAGGTTAATAGTGCGAGGAGAGAGCGTAGTTTTAATCACACTTGTTGTTTTTTATCATAATTTGCATGTTTGTTGATATGTCTACATTTATTTAAATTAAAGATAAATATACAGAAACAACAATGATAAATGTTTAGGAATAAAGTTTAGAAAATATAAGCTCAAGCTGATAATTAATATTTCACCTTCGATTGACCATATGTGACGTAAGATATGCTTTTCCAAGAAAATCCTAACAGGTTGCTAGAGTTATAGGATGTCTGTGAGAAACTATTCTATCAAAAGGTTAGGTTTTCTCTTGATCGAAATAATTATTGGTTATTTGTTCACAAAAAAGTTTTGTAGATCCAAAAATTTGAATTCATTTTCTTTCACTCTCTTCTCAGTGGATGTACATACTACCCGCAGTGTTTATACTGATGTTAGCGGGACAGCAAGAACCACAAGAAGGCCAGACATGAAGCTCTCACACGAACTGAATTCGTCAAGACAGAGGTTTGGCGGTTTTATTAAAAAACCACGATATTTGATTCAAGGATGTGAGTTGAAAGGAATATGACACCGGATATTTAGACCTTCCTTTGAAATGACCTTGAAAGTTGTTGAATAATATCAAAGTTTGTGTTAAAAATAATTTAAACTAAATGATAATTGCAATGATATTTCCATCTTTGATTGGGTTGCTCATACTCGTTTAGAGGTTGGGGCAATTTCCAGTGCAGAATGGTACAGACCTTTAAATGATCTTGCTCCTGAAAATATGAGATATGTAAAACATTGCTTCATTGCATTTTTTCGTTTCGTGTTGTTTGGTTTTTTTTTAATTCAACTAGTAAGAAACATTTATGTTGAGTTAATGAGGAGGATGCCTAGAAATGGTAGATAAGGATTATTTAGAGCTGCTCTCATCAAAATGCCTTCCCATGGTCCGAAGTCGATCATCGTACCAGGAAACTACTCTATCCTACAGTGCAAAAAGCTCATAATCTCTTGGTATCTTGTAGATGAATTTCTCTACCTTCATTTGGTTGCACTTTCTTGGCCTACTATTGTTAGGGGCGCAATGCTCATCGATATTTCTGAGTCCCCTTGCAATTCTATTCAAGCCTCTGTCGCAGGCATAAACATTTTTTAAAAAGCCATTCGCACAAATCTTCTAGTTCCCCAACAGCCATCAACTCGCACAATAGCTTTCGCCCATTGCCTACTAGACTTGTTCTAAGTCTATATTGTGCTTGAAAGAGGAGTATTTTTTTCTTCCTGTGAGCCTCTACGAAGGAGACAGACCGTACCTGACTGATTCAATGTGCATAGCCACTTTGATTTCTAGAGCTTGGGAATACAGATTGCTTTTGATTGCTTTACAGGCAACCAGATGGCTAGAAAACATGTTGATACTGTCAGCGTTTATGTAATACAAATGCTCGATACAGCTTCTAAATATCATTTGGTGGATAATTATCAATTGTACTTGTAGTATAGAAATGAAACCAAAGAAAATACAAAGAAACATAATGCTTTCAATGCTGTTCAGTGCAATAATTACATCCTTTAGTTTTCTTTATCATCCCAATATATACATTAGTGTTTTTAGTATAAGTGTTTTCGTATTTAGAATACTTATTTGAAAATTGCATAATAAGAGTGTTACTCAACATTATTAATTGATGGCCTAATATGCTAGAATGGGACAATACACATTTTACTGCTTAAAAGCAAGAGGCTCTTGGGAAGGGGGAGAGAGGAAACTCCTTCATCAATGACGGAATGGATTTCTATAGACTTTTATAGGCTTGCTGAATCGATTTTTTGGTACGTTTTTGACGTTCTCCAAATATGTTTTGGCGTTGCAAGAAACAAAGCAGTGAGAGATAAATGGATTTTAAACGTTCAAATAATCAGACCTGGGGTTGAATGTGGAGACATTTTGGTAGAATTTTTTTAATAGAATCAATCAAACGAAAATCAATTGGGCTGTTGAGGTTTGAGACCCTGACTATAACTTCAAACCAAGCTCTTTTATTGGGCGATTCCCGCCAACAAAATCATTGATTGCTTCTAAAAAAGGTCACGAGTTCATTCATATAAAATTTTTCCACTGATTTAAACCTTAAGAATATCCTAGCTTGTCTTATAAATCAAATAATCATGAGTTAAATCTTCTTAAAGGTAGCATGACTGAAATGCACTAAGATTGCAGACAGGGAAATAAATATGCTTTGAATTGAACGTCTAGTAAATACAGGTATCGTGGTCATAATTGGAGAAAATCCAGGTAATAATTGGAGAAAAGAGGGGAAGGGGATGGATGGATGGGGGGGGGAGAGGATTTTTTTGATTATAATAAAAACTTTCTGATACGCGGTTTGGAATAGGGGGCACTTCTCTTGTGACGGCACAAAGACACTAGCGGGTTCACACCACTCCCCCTTCCCCCTCTTTTCTCCAATTGGGGGGTTATCTTTTTCGAGTAGTAGGGAGTGGTGTATTGAGGTTTTTATGGGCTTCAGGTATCAGTTTGTTATTGATAACAAAATCTAATACTTTTAATACAATGCACTTTCCTACCAAAAGAGGCAAAATAATACTTTTTAAAAGCGAATTTCTCCAGGTAGTCTGTTTGTTTGGCTTAAAATTACAAAGTACCACAGTGAATTTCACTGGCTCCTTTGACTGATGAACAACAAAGGGATCACACTGCAGTATCTCCTTCTTGACCATGACACATTGAATCTTTGAAACAAATTTGGAAAATGCTATTGTAGTTCAATACTACACAAGATGTACGTCTTCTTCACCTTTGTTGCCTAAATCGCAAAGCCCAACGAATTTCTCCACCTTTTCTACAGGTGCACCTTTATCCTTTGTCACAGGCTCTATATCTACCGGGGCTTTCCCCTTTTTTCGGTCATTCATCGCCTTTCGAAAAGTCGACATCAAATGAACCGGCTTATCTTTAGCTTGAGATTCAACTTCGGCAATTACAAAACCGGAGTCGGATATTGTTTTACACTGTGTTTTCCAAATCCGGTAAAGTGTATAATATATTGCGCTATAGAGTTCATTAAACACTTCGAATACTTGTCCACGAGTATTGCATTCTCTGAAATTGAAAAATAATGAAATAGAATACATCTTTCTTTTTTCAAAAGCTGTTTGAAGATAGATATAAGATTGAATATTCATTTCAAAACAAAGATATGTTTGTTTATTTTCTATTCAGCTTTCTTTTTGTATCTCTACTTATTAATTTACTGGCTAAAAGAAATTAAGAATACACATATTTTTTAGTTAGGATAAACAAACTAAGCTCAGGGTAAACATACAAACTCAGTTTTTTGCAATTGTTTTGTTGATTACTTAATATGTATCGATTCAATTTCTTAAAGATTTATTTAATACCAAATACTAAAAAACTACATTTTAGAAAGCAAAAACGCAACAAAAAAGTATAAAACAGAACATATTGTAAATTAAAGTTCAATTATCTATCACTTATTTGGCTAAGATTTTAGTAAGTTTTCATACTGAGCTTTGTGTGGCCATTAAAAACGTTCCTTTGCAAAAGGGTTTCATTCAAATGGGCCACAAGAAAAGAAACAAATTTAGACAAACTTCATTTTCAGCAATCAAGGTTTTTTTCAATTGAAGAGTCAAAACATGAACTCTTATCAGATTTATATACATAAACGTAACATTTTATGTCCTTCTACGTACTATATATTCGAATTTTTTTAGGCCCTGAAGTTTATATTAAGCTACGAATACTGAAAAATATATTTGATGAAAAATGTTGAATTTTTTGCTCCATCAAGAGAAATTGCTTTTAATTTCTCAATAAAAGGAGAGAATAAATGCGTAACTTACTTGTTTAATTTGCCCTCTCGAAATATTTGCAGAGTTATTCTTGTAATATTGATGCCCATGACAGAGAAAGGGAAATTCTGTACTTCATCTTCTGACAACCTGTAAATATCTATTGCAAGACTTGATGTAAACAGACTGGTGACAAAATTCAGGGTTGTTAGCAGTCCTAGCATACCACAGCCACGGAGATCTGTTGATGGATCCTCCCCTGAAATGAAGATAAATACATTGGATTAGAATGTCATATAACTAGTTTATTTGCTTAAATTTTATCATCTTTAACAGGTTCCATAATTACTCAACAAGGTTGCAATACTGGAGACTAGATTGTCACTATCATGATTTGATAATAAATTTTTAGTCTTAAAAACAGGTTTCAGTTTCTTCATTGCAAACAGCACTAAACAGCATATATGCCTTTTGTCCTACTGGAATCTACTTTCTTTGAGACAAATTAATTGAAGTTTTCTAATTAATGTGATTGCTCAATGTCCTCTTTGACTGTTAGGATGAAGGATCTATCGTTGATCAGAACACTTCAATTTGTTCTTTGGCCCAATGATGTTAATGAAGCTCCCCAATCTTTTAAAAACAGGATGCAAAATTTACAAATGGATGATTATTGCAGTCAAGTATGGAGCCTATTATTAGCAAATGAAAATAACAATGCTGAGTTATTCAGTTAGTTTTCGAAAAAATGACCGGTGTTACAGTGAAATCATATCCTGACTAACTAGACAAATTCAAAATGCACCCCTTGGACAAAGAAGGGAAGGAACCACATTATATATAATTGGCAAGAATTGAATGGAGAATACAGCTCTCCAAATTGGCTTTATAATTGGATATTTCGGAATAGTTGGGACACATAGAGAAGACATAATAAAAAATTTTTTTTTGGGGGGGGGAGGTCATTCTCAAACTCTTTCACATTGTGAAAGTAGAGGAATCTAACTAACTTATAGATTATTCAGCAAATGGAAAAGCACATTTGAGATTCCTGCTTCTCATTCAATTTTTTTACTTGATTCAATTTTGCCCTATTTTTATATTTTCAAATTTTTCCCCCTTTTACTATCAGGTGCCTAATTTGTTCTATTAAAACTGGAACTTACCTTGAAAACCAATACTTTCCCAATGAGATCCATACCTTGGGCAATCGAGATTAGTTGCAGTAAGTTTTTTGTAAATCGTCTGTAGAATCATAATATGCATTGCTTCATGGTTATCAAATGGACATAAGCCAAGGGTAAAAATCAAGTCTCTGTCATTTCTAAATCTTTCGTGTAATTTGGGTGGTCCAGCAATTGCATACCATAGTCTAGCTAGTCCCTTGTGCCTTATTGTGGGCTTTATTGAAGCAGAGAATTCATCCATGTTTGAATTTTTAAAATGGAAAATTGCCTCAGTGAAGGATACCATTGGTGATTTGGCCAAACCTTTTCCTGCACCTTCAAATGATAAAGAAATTAAATCATTAGTGTAATGATTCATTGCTATTATCATGGTCCTTAGCTTCAGGCTGGTATGAAGCGAGGGCCAAATAAGTGAGCAGTGTAACATAGTGTACCGTAAACAAAGAGTATTTTGAGTAGACTAAACTGGATATTTTGTCTCTTTCTATATTCAACTGATGTGACACAAGGATATTTATGGAACAAGACTTCAACTTTTGACAGGAAAGCTGAGACAGATGTGCCTATGTAGTGGATAGATTCAAAAAAGTTGGAAAGAGTGAGCATATTGAGGCCTTTCATATAATTAATGAAGCAAAGAAGATGCTTATAAACACAACACAGCTTGTACCAGTAAGGCTCAACACCAACAAATGAAACAAATATTGGCCCAAGGATTATATAAAATAATGCATGAAAAATGGTATTCATAGAATCTCAAAGAATACCCTTGTAAATTATTTTCTAAACTGAGTAAAACCTCCAAGATTATGTCATTTTATCAGCTCGTATTTGATCTTAAAGGTGGCATATGATATGAAATAAAAATTTAATAGTAATAACTCAAACTTCTTAAAAAAGTACCTGCTGTTACTGTTCCAACATGATCCCATTCTTCTTTAACTTCATTGAGCGACTTTTTTGACTTTTGCCTGTATGGCTCTGGATCTGAAGACCAGCCTCGTTCATTTGACTCGTTTGAGTGAGCAGAAAGCACTGAGTGAGCAGGTGACAATGGCTCTTCTTTCAGGCTCTTTTGCCTTGTGATCAGGTCGAGAGCAAACTCAGGCAAAGGCGGTCTATCTCTGCATGTATTAAGTAAAACATTTATTATCTAACAACTAATATGAAAGGCAGAGCAAATGGAACTTTGTCCTACCAAAGATCCAAAAATGTTTGATTTGGTAAAGACAAACTCTACTACCAGAACTTTTATGAAAACTTAGCCTTCTCACTTAGCATCTTTCAGTAAAATAATATGCTGACAAGACATATCAATTACTACTTTGTCACTTAGAAAGCAGTCTGAAGCAGTGTCAAATAAATCAAAACTTGAAACACAAAGCAGTTGCTGTTATCTACTCCATTCCAGCTACAGCATTCTATCAACACTACTGACAGGCGGACTCCTTTAAAAAGTTCTCGTCTGAAAAGATTTATAATGATTTCTAAACTTATTTCAATTCAAAAATGTTTTTTACTCTTTAAATTCGTAATTTTAGTAAATTTTTGTTACTTAAGTGAATTTTTGAATGGAATTGAATTTTAAAATCAAACTGAAATTAACTGCAGCCCAGATTATGTTGCTGAATTATATTATTCAAAAGCTGCTTAAGAATAATTTGCTTTGCTCAAAATAGAATAAACAGAGATTAACGCACACATACCCATGAGAGTGAGGCTCATTTTCTTTTGGGATTTCGTTTTCTTTTACATTGCTTATCTGATCTTTTCTTTCCTTTCCTTCGCATGATGACTTGCTACTATTAATACCAGATGACTCCTTTTTCGATTTACTTGTAGAACTGGTTATTTTTTCTACTTTTGCTGATTGATTTACTTTTACAACATCAATCTTCTTCACCTTGTAACTTTCAAATGCTTCATCAAATTCATCATTATCAAACTCGTCTGCTTTATCATCTGTCCCCTTGGTAACATTTCTGAAAGCTTCCTCAGCTTCAAACTCAAATTCATCTTTCTCTTCATCACTTTCACAGCATTTTGTATTTTCCATATCCCTTTAAGCTCTATGCAATAGGTTCAATTGTCTGATTCTCGATTCTGACCTTGGGCTAAGGTGGGATGACAGCTTTTGTAAAGGTGCACTTGGCTTTTTCACCTGCTGGCTGCCATGTTTGTTTGGCATCTGTAACTTTTGCGACCTCGTTTACATACGGGTTTTCTATTGTCGCCTCAGACTTTCAAAATAATTACTAAATTACAAAATCGAATCAACTTTATATAAATATAAACAAATATCGATAACAGGTAAGGGAAAGTCATTATCTCTTTACAAGAGACGTCAGATTAGAAAAAGTTAAGAAACAGTAGTACACGCATTTTTTATAAGAAACAGGTTATATGAAACGATAGGCTCAATTTTTAGAAAGTTAAGAGAGAACCCTACCCAAATTAAATTTAAAAAAGCTAAAAGAATTATAATTTGCAGTTTTTATTTTCCGAGTTGACACTCGAAACAGTCTTGACATTGAATATCACTGTATATTGCAACACTAATCTTGGCATGCAGTTTGCATTCATTTGTTTTGACTTCAACTTGACATTGATGAAGTTCAAATGAGCTTAACTGTTTACAGATCTCAACAAAGTTAGTCATTCTAGGAAAACAAAATTACTTGATCATTTTGTTAGTTTATCTCTGAATGTAAGTGAACTATTTACTTTACCTTGGAAGCATGTTTAAAAAATACAATACCTAAGAGATTTAAGAGACATGTAAGAAACTTTTGATAGCAAAATGGCCAGAAAATTTAAGAAACTGCCTACCAGCACTGGATCTTAGTTTCTTATAAAAAGGTACGTGTACACGAAGCAAAAAAATTAAGACACGATTGAATTTTGAATAGGCAAGTTTTGTGAATATAGGACCTCGACTTAGCTGTCAAGTTTATGTTTCCAAAACATGAGATTTGTTTTTACTTTCCGTTGTTCCTCCTTCTGGAAAACGTGGGACTCACGTAAAATGCGTGAGCCTTGAAAGGACGTTAGACGGGAACGATTGCGTAAATATTCCGTTCCAATAAGGTTCAACGCTCAGGGGTTGGGTTTGCATTGGAGCACAAAGTGGACAGGGCCGGTCGCATGGGGGGGGTGTGGGGGGAAGAATATACATTTGTGTTTTAGTCGGTAAAATTGGGATTTTGACGGGTGGATGTTTTTTTTTAGATTTTCAAACGAAAAATTGTCCTTCATGTAATTTTTAAAAACATTCAAAATATAAAAAAGTTCCGCAGTTTAATTTTCCCGTTGATCCAGAAGAGGATTTTCAGGAACATCACAGAAGATGAATAATCCCAAGAAATTTAACAAAAACAAAGTCAATTTTAGTCTGGGAGACGCATTTTTAGCCGTTCTAGAAGGCTTAATTTCAAAAAAATTCTTTCGCGCCGGACCCAACCATCGCGGGTCCTTTATGTCACTAAACTTGAGTCTTAGCCCCCCCCCCACCCCCAGGCTCAGTTTTTGTGGCCCGTCTCTGAAAGTACGAAGCAAAATGCTCCAGGATCGTCTACAATCTCTCACGCTTATTTCGTGCGAGAAATACTTTTCACAGAACTTATCTGTTATCAAGAAGTGGGTCCAGTTGAAGAACAGAAGAGTTCGATTCAGTGTTTCTAAAGTTTGAATAAACTAAGTGACCACAAAAGCTTATTTTAGAACTTTCATAAAACTAATAGTTTTACAGCTGAAGTTGCTTTGTAATAGCTGAAATTTAAATATTAACAATGCTAAAATATTCTGATTGCATAAACGTAGTGTACGCTGCCAAAATGTACTCGGTAGATAAAAACTGAAAGTAGAACACTCATTTATTTGAACCAAAATTTGGAAAGCTATTGGCGAGGGGAAATTCACTCTTTCAAATAGCGTACGAGATTTTCCCTAGAACAAAAGGATTTCTTGTGATTTCCAGATAAAACAATAGGATTTCCACCAAAGTTGTACGAGATTTTTCGGAGTGATTTGCCCCTCGGCTATTGGAACGGTACGCAATCGTTCCCTTGTGAGCGCTGGAAGCTGTGATTCTTTGCAAAAACAAAAAAGTTGGATGGCTATAACCAAATAAAATGAGACTTGACTGGTGGTCCATTTTTTTTATTTCTTGAATTTTTAACAAAACGTGGGGGACCATATCCTCCCAGCCCTGTCCCTGCTCCGCCGTGCCTGAAAAGGTATAATCCTGCTGTTCGCCGACACATCCCTGTTGGCACATCCCTACAAGAAGGCCGCGGAGGGGGCATATCACAGATTGAAAGGGCTAAAACGTTTTGAGGGGGCTAAAACGTTTCTAAGGGGGCTAGACGAGGGGCAAATCACTCCAAGAAAATCTCGTACACCTTTTATGAAAATCCTATTGTTTTATCTGAAAATCCCCAGAAATCTTTTTGTTTTAGGTAGAATCTCGTACGCAATTTGCAAGAGTGAGTTGCCCCTCGCCAATAGCATTCCAAATTTTGCTGATTACCAAAATCAGGACGATTTTCTGTATGGTTTTGAGTTCAATTTTGAAGTTATTGGGGGGGCAAAGCCCATGTAGCCTCCCACCCCGCTTCCGCGGTCCCTGCATCCCTGTTTGAACATCCCTGATAAAATTAAGAACCGCGGCCGCTATTGGATTTAAGACATTGGCTGGCCACTTGACCTTGCCATATTGCCAGATTAGATAAATGTTGACACTGCGCTTTTATTGCTTTGTTATTTCTTCGATTTGCGATCAAGGTGTGATATCCGGAGAATTCCTTTCCAAAGGTTCATGTTTGCATTCGCATCCTCAATTAGAGAAGGTGCCCCGGCTCGTTGAAAACAGGGCCTACGAATTGCAACGCTTTGGGATATTTTAATACTGGGTTCCTATTTTTGGTTTTTCACGCCAATTTCCAAAAAGAATCTTTATGGGGGGCTTGATGGAGGGTATCGTCGCTGCAAACATTGAGACTTACAATGTTGTAGGTTCATGCGATATTATCATCAATTGTTTACAACTTGATGTTGACAGAAGCTGTAAGGGGCAACTCCATGTGTTTTATGCCAGGACCACCAATGGCATAGCAGAGCACAAAAATCACGCATGACTCGGCACATTTAGGTATACCTCTACGTTTGGCCCCCAGATAAAACCTACACAAATTTTTACCACTAAAAATTGTTTCAAAGTTCACTCAATCAAGTTTGCTATAGTACAAGAGTTATTTACAATTTTCAATTCAAACAAAGCTAACTTGTGCAGGATATAAAACTAAAGCTTAGTTATAATTATGGACAATTTTATAAGAATACGAGCCTCAAAGTTGGTCAAAAGCTACGAATGTAGCTTCTGTTGAATTTCCATCTTTGAGCTTCTGTGCTGCTTACCAGGGGCAGATCCAGAGCAAATTTGAAGGAGGGGCCAGTGGCAGCTCCAGCCTGGAATAAATGGGGGGACAAAAGGTGTGACAGTGACCACGCCTTTTTGGGCCATGTCCTTTTGGACCACGCCCTTTCCCCGTGATTGAAACATTTTCTTCCGGAGGATATAACTCTTATCTCCCAAGAAATGTCATTTAAATGTGACGATCTAGATAACGTACATATCCCCCCCCCCCCCCCCCCGAAGTTTTCTCATCAGGTTTGCAAGAATCTCAAGGACCGACTTTCTGAAAAAGTGGGGGAGGGGGCAGTTGGTTGTGGGGGCGCTGAAAACTTTTCAAAAGTGTGAGGGGCAATTGACTCGTGCAAATAATGTACAAGATTTTGCCTAGAACAAGAGGATTTCTAGGGATTTTAAGACAAAACAATAGGATTTTCACAAAAGGTGTACGAGATTTTCTTAGAGTGATTTGCCCCTCGCCAAAGTTGGTGACGAGAGTACGCTGTATACAAAAATTTCAGATCCATTTTCAGAATAAACAACATAACTTTGAAATAATCTTCGAAGCAAATTAACCTATCGGTCTCAGAAACTTTCGCACCTGATTCTCATTCTTCAAAAGGGGCGCACAATTTTTTTGTTGTTGTTGCTGTTGCTTGTGAGCGATTTTACTCTTTTGCTTTATTTTATAACTCTAAATAAACTGCAAAAGCTCTAATTTATCAGGGATAGCCTGGCGTATTAATTATTATATTTATACAAAAGTAATGAATGATGATGATTATGATAATGATGACCGGAATGCGGCATTAAATGATTGTTCGCGATGTGGTGGGACAAACGAACCTCATGTGATGACAGTCAAGATCATGTTTCACCAAAATCTGTTAACATTAACCGGCCTAAGCCCTCTTTTTCCTCGGCCTCTCTGTAACAAAGGTACTGTTGACACACCGAAATAATAGCGGCCTTGAGAAGTCTGCACTGGCCCTGTGTCTGATGTGAGTGAGACGCTGTCCAGTCCTCGTTGATCGGAAGAGGAAGAAAGTAGGAAGCGAAGAAAGGTAGGAGATGATGTTTTTTCTGGCTCGGTTTACTAGTATCAACTTCCTCTTTACTTCCATACTTCATTTGCTGTTGGTTATGCATTTGCTTCTAGTAGCGTTGTGTAAATATTTTGACTTAAAATATGACAAGTTCGACAATATTTCTGTTTAGCAGAGAAATGGACGCAACTCTATTACAGTGCTTTCAGACATGGTCATGTGATTTTGTTAGAATCTGAGTTTCACAACTTTGATTTCGATTATGTATTGGAAAGTGATCCTTGAATCGCATTACGGAGAACTTCGGTCATCAAATTGCGCGAGACTTCCCATCGACTTTTTCTCCAGTTTTGGACAATAACTGAAACCACTGTATTACAGTCAATAGAACAATAACTTTCTAGCCATGCGATGTAGCCATGTGCTAGAGGGAATTTTCAATTGCGATATCAAAACTTTGTGATCAATTTAACACAACTCTTGATACATTTGAATTGGGTCACCGGACACCATGTAGTCCTTAAAAAGACGCGATATTTTCGTCTAGTTGTGTGAAATATCCACTTGCATTGCATGCTTCGACATGTTTTTTTCAAGGACAGTGCACCCCACCGCGCTGTTTCACCCGTGGCTTAACAAGTCGCCGAGAATCATGTGACAATCAAATACAACATATAGGCCTAATTACACTCGTTGAAAATGTGCCCGCCCTTGCCAGGTTTTAGCACAAGCGTACGAATTTTGTTTCCCTGGCCACCTGATCCTGTAGAAACACAAAAGTGCGCGTTTCTCGAAAGCCCCTCTGAGTTATTTCTACGTGTCCTTCAGTATTTTATTTTTCCTTGCTGACAATTTCATGTAAAATATGCTTTTTAAATCTTTTATGTTAGCACTATCTTATCACTTGTAATTATTTAAAATATTCTGACAATGAAATGTCGAAGTTGAAGTTGATGCCCGTATCCTTAATCACCGTCATTGTAAACGCCCCCAAAACTCCTTGAGTTTAACGCATATCTAGATTGAATTAACGTATGAACATGAAGTCATTTTGTAGTTTGATTGCCAACATGCTGTTGAAAGAGTGACATTGGCTGGTCTGGTCAGGGCCCCAAACAGTTTTCACTGGTTTTGAGGCAGATAAATGAGGGTGAGAGAGATAAGTCCCCGATAGGGAGTCAATGTGATGACGTCATAAAAATCAATATATCTTTTTTGGACCACATATCCAGAAAGAGCATCATGAAATACCTCTATATCTGAAAAAGGGTCGATGTGTGCCAAGTTGGCTGAGAAGTGGCTATGAACCAAACTAAAATGAATGTAATCCGCTAGAACAATCCGGTTTTTGAGTTGCCATATTTTCTTATGCCATGCCAATCTGTGCATCAGTAAGAGAAACTTGATTAACGAATTTCTAAGCGATTTTGAGTAATCAAATTACCGCATCCACATACCAGGGCCTCCGACAAAGGGGGGGCCGGGGGGGGGAGGCCCTCGCCCCCCACTTTTTTGCAAACAATCGAGTTTTTTTCAAAATCTTTTGTTATGGGTGTTAAATTTTCCCTTGGACCCCCCCCCCCACTTTTCAACCTTTGTCGGAGCCCATGCAAACCCTGTCCGATTGGGGGATTGATGCTTCTAGCTCAATGCAAGGTTTTTTCTCATTTTAGATGACATCAACTCAATTGCCTGGATTCACTGAACTTAGCTCAGCGATTCAGTTAAATAAGGTAATATGAATAGACTTTGTGATTCAATGATTAGCTTTGTGATTCGTAGATTAGCGATTATGCGCAAACTATACCCCATTAATCAGATTCATTGGTTCAGTTGATGACGGTTGAGTGATAATGATGTCTTTTCGACAGTAGTACCGGAGCTTCAGAACAGCGATCAGACCCTATTATGGGCTCAGAAACACTGGAAACTTCAAAAATTTGGCAGTCTATTAGTAGCTATTTAAATTGTAAAGCAACCACGTAGCTGTAGATGTCGACTAGGGTGGGCAAAGCAAGAACCATACCTGAAGGGGGCTGGCTTCAAAACAAGAGAGCAGATATTTAACAAACAGATATATTTGCTCAAGCTCACGGAATTATAATTATGCCAACTTTTCAAAATATAATTTGGAAAAACTGTAGCAAGAGGGGAAACTGTAGCAAGTTGTTGTCAAAATTTTCATTTAGGAGGGCACAGCCCTCGTGAGGAAGGGTTTTCAGAGTTTTGAAAAATGAAAATAGGTATAATCAGCGCAAGAATCAAATCCGGCATTGTGTAAAAACGCTCCAGTGTTATTATGGTGCTTATTGCCCACTTAGGACGCCTATTTCATAAAGGTCCTTGTGTAACCGGCATGCTTTTCGGAAGCGGTTTGTAACGTGTTTCATGCAGCATGATATTAGGCCGGTATTGAGTAAATAGTCGCAAAGCATGCCGATTGCGCAAGAGCCTTCGATTTTAAAATGTTATCCTCATTTTAACATGGATAAAAAGCAAAATAAAGAAAAATAAAGTGATGGTTTATATTCCGGTATCTAGCCAAAGCCTATTCTACTTCCTTTGCACGGTACCCCCTATGACGCTATGCTCAGGAGCACATACTGAAACACTTTCACTTTTTGCTTTGCCAGGTATCCTTAATCGAAGGCGTAAATCACGTGTTCCACTTACCCCATCCTTTATTGGCTGATGCTGCATTAGAGTCACCGTTACCTTCAATCCAATCCTGGTACCCTTCGTTGATGACGTCAGACGGTGTGAATTTGCGTTATATTTCAAACAGTGAGCCTCGTAAGTACTTTGTAGTGTAAATTGTGAACTCAATTTGCGACCATGTTTTGGAGAATATTTCAAAATTCATCGTAGTAAAGATCTTTGTATAATTAAATTTGTTTAGTTGAAAAAGTGTGAAGATGGGTATTAAGAACCACATCCTTGATAAGTTGAGGGTATGTGTCTTCATTCATCTATCCCCAACCTTCTTGGACAGCCTTGTGGCATCAAGTCGCGAAAGTCAACCCAGGGGCGTGGTGGCCCACAGGGACTCGGGAAATTTCCCGGCAGGAAAACATTTCATGTAGGCCTCTTGGATTTTTTATCCTTTTTTCCATTTGTAACATCTGGTTTGTGAGAAAATTTAAGTGAACTAAGGCCCCACGCCGCCTCCGCGACACTCATTTCTTACATATTATAAGTGATAGAAACAAGAAACGACCAGCTTTTTCCCGGCCCATAAAAAATTCCATCATGCCCCTGAGTTGACCTCTTTCTTCTTTTTTCCAGTCGTCAACAGTGGCTCAGTGGCTCCATCTATATTTCTTTCTTCAGCTTCTGGTGAGTTCCTCAATCTTTTAAAAAATTCTGCTTTCCTTCTGCAAGAAAGTAAGTACTTATCCTATTCCAATTCCAATATCCAATTCTGAAGTTTATAATTATTTCTAGAGTCATGTGTCTCTGTACCTCCTATAAAATGTTTAGGATCGGTCAAAAAAATTTTCACCATACAAAGTCTAATTTGAATATGAACTCGTAGAGGAATATTAGATTTGTAAGCTCAACATTATTGCTATTCGGTATCCCAAATGTAACATTTCTGGGTTTCGAAATTTTGTTTCGAATTGACCCGATTTCAAAATCCCCTCCATAATCAGACATTGTAATCAATCCCCAGTTAGAAAATATTTTAAAGAAAGCCAGTCGCATTTTTTACCTTGCTAATTTGAGTAAGACTCAGAGTTAGAGTGTTGCTTCCATTCAAAATGTGTTTTAATGATTGTATTTTATACTCAAAGTCCAGCTCAAATTTTTTTACGCCCTTAGACAGAAATTACGAATGTGTATTGGATATGGAAGGGCAAGCAATATCAGACTGTCACATCAGAGATGAATCAAATGTTTTAAAAGGTAACATCTAATAACTCCTCTTCTGGTATATTTCTGTGCTTTAATCTATTTAGTTATGATTATTATCAAAACCATAATCACAATCACCTTGATTATCGTCTTCATCGGCGATCACCATCATCATAGCCACTTTTTAACGGCCACCATCACTAATCGTCACTAATCATAACTACTCATCGCTAATCATCAATAATCATAATTAATCACTAGAAGCTAATCATTCATTGTGTCTATTCTAGCACCATTTTGTTCTCAATACTTTCGAAATTTATATTTTTGTTTAACTATATACGTTTTCTCGCGTTCTTAGATACATGATAATTAAATGATTTGTTCAGATAACTTTTTACACTGACTAACTTTTGTAGATATAAAATGCGAGGTCGATGAAGCACTTGATGAAGAACGCGACGAGGAACAGAGAAGTGACGATGATGATATCTCGAATGAATTTGAAAGGAGTCTTGTTTCGTCTGGTAAGGGAAAATTTGTAGCTTTTCGCCAAATCACCTCTACCATAACACTTACTACGAATGTTACTAGGCACCTGATTCCATTAGATTCTAAATAAACTGAGTTGCAAACTAGTGACCACATTTCTTCGGTTCATATCACCCTTCTGACGTCATACTGGCCCGCATGAGATAATTCAACTACGTTTCAAGACATTGTCCAATCAGTATCAGAATTAGACTAATAATACCTTTATCATTGATTCTAGATCTTGGAACTGTTATCAGGTTTGGCCAAGAGTTCACCTTCGAAAACGTCATGACAAATGTAGTAAAAGAAAGACCAAAAAAGAAACGCAGAAGTATGTATTAATTTCCATTTTATGTTGTAAATGTATGACAAACCAGTGATATCATCATGACATTCCTCAAAGTAGTTATTGTTAAAAAGAAGATACAAAAACAACTTTCATCAAGAAGTTGATTTGCTATGTTTGGTATTTCAATACACGAGCCCCGAGAATAACAACAAACTAGATTTACTTTAATGCTGAATTTTTACCTAGAGGATTGCCGCATCTTGTACATTTGACGGAGAAGGGGGGGGGGACATTCTCTATATCTAAGTTGTTTTCCATTAACTACCTAAAATGTCAAAAAAAGTCTACCATTTTCCTTGAATCTATGGGAGTGATATCAAATAGTCCAGCAATTTAGCAGCCAAATAGCAGCCAAATAAGTCATCAAAAGTCGGAGAAAGAATGAAAAAAGGGTCAAGAAAATTTTTCGTTAGCTTCAGGTAGAGTGTTAAATTTATTTCCAGTCTTTTATCTTTGAAAGCAAAAATTGATAATTACTGAAATATCGGATTGTAAAATTTTAGATACACTAATGAGTTGCTATATTAGAGAAAAATATTCAAATTTCATGCAAGAGTTACTGTAGCTCCAAACTAAAGCTCTCTGTCGTAATACAGAAGAAGAAAAATTATTATTGGTTCCGTGACCATGGTTAGGAAAGATGATCACTTTCAGGGAGAATCCCTAGTGTATGCCCCCGCTTTCCATGCCAGTTATTAGGCCTTCTTTCAATATGGCTTCTAACACAAGCACGGAAGACTTTTTAATCTTTAATCTATTTGGATGATTCAATGTCATAGCCATGTACTCTTTAATCAATCGCCATCTATTTGCGCCCGAAAATGTTTTACCATATCTAAAGAAGCTTTTCAAAAGTGGCTGCATTAGTCCTATTATACGACATTTTCTTCTTTAGGTGTTTAGAATTTGGAGAATTGTGCAGAGAACCTTTTTGTATTTTCGCCTTATATTTCCTAACGACTTGCTTTTTTTCCTCAGTGTTAACAACTGTTGCTACACAGACACCCCCTGAAAACTCAATATACGATGATATAGGTATGATATTGTCTTATGAGTTGCTGATTTATCTACTTACGAAATAAATATCACTTTTGTTGTATTCTTGTTGCTATCACAATCTCATTTATTTTTCATCGCTCAATGGACTGACTGGAGCAACATGCACCTTTTGAATGCGATTCAGGTTACGTCATTTTACATTGCATAAGCAATGCTGTTGTGTAACAGGAGTCTTAGTAGTGGAGTGTATTTGCTTCGTTGGAAAGATGTAAAGGATCAAAATCAATAGAGCCTTCCTTGTGTAAACTGAATCCTCAATCAAGTAGCAGTAGAATCTGTTTTTCGCATGGCGACACCTTATGATTTGTGTACTGGCTATATAGAATGGTCTGTGCTACGACCTTAACCAAAAGTCATAGAACACTAACATCATTTAAATGCGAATTCAATCACCCTATCTCCCCAAAAGAACAATGTTTGTTTACCATTAAAGGCAAAAAGAGGTTATAGAGTACTTTTTTGTGGTTCATTCAACATTTTTCTTTAGGGGAAAAGGGGGTGGAAGTTGCATTTTTGGGAAATGAAATGAAAAATGGGAAAGCACAACGCAATTTTCCAGGTGTTCCAAGTAACTTTGGCAGTGATTGTAGATTGTGGTATTTTGAAGAACTTCGTAATTTTTGATACATTTGACAACTTTAAACACGGCATAATGGACTTCATATGAGGTCCTCAGTTTAAATGTTTAAATATTGAAAATATTGAGCAGGGCTCAACAACAAAATAGTTTCTCTCTGAGTAGAACAAGATCTTTAGATCTTGATTTGTCCTCCAAAAGCTTTAAGAGTTTTGCTATGACTTGAATAAATGTTCATCTCCTATCGAATTTCTTTGTAGAACCTGTTAAACTTCCGGTCCGGTACCTTTATGAGTTCCTGGAATTGCTGTTGGATGATGAGCGATATAAAAAGCTGATCATGTGGAAAGACAAGAAAGAGAGAGTCTTTATGTTGATCGATCATCATAAAGTCGCTGAAATGTGGGGTATGCATAAACGAAAGAAACCGATGACATATGACAAGTTCAGTCGTGCTCTTCGCTTTTATTACAGCAAAAAAATATTGAAAAAAGAGCCCGGTAGATTTACTTACAAGTTTTTAATACAAGAGGGGGATATTGTACAATACATGAAGTAAAAATTGTAAAGTATATTACTTGTTAAACCCATTTCAATGCCAAGCTAAAGGCTACCAAGATATCAAAATTGAGGACACGTTAATATTCAAATATTAGGACATCAAAGAAAAATACAAGTCAAGTTATTTTGCATTATGAATTCGTCCCTAAAAGAATTACGTTTTTAAGAAATTACGGGATACAAGAAATAAAGAAGTCGATAAAGCCTGTTTCCTGGGATACCATTTTTTAATTAATACATGTATTTCAAATGTTCTTGGACAAGCAGTCGCAATAAGACAAATTCAATGGTACTGGTTACGCTTCAGATCTTTTTTTGTGAAATGAATTTTAGTTAGATAGAAATATTACGTGGCCTTTAGCAGATGGATTGAAAATATCTTGAAATGAAGAGATCAATGTTTTTAGCCACTTTCAACTGAAAAAGAATTCTCAAAGTGAAACGAGACGTGGAATTAGACTGCTGTTTCTTTGCCTGCTGTTTCTTTGCCAATTAGAGTTCAATTTTTACCTACAATTTCGAGAAAATTTTCTAGCCACTCTAAATACGAGCTATTTTTGACAGTAGTGCTTCTACTTTATCAGTTTCCCAACTTTTTTTGCACCATGTATGTTTTCTACACAGATCTTCAGAAAGTTTTTCAGAATCGTTCTAAACTAGCAATTTCCTTCTCGGAAAAGCGATAGGTGATGTAAAACAAGACGCATTTTACTTTTTATTGGAAGCAGCTACAGTGGAATCACCCTTTTACGAACTCTTCAGGGACCGAGAAAAAAGTTCGTAATAACGGGGGTTAGTTATATCGAGGATTTGTTATAGAGGGAGTATTGCAAAAGACCTCGTAGTTCGTAATATTCGGAAACCGAGTAGTTCGTAATAAGCTGGATTCGTAATCGTGAAATTCCACTGTACCTACTATATGCACGATAAACTGTATTACAAAATGAATATATTGTTCCCCTGAAAGCAAGATAGGTCTTAAAGCATTGATCGTTCATTGGGAGTAAATATTTTAGATCCTTCCAGATTATCCTTAAAAATTATTCTAATTAATATTTCGATTTTAATATTGCCACGAGAAAATAATTGTTCATATTGCAGAGATTTGAGAGCTCAACAATACGTTATCGCAGTTTTTGTATATTTTTTAAAAAAATTGCGTTCAGAGTTCTATTTTGTAAACAACTAGAAAATCTTTTGATGAAAATTTTTGCAGAGGTTTTTTATTTAGAGATTTTTAAATAAGCTGCTGGATCAGACTGTTCGTATTTGTTTCATCTTTTGATTCTCAATATAATGTTGCTTTAATTTATTTCATCACTGTTTGTGTGTTTGTATGTTTTTTTCAGTTTGCTTTCTTAGTGATAATTTTTTGTATACTTACCAAATGTTCACTTGTGTACTGAAAAATTTTTGTATATTGACCAATTTTTGGAAATTTTAACCTCTTTAATTAACTGGGTATCTGAAAGAAAATCCAAAGCAGGACCGTCAGAAGAAACTGGCTCATCAACCCTCCCCCCCCCCTCTCTCTCTCTCTTTCTTACGCTTCCCTTCCTCCCCTCACCATAGCCACCATATTTGTATTTCGATTAATGCTCTCCTAAATGTGACCACGTTTCATCCGTTTTCTTTATCTGTTTTCTACGGGGAATTTTTCCAATGCATGATATTAGATTAAAACACGGGTATTGATACATCAATAACTGATACTGATTGTATATTGTCACGATTTCAAACTCCATAGTTTTTTGTCGTCTTGGTTTTAAAGAATTAAAGCTAAAATGAGCCACCTATCCCATGGAGGTAGTAGAAAATGAAATCACATAAGAAGAGCATTGCCAAAATCAATTTGAGGGATACAAAGATTCCGATTTTTCGTTGGTAAAGATATTATGATATATATTCAGCAAGTATTACACATATTTTAGAGGTTTATTACCACCCACCCTCATTAAACTCCCCTAATTTCCTATGAGAAAACACTTTGATAGTTGAAGTTTCTCATTGAGCCACGCTGTATCAAGAATTCTATTGGTTGATCTTGCTTTTGATTTAATTGGTTTTTAAAAAGTAGGCAGATTTGTCAGGGTTTTGATATTTCGAGGGCGTTTATATGCCCAATAGATTTTTAATAGAAATAAAAGAATGAAAATATTTTATCACAAATTTCTAGACATTTTTATGCTACTGTAAATAAGTTGATGTGAATGCGATTGTTTATAATGTTACTGCGTTTTTTAATTTTGTATGAAGTTTTCCATCTAAAGCTGTTATTCATTGCTGTCCCTTCTTAAAATCTTTAAATAATGCATTGGGGTGTTCCTGGTTCAACCAACACTTTCCATTTGGAATTTATCTGATGTTATACGCAAAAAAGCGTGACAGTTCCACCCATAAAAATGCTTTCAGAAAAAAAATGTTATCAACGACTGATATACCCATGGCAATAGATGGTTCAATAATAGCTTTACCGTAAATCTTCGAAAGAGCCCCCCTCTCTCGAAAAAGTCCATCCCCTTCAAAAAGCCCCCCCCTCGAATAAACCCCCACCCTAGAACTACAAATTGTTACCCCACTGCTACCGTAAATTCTCGAACTGGACCCCTCCATTTGATGATTGTTGCCATCTGAGGTTGCCTATATGGCGTTTTATTGAAATTTATTGAATTACCACAACAAGTTCATACTTTTGGTAGTAATTAATTGAATGCTCACAAAGAAATTCCTACTAAAGTAAACGAGATCTTTTCATAATGTCTTCTTAATGTCTACAATAATTTTATAAGTCCCCCTCTCATAAGCCTCCCCTCGAATAGGCCCCCATCCAAAAATATCAAGAATAAATAAACCCCCAGGGGGCTAATTCGAGGGTTTACGGTATTCACGACAGCCACAATCATTGCCAAAAGTATTTGGAACTCCTGTTTCCGCACCCCCTTCCTCCCTTGTGGGGGATCAAAAGAATAATCCTGCGCTGTATTAACGTTTCGTCTCATGAATAGAGGCGAAACTCCAGATGGGTTCCTGGTTCTTGTTGTATAATAAAAGATAAAGGCGAAAAATACAGCGATTGCTCCATTATATTTACATGCAAAAAGAATCTTCGATGCGGCGAAATTTACATTGAGCTAACATATTCCATGAGTGAATTTAAGAGCGTTAAGCGTCCATCCTCGAGTAGTCTTATCTCTCCTAAAATTTTTTATTTTCGATGTGTTGAATTGGATTTCACTAATCACATGACATAGTCGATTTCCTTCACCCCTAAACAATGTGGACTTGCTACAAGTCTCTCTCTTTAAAGAAAGGGAAAAAGGAAAAAAAGAAAGGGAAGGAGATTCATCCCCTCCAATTTTTTCTTTTCTCTCTTTCTTTAAAGAGAGAGACTTGTAGCAAGTCCATAAACAATGTTGATGTTAGAAAAATATCATGATCGCAGAAAAAAGCGTACCTCCTTTTCCCCTACGTCGTTTTGTAGTAAACCACATTATCCAAAGGGGGAAGAGGAATGGCTGAATTTGCCCTTGAAAACTGACGTTAGTATACCAAGACAGTCATTGTAGGTATGCAATTTGCCTTTTCCTAATATCACACATTTCAAGGCAGCCTTTGTGATTTTATGCCACATAAAATGGCATTTGAAGAGTTGGAAAATTTGTTTTTGATCACAGTATGCAAGTTTCATTAAACCTAAAAGTCTGTACTTGAAAATAGCCGGCGAGACAAGAAATCTTCTTTCAATTTATTTCCACTTACAATGTTTCCATTGGTTTTAGAATATTTAGTGGAAGTTTCGTTTAGATATACATCACTATCAGCTAGATGACCTGATCGGTGAAGAAATATGAATCAATATTATTTGTTATTTATTTTATCGATCGCATAGTGATTTTACCAACAAAAACAAACGTTTACCAAGTACTACATAACCTGCCTAAAACATACATGGATAGATCACAAAAATGGCCAGGGATGTAGTCGTAAAATTTTAACAAGAAGGGCTCTATGAAATTTTTAAGTTTTTCTTCTCGTGTAGTCATTGCAATTGTAGCAAATATGACGAGGGTTGCTGTTTTTCCGTTCATTGGTTGAGCAGGCGGTTAGTGGTTGACGTTACTCACTGACGGTTTGTGCTACAGCTAAGATCAGAACATCGACACCATGGAAAGGGTGGGGGCGGAATTTTATTGCAAATGAGGAGGCAAAATGTTCAAATTGCTCAGGGGTTTAGTAAAAGCCGCCACCATGGTCGGCGGCGTGAAGATTTTAAGAATGGCCAGAAATGCAATAATAATGACCCATTGGTTGGATTTTGAATTGACACATTGTCTCTCGTGTTAACAAAACAGAAGAGATTTCAACAGCTAATGAACAGTGCTACTAAAGCCAAGCAGAACTGTTATACAGTGGACTTAGAAAGTATTCATAGTTTGCAGATATAGCACATCGAGTGTTTGCAAAAATTGTATGGTTCTTATAAACGTAGGGAAGGCAGATTACAATAATAGCGTCGTTGACTCAATCAATTAACCCCACTTCAAAATGCAACAATTAAAACCAACTCTCTATACAAAACTGCAACTAAAACGTACTCAATAAGAAATTATTCAAGAATTTTCTATTTATATATCACAGTATCAAGTGTAAACAGCCGTGTCTGAGGGTCTAGAAAACTGACACTCATCTCTGATATTTGATTCTCCTTTTCTTTGAAATCAAAGGAAATTAATACCCTTTTTCCTGAAATCAAATAGTTGAAATAAGGCCAAACAAAGAAAAATTAGAAACGTCATTAAGATTTAAGATTCTCATATTTAAGATTTTCTTTTTCTTTTTCTATCTTATGTATGACAAAATTGAACCCATTTCTTAGAGATAATTGAAGGCACGGGTGCTTGCATAAAAGCGCAGACAATGAGGGCGGCTGAGCCCCCCCACCCACTTTTTTCGAAAGTTTTAACAAGGGGGTTGCGCCCCTTCCCCCCTGAGCCCCCCACCACTACATCCCTGGAGATGACAGACAGGAAATTCCAGTAACACCTTCACGAAAGAGACAATTGTGTGGCAACAACAGCAACACCAACAAATAACTTGTGGGAAAATGGCGGACGGAAAGTTGCTGCTGGAAGTGAAAAATGATGTTAAATTCAAGAAAACCGAAGGAACATTGCGTCTTTTAAAGAATAAACTCGCGTGGATACAAAAGGGCGAAACTGTGCCTAAATTCGAATGTCTTTACTCTGACATTAAAGGTAATTATGAAAGCAAGAAGCTACACGATGACAGTAGTCTACGTGTGTACACGTAGAGAAGAGTGATCAAAGAACAACCTTCAAGGTTGGGCTTGGGCAAGTCAGCAGAGTATGACAGTTTTCGACGAGATTTCGCACATGCAACTCATTCATTCCACATTGCAAGCCTCTTTTTACTATTCATTTAGCGTGCAAATATAAGTTTCTTTAAAAGCGCTACTGTAAATTTGGTGTGCAATCAGAAAATCTTAGCGTGTAGCACTATTCCGAGCTCGACTCGAGTGTGCGTCTGCCGTACTCTGCAGGATGGGGCTTGGGGACTTGTCAAATCAGGATGTTATTGAGGGTAGAACTAAACACCAAAAAACCTTGTTTGACTAAATCAGTCTCAAGCTTATCATGTTTGAACTCGCATTTTCTGTAGTATTTTCTGAACCTGGCCCTCCAGGCTGGAAAGCTTGCATATGCTTGCAACTACGCTAGACTTCTTGTGCTCAAACCTCACACCTCTAGTGACCCATATCAATAAATTCATATACCATACTATAGTAATGTATATATGGGCATTGTTGCTCGCAGCTCAAATGCTTCCGCTCGCAGGTCGCAGCTTATAATGTGCTGTTGGTCACACTGACGGGTCAGCAAAATCATACATGTTTTCCAAACTGGCTGGCCCTAGTTTCAAGCCAGACTGGAAACTTTGTTGTGCACCTGCAATATATTGCCTCTGCACACATCTGCCCGCTTTTGCATATTGGCTATGCAAAAATCCAGGATTATAACATTTACCATTATTTACTCTAAGAATAGCTGAGACTTTGTTATTTCAGGCCTGCAGTCTCAAATTTTGAAAGTAAACTTGTCCATGGAAGAAACAAAGTTACCAGTCTGGGTTTCAAATGTGTCGGGATTCCAATTATTGCAATGCATTGCATAGGTTTTCCAGGTATAAGTAACGTAAGTGGTCAAAGACGGGTACAATTTCTTATCATCGTTAGCAGAATTCGGCTTTTAAGGCTAGTTTGGGTTATAATGGAATTCATTAAAAATTGTTTACTCAGAGCAAAAATTGCAATGATTGATTTTCTGTATTTTGTATAGTATTTCAAAAAGTAGTTATCTGTGCTACCTTTTTAAAGTTCCTCGCAAAACTGACATATTTTGATGTAGCTCTTTTCTTATGTGCAGAGAAAGGGATTGTATTTGGTATTTTCAAGTGAAAGGCTGTTATTTTCATGCATTTGGTATTTTATTCATAATATAGGGCTGGCTTTGAAAATAAAGTCGCAAGGCATGTAAATCATGCAAGAACCTTTAAAAAATGATGCAAGCCAATTAATGTTTTTACAAATATCACTCTCTAGTTAACATGTAGCTATTTATGGATTTTCAACACACGATTAATCCTGTTGTTTATAAGCCAAGTTTGTTGCTGCAAAAAGCATTTTCTGTTTAGAGAAATAATGGGGACTCCGTGGTTAATTGCCAATTTCCTTTGACTGAGGCAATTAACAACTTGTAGTCAATGATACCCTTGTTAAGATATCAGACTAATACAATTCTCCTGATTTTGTCAGGAGACTCCAGGCTGCTTGCTTTTTCTTGGTGAACTCTTGATCGATTTTTAAAATTATTCTTTCTAGAAATTTTTATCAGAGGAACAGCCATTTGATTAAGAATTGTAATTGTCTTGCCACTGCTTAAGAATGTATGATTTTTTAGATATGGTTTATTTGATTTACAACCTAATTCCTGACACAAGAGTTGTTATAAACATTTTTGCAAGTTTAGTTCAGAATGTGGTGATAGTATTGATTGATTTATATTTTTCTTTTCTAGTGCAAAGAATAAGCCCAGATTCTAGCTCAAAAGTTCAACTTCAGATTATGCTCCACGACGAAAGATCATCAAATTTTCATTTTGCCTCGCCAAAGGGAAGGGACTATCAGTTCAAACAAAGAGATGAAGTGAAGAATTTATTGGCTCAGCTAATTCCAGCTCATAGAAATAAAGTTAACAGAGAAATTGAAGAAAAAACCAAGTAAGATTTTGAATATGATATGTGTAATAATGATTAGATTAAATCGACCAGGTACTTCGTAAACAACAGGCACAGGCCTCTCTGAGAAAAAAACAACGCAGGCTATAAAAAGCTCTTGCCAGTTTGGCTGCGTGGGCTGTTTAACTCTTGCAGAATTGTTGTTAATCATTTTATATTTGAGTATTTACAAAGGCAAAAGCAAAGTGTTGTTAGGTTTTACCAGACAAATATGGCCTTTTTGGGAATGCCTACTTTATATGTTGTGACTTTTTCCCCTATATGACAGCATGATGTAACGTTTCTCACTTTCATTATTTATAGCATTAATCATGCTATATATTGTTCCTTTCGTGCGAACACATTTCCTATTTCATTGCAAGTTTAGCGGCTAATACAATAGTTTGTTAACATGTGCTATATAAGGAAACAGATACCTCCTAAACTAAACGCCATTAGATAAAGACATAAACGTGTAAGACATCTTTCTCTTTATTCACTAACACCCTGATATTTAGCGGTAAGTAGTGCAAACATTTGGAAGCTAAACTGCGTGGATTAAATGAGAACATTGATTTGAAAAACTGCATGGGTGCAAGAAGGCAGGGTTTGTGTGAGTGCAGGCTATAGCCTGCGTCTCCAAGAAGGCCCTGCCTGTCAGACAAGCAATTTTTTGGCATCGGGTGCAGCACGATTGGAATGCCATATATGAAAGTTGAATTAAGTTGCTTTTATCATTGTCTAGACAAATTGAAATGTTTAAAACTAAGTTTTCTTTCATTCAAAAGTCATATTAATATTATAGTTTTAGGTAATAGACATGGCTGTTGTAAAAGAATCATTTAACCCTTTTCCTGATTATCATAAACACTTTTATTTGTGCAATGTTTTTCAAAGGGGCATATCAATTCAAGAATGAGTTAGGAGAAAAGCAGGACTAATTTTGCTTTAAGTGCTTTTTAAGAAGGCAATAAAACCAGCTTGTGTGCTGTACAATATAATAAAATATAACTGGGAATTAAAGTAGAATTGTACTAGGAAAAAATATCAAATTTTAAGAGAACATATTGAACAATCACTGCCCGGTATTTGCTCATGACAGTTAATAAATGTTGTCTATAGAATAATAAAAATCTGAAAACTTGCCCTCCAATCACAATCTGTGAAATGTTTAACACAAGCTACAATTGAAGTCAAGACATAGATTAAGGGACAATTTTTTATCTACCTGGTCATGCCTTTATGAAGAACGTTTTTGCAAACATGACCCATAATGCCCTGGGCCAACCCCAAGCAAGAAACTTCTAGGTGCACTGACTGACTGTACCCGTCATAACTGCAGGTTTCATTTTTATTTCAAAATAAGTGAAGCCTTAAACTCATTTCCATAAAAGAGCCAGCTGTAACACTCAAGACAAAGTGATTTCTTAACTTTCAAAGCAAGTATTTTTAGCTTTTGTGATGAGATGTTGGTACACTTAAGTTAAAATGTACAAATAGTGCTGAAATTGTATTTGCTCTTAACTTGCAAATATTTTCGTAGCCCGTATTATTCTTAGTTATCTCTTGTCAGTTTATGTAAAATGAATTTGGATGTCTTCCAAATAATTTGCATTTGTCAATTTTGAGGGCATAAAAGTAATTAGTGTCAACCCTGTACGAGGAAGTATTATTTGGGGTTACGTTTAGTTGGCAGTCTATTGCATTGCTTGCTTGCTTGTAAAAAATATAAACTGTCAGTAGATAAATCTCTTTTCTTCGTTTAACCGAGACAAGGAATTTGATACTGCAAATTTGAAAAATACGCACTTCGCAGAACGTATTGAAACACGAAATATGTTTGACGGCAAAGGAACTGGCTTTGGTTTGGGCCTTTCGTGCAGTTACTTCATCTTGTTCTGCCTACTCGCATATACAGTGTATCTGCACGAAAGAGTGTCTCATTTTGAGACAAAGATTGCCATGATGGAGAAACCACGAGATTCAGAGTTTAAAGACGACCTTGCCCGAATTTGGCTCCAATTGCATGCAGAGATTTCACGAAAATGCGCATTCAGAATGAAAATGATGGATCAAGTTGTTCAATCTCGAGCGAAACGAGAAGCTCCGAATCTCGCTTCTAATGGAGATCTTGGAGGTTGTCAAAATGCGACACTTGTTTGTCAGAAAGGGGAAAAAGGTGCAGCAGGGGAACCTGGACCACAAGGGATGAAGGGAAACGTCGGGGCAAAAGGTGATCTGGGAATTATTGGACCTAGTGGTGTCAGAGGCCCTCCTGGCCTTCAAGGGACTAAAGGAGATCGAGGCTGGAGAGGTAACCCAGGTCCTCAAGGGACTAGAGGAGATCGAGGCTGGAGAGGTAACCCAGGTCCTCAAGGGACAAAAGGTGATCGAGGCTGGAGAGGTAACCCTGGTGCTCAAGGGACAAAGGGGGGTTTTGGGACAAAGGGTGAGAGAGGAGCCAGTGGGTCTGTTGGACCCACTGGACCCGAGGGGCAAAAGGGCCAAAAAGGCGATCGTGGAGAGCCCGGAAAATCACCAGAGGTACCTTTAATTGTTACTATGTTTCCAAAAGTTACCAGAAAAATGGAAATGACAAATCTTACATTAAACTGCACGGCAACAGGCTTTCCAGAGCCAAAAATAATATGGCAGTTTGAGAGACAAAAGGAGCGTACTAGATACACACTTCCAACTAGCAATATCCTGCAAATAATCTTCCTCAAAGATGAGGATAGTGGGAATATTAGATGTATGGCTAATAACAGCTTAGGAACTGCAATCGCTAGTACAAGGTTGACTGTACAAACAAAACCGAAGGTTGCATTGCTAGGGAACTTTTCTCGTTATGTAGGGACGCCTGCTGAGATAGACTGCAATGTTACCGGTATCCCAACACCAACAATTACGTGGACAAAACGTTTTGGCCAAATGCTGGGGCAACAAAGCTTGTCAGCAGACGGAACAAGACTGACATTGAGGATAGGACGACCAACTACGAAAGATTCAGGGGAATACATTTGCGAGGCCAGAAATAGTGTAGGTGTCACCGAGAAGTCGATTGCTGTTTCATTTTACGATTATGCAACGGATTGCTCTGAATTAAGACAACTAGGTCATACTGCCACTGGGATATACACAATAAAACCAGATTCAGGGAGCCCCTTTCCAGTGTTTTGTGACATGACGAAAAGTGGAGGTGGTTGGACAGTGATCCAGCGACGTACAGATGGGTCTGTGGATTTCTACAGAGGCTGGAATGATTACAAGAATGGATTCGGTGTTTTGGATAACGAATTGTGGTTAGGAAATGACAAGATTCACCGTCTGACGCAACGAACAAGTATGAAGATAAGATTTGATTTGGAAGCTAAAGATGGCGATAAGGCGTTTGCAGAATACAGTAGCTTTCGGATTGAAGGAGAGCAAAACCAGTACAAGCTCCATGTTAGTGGCTACTCTGGAACAGCCGGTGACTCTTTCACGTACCATGACAAAATGATGTTTTCAACATTCGATAGAAATAGTTATAGTTGTGCACAAACCTACCGCGGCGCATGGTGGTATTATTCGTGTCACAATGCGAATTTAAATGGCAGATATTTGAATGGGCCTCATTCTTCGTACGCTGATGGTATCAATTGGTATTTGTTTAAAGGACATCACGATTCATTGGTCAAAACAACAATGAAGATCAAAGTCAATTTCTAATGACAGTGAAGGAACAACAGTAACTTTTTCATATCCTTTGTTCACAAATATTATACTTTTTTATTTTCCTTAAATATACTCGTAGCAAAGACCTCTCGCAATTTTCTTTCTTTTGGATTTCTCCAAAGAGAAGTTGTGCTTGTGACATTATAACTCTGTCAATCACACCCACTGATCAAAACAATCCCAGTCAACTTTGTATTCTTTCCAATTTGCTTATTTCGCTCTATCTGAGGGTAAAGGTTTCAGTTCGATTTTGAGGGACGTGTAATTCGAAAAAGCCAACGTTGAATTCTGTACTCAAGCTTTCTAGTTAGGTGCCAATAACAACAAACAAACATTTTGCGCCAGTCTGATGTCCCTGCAGTACACAGCTAAGCAGATATGGCCTTATTCTAATTCCGCTGTTCAAAAAACATTCTAGGATTAGTAAACCCGTGTCGAGGAATCTTCAAATTGGCTTGCTCATACTTCCCTAACGTATTATTATCAAATTGCTCTAGAAAATTGCTCACCAAGATCATTTGCTCACTTGTTGCTGATAACATATAAGTCAACATTACCTGATACTAGAACAAAGGCTTTCTTTGGGCCTAGATATCTTCAGTAATGATCCAATCAATAAAGGTGATATCATTTAGACGGTTATTGATTGGCCAATAATTGATTGACTTAATTTGGCTTAAGCCATTAAAGTACCAATCGATTACCTTAAAAGAGTGTGACTTTAGCTGTCAATCAACAAGGGAAAGAGTCACAGTTTTTCTTTTTGAGTGTTCTTGAAAAGAATATTATTCTTTTGAATCGAGGGGTTTCTGTAAGGTTGTTGAAAGTGTAATCTTCTTTTCTGGAACACTCAATACAAAATTAACCGAAAATCCATGTATAGCATTTTAGAATGAAAAGAAAATTCGTATTTAGGGAAATATAAAAACATGTTAAATCAAAGCCTTAAATTCCGAGAAAATTATAAATGGGAAAGAAATTCAGAGAAATTATTAGGGAGATGAATTGAAGAAATTTTGAAGAAATATGTTTTAAAGCACTTTTTTGAAACCTAAGATAGTTGCATAAAGTGAAATTTTTCATGCAGGATGCTAAAAGAGAAACCAGAACTCTACCAGTTGTACAAAGATCTCGTAAAAGGTGGCATTATAACGGCAGAAGAATTTTGGGAAAACAGAAAAATGGTAAGTATTCTAACAACACTTGTATATTCTAACTCACTAAGAGGCCATGGTTGGCTAAAGGGCAGTTTCTGCCCTCCTGGGGCTGTCCTAGTTCAATCTTTAACAAATTCCATTTTTGATTTCAACTTAGAGGCATTTAGTCTCTAGCATATCTATATTGTGTGTGTAATAAGCACTAGTGGTTTGTGAAATATATTAATCAAATGAATTGTCAGTAGTGAAATTATTCATTAATTTTAAATAACATTCGGTGTCTAATGTGTCTTTTTCAAATGTTGTTAAATGGTTAAAAGTGAAGTGCATAAATGCGAGAATAAAAATAAGAATCGTTTCTGCATTTTTTGTATTTCAGAGTAAGTAACAAGAGTAAAGAAGATCTATTCCCTCCAGTTTAGTACCTCTGATATCGAAATGCCTTGTTTAGTTCTCGTACTTGCCCCCTTTTTTATCACATTTCCTGATCTGCTAACTTTTGCTTGTGTCTGGACAGTTGAGCTTGGCTTTTGCGTTTGCTTGTATCGTACTTCTATGTTTTTACTCTGTACTCGAAGATCCCCATTTTAAAAACATGCATTTTTAGTATCAACATGAATACAACCTCCTGAAGCATTCTCTAGCATATGTACATAGGAAGTCTTAGTTCCAGAGATAATCGCTACAGCTTTATAAGCAATCGATGTTTTAACACAAGTATAAAATTTGAATGGCGTTTTAATTTTAAAGTTTTACAAGAAAACTGTTTTATTTCAGCTCACTCAACAAACAGTAAAATACAGGAAACAACTAATGCTTGAAAATTAAGCAAATATTTGCTTGACTTTTTCAGGGTCTTGGAATAACAGACAATGGGGCAAAGCAATCTACTGGAATTTCATCAGGATTTCTAGTAAGCATCAGTTTGAACTTCTCAATTAATTTGTTTTTAGTGTACTAATGTTAGTGCGTGCTTTTTATCTTTGAAATTGCCAAGTGCCAAACCTTGCGAAATTTGCAAAGCCAATTGTTTCAATGCTTTTAAGCTTACTTATAATTTATATTGTTTCAGATCAATAGTACCTACCCCCCTTCCCCCCCCAAAAAAAAGTTTCTCCCTTCCTGTGGTATTGAGTAGAACAAAACAATTTCCCACGAACTAGTTTCATTTTTGGATGGCCAGGACATCAGGGTCGGAAAATGTATTATGTGGTGCCTACGCAGCCCAATATCCCATTGTTAGCAATTGGTCTTTAACAAGAAACTTTCTATAAGAAATCAAGCCCTAAGATAATTAGATAAATTTATTAGCAATAGTACTAATTACCCTCAACCTTAAGACCCTTCTCGAAGTTTTTCTGTGAAAGATGGGTTAGAAATCATTCCTCTAGATAGGTACCTATTATAAGTATCTTGGATGTAGTTTGTTATGAAAACAATATCTTGTATACAACTGTAGAATGCATCACTGAAGCAAACTTATGCTACTTCTCTGAAGAGATGTCTTGAAAGGAATTCAATACATTGATTAATCTGTAGAAGGTCAATTATTTTGTAAGCAGACCACGATCTCATTTTGCTTCGTGCCATTGATTAATACAGCAATACAGCTTCCTTGTTATGTTATGTTATGTTATGTTATGTTATGTTATGTTATGTTATGTTATGTTATGTTATGTTATGTTATGTTATGTTATGTTATGTTGTGTTATGTTATATTATGTTATGTTATGTTATGTTATGTTATGTTATGTTATGTTATGTTATGTTATGTTATGTTATGTTATGTTATGTAATATTATGTTATGTTACGTTATGTTATGTTATGTAATATTATGTTATGTTATGTTATGTTATGTTATGTTATGTTATGTTATGTTATGTTATGTTATGTTATGTTATGTTATGTTATGTTATGTTATGTTATGTTATGTTATGTTATGTTATATTATGTTACGGTTTATCAAATGTTTTACTTAGATCTATATCTTGCGGAATCTTTGTTACTCACTCAGTTTCAATGTTTCGTTGTATTCACTAATGCATAGTTCTTTAGTAACTTTTTGAGTGTTTTTAAGTGATTCCTTACTCTATGCATAGGCCGAAATAAAACCAGATACCCATGGGTGCAACGAACTAAGGTTTAATCTCACTGCGGACAGTATTGAGGCAATATTCAAAACATACCCAGCAGGTATAATGCCTATTTTTGCTTCATACAGCTACATTATCTCTAGCAGTGGCAGTTTATCTATATCTCTAGCAGTGGTTGAAACAATGATATTTTACAACCAATAGCCTGTTATTTCGGCAATTATTTTTTATTATTCCCGTTCTTTCTTGGAACCAATTGCTCTTCGTGGTGCAAATTTTGTTGTTTTACTCTCACCAGATTATGGCTCTTCGTTTTTGATTCTGGCTTATCAACTATGCTTTGCGAGTATTGATAGGGCAATAGTACGATTTTTTGTAGATTTTTGGGTTTGGATTGATGTAGAAAATGCACTCTAATCTTGAGTTTGTAATTTAGTACTGCAAGTAATTGGTATTGTGTTACATAGCATGAAATTCCAGCAATTGGTCCAAAAAGCATTTTAATTTCAACTTTCAAATATTTCCATTGTCAGTGTTGGAAACATTGATTGCAAAGTTGGACATGACTGATGTGTAATCAATGATTAACTGTTCCAGAAATTGGCATTTTTGTTTCGATAATATTGATTGTAACTAATTCGCCAGTTTATCAAAGATCAAACAACGTAGATCTTGCAATTCTGTATTTTTTCTGTGTGAATTTAGAAATTTTTTTAATGCGCTATCACTACTTGATTTTGCAGTACAACGAAAATATGAGTCTTCAGTTCCCCACGAGGTAATTTTATCAGTACTTTTTATGTAATGTATACATGTGTTACAATCCAGGCCATTTCACTGAAGATCAGGTGTACTAGAGTGCATCTGTATGTCCTATGAAATTCTGTAATGAGCTGCATCATGATAAATCTAGATCCATGGCGTCCCCTTCTATGGCATCCTCTTCCGGGACATCTTGCAATTGCTGATCCCCTCTACGATTGTTTTACATCTCAGTTCCTCTTCCGGGAGATCTTGCAATTGGTGATCCCCTCTACAATTGTTTACATCTCAGTTTCTGCGTATCATGCATGCCCCATTTCTCTCAGCATCCTTCATCATATATATTTAAGTTCGTATAATTTAAAGCATATAGGTATAGATATATGTAATTGCTGCTGATAAGTCAGTCGGGATAGTCAATGCATTTAAAAAACAAATTCAGTTATGACTGTCTGCTTTTTGGCTTTTTTATTCTCTCCCTTTTTTATGGCACTCCTCGTGATGTAGAAGGTACATTAGTTAGTACTGCAAGTACCAGGGCCACAAAATTCCGAGTGTGTAATCTTCTCCGCTTCTCTACTCCTATATTCCATTTCTGCGCTCGAATTTTTGTTTCTCTGGTACCCAGGGCAGTATATTAGTCGTGTGATCAGAAGGGTACTGAACACTATCCTATCCAGTCCTCAATAATCAAATAGTTACTGTCCATATAGCCTGCCTAAGATCAAGTTGAAATTAAAGTGCCATGCAAAGAACAAGAGCAGATGTAAAAATTGGCTACTTTTGGCATTTACAAGAGGGGCTCGGCTCCCTTAGCACACCCCCCTAGCACTACACCCCAGCTGTTGAGCTTACTCAAAGAAAACCAATCGAAGTGTATATATTGAAAAGCAAATGGAGGACTTTGAATTCTGGAATTCGTTCTTGAATTCATTTAATCATTGTTTTATCTTTCAATGTCTTACGTTTAGTCAATTAAATATCTTACTTTATTTAGCTTTCAGAGGAAAAATTCTGGACTGATTTTTTCCGATCTCGACATTTTCATCGAGATCGTTATACTACTACGAAATCGTCTAAAGACCTGTTTGGCGAGTGTGCAGAACGCGACGAAGAGCAGCAGCTTAGAGAAAGCATTAAGAATATAGGAGACCCAACATTAGATCTTACAAATACAGATGCCGATATAGAAGAGGTGAAAAGTTTGCATTTAATGTAGAGTTATATATTCCTTTTCCTTTCTATGTCAACAATGTTTTTTTTTCGCTTTTCTTAGTTATGTATCCAATTTTTTTGCGGTACAGAATTTGAAAATGGCTTTGAAAAAAGCAAATATTTTACAATATACTAAAAGCTTTTTCGTCTGACACTCCTCAGAGCATAAAACGTCAGAATCAGGGTCCGAAAGAACACGATGAAAAATATATACCCAGTTGTGGATCGAAATAGGCCAATCAGAAAAACGCAAGCACAGGACCGGTATAGTTGACCAATCAGTGCCGCGAGCCTAAAGAAAAATTACCACTGGAGTCCAAGAGAGAAAACGAACTCCTTCTGTCTATACAATGGCGGTTTTTTAGTTTGTAGATCGAAGATCGACTCCAAAACTGCTAGATGGAAGTCATTATAGAGTTTTGCACAATCTGGGTTGTCTAAAAGATGTTGACCGATGGCAGAATCACTTGTTTTAACAGTGTTTCTAGACCTACAAGATCGAGAAGGATGTTCTCTTTGAAAGGCAGTTTTGTTTCTTATGTTGGAAGGAACATGTTGTTTTACCCTATCCCGCAATCTTTAGGTTGTGCGTCCTACGTAGCCAGAATCACACTGGCACGTAAATTCATAAATGACGGAACTTTTTTGGTTGGTATGTATCCGTTCAAATTAAGAACAAGCTTAGGCCCAGGTGCTGTGGAATGTGAGAATGTAAGAACATTGACATTAAGAACAGATTTATTGCTGTGTAGATCGTTTTCTAGTAATACCTGCATTTTACACACCCAATGTTTTTCTGAAGTAAATATTGCCTCGAGTCCAAATCTTACACCAAAATAATTAAAGATCAAATTAAAAGCAATTCAATCTACAAGTTTTGGAAAAATTGAGAACAGCCAACCTGAACTTCAATATAATGGTTCTCAACTAAAAATATGTATGTTTTGTACAAAGAAGGAAAATAGTTTAAACTAAACAATTGGTCTAAGATGTCTCAATAGCTTTCTTTTCATCTAGCTATTTTTTGTTATACATGACAAACTTATTTGAAAGATATTTTTATCAGTTGTATTGGTAGCTAGATATATAATTTAGTGACTCTTATCTAAGTTAGTCTCAGTCATAGGTTCAGGAATTTATCTCAGCTTAGTGTTTTTTAAATGTGTTGACGAAACACTAGAAGCAAAGATGTGTTTCACTTGAGTTTAGAAATTTAATAGATTGAGCAATTGACAATAGCTGCTTTTTTAGGAGCTTGTATGAAGATTTTAGGCTGCCCCCAGAAGTTAACCAAGGGGAGCCATTCGTTGCCAAAGTGACTCTTTTCATTTTTTATATGAATGTTTTAGCCCTAGCCTCTCGAAAGCTGCATGCGAGCCTTTGAATATTCAGTGCATAACACAATTCCTCTTTTATCTCTCTTGCCTATTAAGTATCATCCCATATAGAAGAAGTAAATTTTCTCTTAATTCCGTTCAGAAGTATGATTCATTCTATTGATACAAGCACTTTGTTACTGTGTGCCTATCTTTCTTCAGGGTTACGGTCAAGGAATGCACACACCGCTAACAACGAGCTGTACGCCGTTGATCAGGAAATTCAACCACCAGAGTCTCATGGTGCTCAAATCGTCATCAAAAAGGTTTTGTAATGTCTGCTCTTTAAGTTATCAGTCATTTTATATTCGTGGTGAAGGGATGCCGGGACGACTAATGGGTAAGGGGTGCAGCTTCAAAGAAAAGGTTAATCGACCAAAAGGCAAAGAACGCAGACTTCAAGATTAGAATATTTTGATCAGGGGCAGACACTTGGTCAAATATTGAGGGGGGGGCAAGCCTATTGTTTTAATAATATGATATCACATTTCCCCTTGTTTTAGAACAAAAGACCATTGTCCTCTAAAGTATTGAGGGCGGTCTCCCCCTCGCTCCCCCCTCCCCAAGTGTTCGCCACTGATTTTGATATTGTTTACAGCTTAAATTTACTCTATTGTAGCTGATATTTTAGTCTCCCTTTTGCTTTTTAAAAATAGGCTAGCATCTCTCACAAGAAAATTCTTAGCCCTTTTATATGACTTGGTCATCAAAACAATGGGAAAATCGACTGGAACTACAACTTATAATTCCCATCCTTATGAACTACAATTAGTTAGAAACTCAAAGGAACAACAGGCAGACATTTATATGAATTTCTGTTCTAATTACGAAGGTTAAGGCCAAGGGTACTTTAATAAAAAGGACACATTCTCTCCTTATACCCATTCTATCAAAGGGCAAGTTGGGCCCTTACTCCCTGCGTCCCTTCTTCGGTATTCATGGCTAGACGGAGCACTGTTAAACCCTTGGTTTTCAAGGGTGCTCTTCATTCATGTTCAAATGAAGTTAAATTCCTCATCTTCGTATAGAAACTGTCCAATAAAGCTTCGTGTTTGATCACCAATGTTGCCAAATCATTAACTTGTTGTCAAGAATTTCAGCTACATCCAGATTCAGTCGGCAATATTTTTTCACTCCGTTTGAAATTTCTATTGCGCCTTCTGTTGAAGATCATTCTGATCTGCTGGTCTCGTATTCCCCATTTTTGTTCGTTTGATAATATCATTTTATCATATAAACCCTATGCTATATAAACCCATTTTATCATGTAAGCACAGAAACCCTATCAGCTACTAAGTTAAAAAAGAAAAAGTAAAGATTAATTTACATATAACGCTGGTCTTCCTAGGGATCGTGCTTCGGGAAATGATGCTAATTTTGCAGGGATTCCTTTAATTTCTTTTTGAACGTGGTAATCGTGCAGCTCATTCTTATCTGTAATGGAATTTCGTTCCACGTCTGTGCACCACAATAGAAAAAACTCCTTTTGGAGAATTCTAGGTTATCCATTGATAAGTCTTGATATAATCAAATACAGTTTGTCAGGAAAATCCTAGGTGTTTGTAAAAGATATATAAAGCTTTATCTTATTAATGAAAATTACTGTTTTCCTGGGAAGTAATATATTGCTGGATGCCGTACAAATAGAACTGTAAGCACTTTGGTGTATAGCACCAGACGTTTCTAAATTGCAGCTCAAGCCATTAGGAAACACTTTTGCATTCCATGATACAATTCAAAGTGAAAAACGTATTGTATTCCAAATGGGGTAAGAATGGCATTGGTATTAAGAAACATGATTGATAGCTCAATTATAATTTTTCTAGACATCTTGATGCAGACGAAAATGAAAGCAAAAAATCGGAGATAAAGAAAGTAAGCTGTCATGTTATGTTGCGTAGTATAATTTGATGAATATTTTACAGAGCCTGCCAAAAGTCTTAGTTCATTGATCTAAATTTTTCAATGTTATATTCTGCCCCGCTTCTTCTCCTCCTCTGAACAATGCTGCTTTATGCAAAGTTAGACGGTTGGGCAGGGTCAAATTGATTCTTTCATATAGATATGTTATTTGACTCTACAACAAACATTTTTTTGTAGGAAGAGGATACGTTGTCGGTTTTTACACAGAGACAGTTAGTTTTTTTAAAAACAACACTCAAGTAACTGAGTGTTCGAAGGACTTTTGGCAGTGATTCTAGGTTAATGAAGTTGCTAAAGTTTACAGAAAGTGTTAAACGTCTCTAGAAAATATCTTAAAATTTTTGGACGCTTTGCAAACACTGTTTTTTCTGTCACCGGGAACCTCAATACAAATTGGTGTTCAGGATGATACCACAGCTTTGTGTACGAAAGTTTAGCTTTGGCATTGCCCTGTTTATAAGTGAAAAAGCTAATTATATCTGCTGACTTTTTCAAAACAAAACAATGCACAAATGAAAGAAAAGGTCATTGTTTCGTAAATTTTCTAAATTTTTACTGATTTTAATTGTTGCTGCTTATTAATTGTTGTTACTTTTGATCATATGGAATTTTCATCATGTTTTCGGAGATTCAAAAATGTTAGATATTAAAAATTGTACTTTTTAGATATATTGATGAACCTCGTCGCTAAAACACTTAAAAGTGGCTTGGGGCAACAGTCAATCCTTTGAAATTACGAAAAATACCGGACACTGCTTTTGACACAAACTGGCAGAGACATGCTTGGTCGCACAAATGTATATTCGAACATCTTCCAGCCCTGTTTTTCTGTCTAAAGTTAGGAAATTTGTATTGAAAGGGGGAGAGGGGGGTTGCTTGGTCTTGGATTAAGCCTCAACCCAGTTTTATAGCCTTAGTTTTAACGACTTCGTCACCATAGTGTTTTTCAGAGGGGTCCTGTAGAGGGGTCCTGTAGAGGGGTCCTGTAGAGGGGTCCTTTAGAGGGGTCCTGTAGAGGAGGTTTTTTAGGTACGATTCTGAAATTTGAAGAGTAGAAAACAGTGTTGTCAAGAACAGGTGACTGTTACATTTATTCACAGAATCGCTAACTTTAATTATAACAGGCAAAGTTACAAGATGCAACAGAGTATGAAGATCTGGAAAATCAGGCTACACATATTGTTCAAAACTTGAAGATCTTAGATGCTGACAAATTTGCACCTGGAATTACAAAAAAGGGGAATAATATGGTAAGCTTTCTTGGTGATTAATTTGCAAATATGATAATCTTTTTATCGTTCATTTGTCATGAAGTACGATAGAATAGAACATTCTTTTTGGATCTTGATAGCTGAAAGATTGTTGATCAGATAAAATTTTTGATCAGTTGTTGGAAAAGTTTTCGTTTAGAATTTTAATCCTACCTAAATATTGTATACTTATCTTGATAGATAAAACTTTTGCTCTCTACATATCTAGAGTAGCAGGTATTTTTTATTATCCATGTACATAGACTAATGTCACAACTGAACCTTTTTTATCCAAAAATTGGTAAACATTAAGATACTAAGTCCAAGCATGGCTTTTATTTTTTGCGGGAATTACTCCGAAACAGCTTTGAAAACCGTTGAAGTGATCATAAATTATGCACTTTAAAACCTGCATAAAAGGAACTGCAGATTAGGGACCCCTGAGCTGGAATTTTCCCAATCAAGCAAATACGATATAAGATCCACTTTGTGAAAGTATCTGAGGCACTTCTTCCTGTTTCAGTGAATCATGTATTTTTTATTGAATTGGATTGAATTAGTATTCTCTCCAGGATTTTTTTCAGTGGAAGATAATAAAATTCATATTTTTTTAGGATGGCGGAGAAGACATGCTTGAATCAGATGCAATCCAAAGTTTCAAATTTTTACAGAAAAAGGTTACTGAATGGCAGCCAAATTTGCCACAGGTAGGGCGGCTCTAGCTCAGTACGATAGCTCTGGATGACTTGAAATCATTTAAACATTTACTGCCCATAAAACTGAAGACATGCCGCGCCTTTGTAGTGACAGAATCTCCCCCACCCCCGAACGTTATTTTTGGGTATTGAAGAGCTGACTGGCTCTTGCGCTGATGTTGGAAATATGTTCCGGTTAAAGTGCCAAACCCCACCCCTCCCCGAACATTGTTTTTGGGTATGGAAGAGCTGATTGGCTCTTGTGCTGATGCTGGAAATATGTTCCCGTTATAATGTTCTGCTTGGCTACAAAGGAGCCCAAATGTAAAACATAAAACATTATGACTGCAACAAATTTATTTCCTTTTGAGAAACCTATTGGACTAGACGTTTCCTACCAGATGAATTATTACTAGTAACAAATTCCGCTAAAAAGTGGAAGTAAATTGAGGAATTTTTAATTTGCTTTTCGTGTTCAGTTGTAAATAATGAAAAATTTCAAGGTTAATATATCATTTGCTTTGGCGAGATATAATGCATTTTTTAATGTTGTTGTGTTTAACAAATTTTCTCTGCCAAGTCTGAACATTTTCTGCAGCCTTGTTAAACATTTCAATTTTATCTCATAGCACAGAGAGGCACTGAATTTTTCAAATTTCAAGTGCATTTGAGATGATACATCGGTTGTGTGAAGCATTTTAGCTGGTGAAATTTCATGGCTTTTGAAGGGAAAGGTTTTCAATATGAAACGCAGCTCAATATCCTCTTATATCAAATCAAACCGCATTTCAAAAGAAATTTATTTTACGATATATGTCCCAGATTTATACTTCATTTGTTCTATTTATACACAAAAGAAAATTTTATATTTTATAGGTCCTAACCCACGAACAAGCCTGTGCCGCATTGTCAGAGATTTCACCCGGTAGTAAATTGGTTAGCATGTCCTTAAAGGGCGGAAATGCTCGTAAGTTCGTTTATTTATTTGGTTTATATTCTTTTAAAACTCTTTCTGATTGCAAAGCAAATTTTCGAATGATTCAAGTGCTCAATTTCTGTGCAACAAAGCGTGATGACGAATGTAGATCCCAGACCTCTCTTAACTCCCTTTAACTCGCTTGATGGGCTTGTGGCTAGATCTAGTATATTGATATTTACTACTTATATACAGTGCATACTTTTAATTTATCGGAAAATTTGTTCCTTTGCCCCTCTCAGAATTCATTCATCTCCCCGCCCATTCTTCAAACGTGGGGCTTGTGAGAACTTCACGTTTGGCAGTTTCCTGTCGTATATCATAATCTTTCACGCTTAAAACAAGTTAACTTAGAAAAAAATTATTTTACTGCTTAGATAATTATTGCAGCAATCAAATACTCTTCATTTTAAGTTTGACACCTCTGAGTTTCGCATTAATAGTCTTGTTTTGACTGATTGAACCTACGATCTAAAAAATTTTTAAGACAAAACCTTTTTAGGGGAATCTTTTTAACCTTTTCTTTTCCCCATCACAAAATATATGTCTGTTTTCAAGTAGCTTCATCAAAAAAAGGCACGTCGATATTAGCCGGGATTTCATTAGAAGCCCGCAACTGGCGAAAGTTCTCCGCTTATTCACCAAACCTTCGCCTACCTACTTTCACCCTAATTTTAGTAAGACTGGACAAACATTGGTAAACTCACAGACGGCTACTTTTTAATGTGAGCCTTCTACGTTAAAAATTAACAAAAACTCTGTATTAGGGGGCTTGTATCAAAATTGTTTGCTGTAAGGGGGCTTTATCAAATATTTTTGGTAAAATGGATACTTCATAAATTAACTATTTAGTAAAGGATAGTTGGAAGATTTGTTTTGTGTGCTACATTTGGTTTTCAGATCAATTGTCATCATCAGTACAAAGTGAATGGAAGCAACAATACTTATCATTAGCAGAGGTTTTACGTCATTTCTGGTCATGCTTCCCCATCAAATCTGCACAACTTGAAGAGAAGGTTAGGGTTTACATTGCTTCATTATTTTAGATTATGTGGTCATCTTATCAGTATTGTAACTTTTATTTTTCAACCTTTCAAACTTAGCATGTTCCTTCACAATGTGCATAAATTTTTATTTTTTTTCATTTGTGTATGTTAAACCTGTTTTGTCTCAAGATTAAAAGATTTCGCCGATTGCTGATAACAATGGAAAATTTGGCTTAAGTTTTGGAACTCCGTTTGGAACAACGCAAACTTTGAGGATTTTGATCACTTAGCAAAGTATATAGTCAAAGAAATCGAATTTCTCGAATCATCAGTGTTGAATCTTGGCTGGTACAGGGGGCCTATAATAGTAGAGCGTTTTAATAAACAGCCTTCTATTCATGCAAATCCTAATTCTCCCCTTTTTTAATCGATCTATATACTCTTGTAAGTTAAAATGATTGACATATCACGTGATTACATTGATCCTGTTACACAAGGAGGAGGAGGGGGGAGAGCTTATAAAAATCAACTCCAAGTTGCGATACAAATTGCCCGTTGTGTAGCTTTTTAATTTTTCAAGTTGTCATCATTTGCGATTTACATTCATGGAATTTACTTTCTAAAGATCAAACCAAAGTATGAATCAAAACCTAAAAGATATTTTAAGCCAATATATTGATATTTGTTTGCCTTCGACGGTCTCTTTGTCAATGACTTGTGTTTGCTTGAAAATTCAGCCCTGGGAAAATCAGTCGAGTCTTTGCGCAGGTTTAACTACCCGAAATTTGCCCTTTATTGATATGTTGCAGCTCTTGAATTTTTTCTTGTGCTCCAGCGATCTACTCTTCACTGCATTAGCCCTTTTTGATTTACAAAGCCTTCTTGGTAACTAATTATATATTTATTCTTTACTTGCAGGTTTCAAGAATGAAAAGCTGCCTCGAAAAGTTCCGCGATACAAAAATAGCAGATTTTAAGTCAAAGCTCCCGGATTCAAATACAAATGTAAATTTTCTGATCGATTCTTAATATCTCGGCAATGACTTAAGAAAATGCCAAATCATGATTCAATTTTGATTTGATAGATTGATTTGATATGGATTCAGCAATATCTAGGGAGTATTGCTGATTCAGCTATAACCTTTAAGCATTGAAAGCTAATAAACGAAAAATCATTACGATGCTTTTTTGTCAATATTGACTTGAAAAAATGAAAATTCTTTTAAACATAGCTGTTTGTGGCTACTTTCAGAAAATATGATTAGCTCCAACCGTTGTATAATTCCCTTACCTCCCATGTCACCCCATGTAGTAACAGTGTACGTGATTCTTCCTTATCATGTCACCTCCGTATCAAAAATGGAGTCACAGTATACGTGATTAGATTTCATGATATTGAATACGCTTTTTCTCTTTTAGCTTGTCGATCATCTTCATCAACAAATTGATGCTGCATTAGAAAAATACAACACATGGCAACAGCGTCGTGTAGCACGATGAAAAAGGACTTCTTTAGGTTTAAAATAATTTATCTGCCATGCTAGTCCGTTGTTTGTCCTCAGTGTTGCAATGAACAATGATTTGGCCTAAATCTTGCCATCTTGGTGAAACATTTGTTGAGTGTCAGACACAATATGGAGATGAATTTTAGAAGAGATATCAAGAACAATTTTGATATGCTTGATAACGGATTTGAAGTGACATGAACTTCAAGAATATTTCAGTATCTAATTTATGTACATGTTGACGAAGGAAACCTTCTTGGATCAGTCGTTCAAATGCTGTTTAAAATGTATTTCTTTACCACCAGGAAAATGACTGCCATTTGCTTAAAACGACTATAAAGAGTATGAGATTTGATAATGCTGTGCTGTGTGGCCAAAACTGGCATCCAAAACGTTGAACAGCTGTTGCTTTTTGCATTCTTTTCTATGTCTGTCATCTCAAGTTAGGTCTTTTTGCTTTCTTGGAAAGTTTGTAGCACAGCATGTGAGCTGTAAGTAACCAATACTTTGAAAAATTTACAAAAAAATATTGTCAGCAGTTTCGCAAGTAATTTTCGATAAAAATTGTTGTCCACATGTTGGTTAATCAGTTTACAATATTTCCTAATGATAGTGAAGCTTGCAATTTTTTGTTGGCTAGGATTAAGTGTTTAATCTCTCTTGCCTTGGGTTTTACTAGAAATAGATGGTTCCAAGGTCCAGCATCGGGGTTACTGTTCTACTTGAAAAGATAATTGGAATCTGAAAAAGGTGAAAGAGAAAGTTACTGTATCAGCCGTTAGCTTCCTGGAACACTTCAATGCTACATGATGTATGTCATGGGAAGTGAAATGTTTAACTTGAGTAGGAATTATTTATCAGACACCCATTTTTAGCCTCTTAGAGTTTGTACCAAGTTAAAAAACACTTAGTGAAGTTATCCTCCATTTCTTGTCTTAACCAAGGCTAATTTTCCTATAATTCATTGTGGGCTTCGGCAAAATTATTGTCTTTACCAAGGCTAATTTTGCTATTATTCATTGGGAGTTTTAACTGAATTGTTGTTTTTGCTGAGGGCAATTTACCCTCGTGGACAGAAGGGCTGCAGCGTGCCCGCGTAGTGGGCGTAACTGGGCTAGTACTTGACCTAAAGCGGTATCTTGTGATATGTTCGTTATTGGATACGGAAAGCAAAGAAATAGTTATGGAGGACAAGACTCACGGTGTTATGGGCAAGTCTTCATACAGAGACATCCTCATCAGATTGGGAAGATCGGTGGTGGTACTGTATTGCTTCTCTGTTTTCTGACGTCACTGGTGGGTTTTTTACAACTTTTTATTTATCTTGAAATAAAATAATTGGTCCATATCAAGTTATGTTTAGAGAGTCTATGATGAATTGACAGCCGTATCGCTACTAAGGTGTTACTGTAAGGTCGTGTTCTCTCCGGGGTCTTTGTTTTTTATTTTATGGTTTGTGTTTTTTGGGGGTGGGGTAGGAGAGCTTCGCTCGTGGCGGAAAAAGGCCATTGTCTTTCTTCTCAACCCCCTAAAAACGGTTGGAGTTTTATTTATGGCTGTCTTTGCGATTGGCCACCGACAGCCCAAAAATGAATGATCCAAATGATGAAAGAACGCCCACTTCAGTCTTACGATTGATTGTGGTCAAATGTTCTGAGGATTACTCTTTTGCTACCGCTTTCAGATTGGTAACCTGGAACAAATATGAAAATTAATTATTCACCGCATTTAAAGAAAAGGCCTTGAAATTTGACTGTATTCTTCAGCAAATTTTTTTGCACCAATTTCTTCTTAAACTATTAAAAAAAGTCATATTTAAGCAAGTTTTTTATTCTTTTTCCTTTTTATTGCTTTGGTCTTATCTTTAACAGCATTTCTATTGATTTATTTTTTACGGAAAAGGCACGTTGATAATCTTTGAGATTTGACAGAGTCTCGTGCGAATATCTTCTTAAATTTTCAAAAAATATCTAAAGCTAGCAGTGTTGTTGTTCTATTCTATTTTGCCAATTTTATCACAAATGTATTTTTTCTTTGGGTTGAAAGGCAAGGGTATCGGCTTTTATATTTTGTATTTAATTACAGGTTTCGCGTGTATAAATGGAGGTGATCGGTTACCCAACAGCTCTGCAGATTCTCTGTTGATAGGCTTGACAGCCATATCCTCTCGCTAATTTTCTTTCGCAAAATGTTTTGACAGAAATATTGGATAGGCTGTGCAAATTTAGAAATGTTTTTGAGCAAATATTTCACACGTATGTCTTTTTAAACTATTCAAACTAATCCTAGAATTGTTTTCATTTATCTTTCGATGTTAAAATCCCAATTCTTTTCCATTTTTCTATTTCTGTGGAGTCTGGGGCGAGATTTTGGCGCCAAAATGTGAATCTGGTGAATGACGCGTACATTAAGCTCAAAGCAAAAGAAAGCGTCGAAAGTTGACGGAAGAGGATATTATCAGTCTTATTCGAGAAGCTAACAGCCTTGAAACATGCCTTCCAATTCCAAGAAATCTAAGCAAGCTGTTAAAAACATTGTCAATTTCGACTTCGAAGAGAAAGAACATGAAGTTGCTGAAGAAGGTTTGTAATTTTCAAATATTTGACAGTGGTCGGCGGCTTTTGTTCCAGTTTAGGACAAGATTGTGCCTGATAACTCTGAAAAGATAACTCAAATAACAAAATAATGGCATTGAAAAAATGTGGCAATATTTGCATATATTCATGTTAAACTTATGCACAAACAAATTAGACCTAATTTGTAGAAAATTTTGAATCTATATTATTGTAGGTAGTCTTAGAAATAATAAGATTAGACAAATATTTAGCTCTGTAACCTTGTTTATGTTTACCTAAAAATTATTGTCTTTTTGTGTTAGAAGTTTTTTAAAACAACTTAACCAAGGAATTTTTTCATATAGCACCACCTGTGGGCTCAAATAGAGCCAGAAAAAGAAACTTTTCAAAACCACCGTCTGACGAGGAAACTGACAGTGAACAAGCTCAGGATACAAAAGTGTAAGTAGAAATTTAACTTTTCTATTAATCAAATTTGCAAAAATTGGATAGAATATAAAGTCACTTTCATATAACTATCATCATGTCCTGTTAGTTTCTCCCAAAGACTCTGACTGAAAAATCTGTGTTCGTGGAAATCCATTTTTCGAGAGTTAGATGACTTATCGGTAATATTAGCAATATTTGAATTAACGCAAAAAGATAAATAGTTAGTTACTTTCCGTTAGAAGCCTATATTTCAACATTAAATAAATTGGGTTTTCTCAACAGAGACACATGCGAAATGGAAATGCAAAATGTTTTAAGCAGCTTTGGAGGTAAGGTTTCCATATAAAGGTTTTATAAAACATTAAGCTACAATTGGTTTTTATCATTTATGATTGATTTAGTTATAGAAAACCAAGAATTTATCTGAAACTTTGAATATTAAGCTTTTGTTTTTCATCATTTTACTATCACTATCATTTTTCGTCATTTTTATTTCTCATATTCCTGGATAAAATGAAGCTACAAAGCATAACAAAAACTGAAATTCTGAAAGGTTCTGCTCTCAGTGTCTATTAAAACTCTAGATAAGAACATAAATTTCTTCATTTTACAGCTGATATTACAAGAACTCTGGCTGCAAAACGAAAACGCCTTCAGCTATTCACACAAGCATCATTGAAATCGGCAAACAGAAAATATGAAGATACTTTGAGCTCCCAGCAAATGGAAAGGTAAGAAAACTATGAATAGATTTTAGTCCTCTAAAAGCCTTTGTTTGTAATTAATTTATAATCAAGGGAAGCAAAAAATTTTCAAAGAGTGATAGCTTAACCAGGTTCTCTTAATTGGTTCTTCATAATTCAAAAATAATTGCTTAAAATGTTTAAGATACGCACAGTTCGAATGTTTAACAAAAATAACACATCTACCTAACAATGGATAAAATTCGTCAATTTTTACTGACACTACCAAGCACTTACTTGATTACATAGTCTTTGCCAAAAAATGAGCTATACATATTTGAATCCATTTAAGAATGAATAGAAAACGATTTTAAGCTCATATAATTCCAATTTGTGGCACACTTAAAGAGAATTAATGAACATCAGTTCCGTTATCCTAGAAATCTCATTCAGTTTGCGTTGGAATCGAGTTGAATCCAAGGAAAAAATTGTATGGATTGTCTTACAAAAATAGCAGCTTCATTAAGATTAGCTGCTATTTTAAAGATGAGGAGTTTGCCAATTTTATAGTCATTCATCCTTTTTAACGCAAAATTATCAATATTTTTAGGTCATTATCAAAATTGTCAGTAACGCAAAATTACCAGTAAAATAACCAGAAATATATTGTTTGCAATCATTCAGGAAAAAGTTGTGTGAAGAGTTCAGCCGTCAAATCGATTCAGTTTTCACGCAATGGGACAGCGATCTTTCAAAGTCGAAAGAAAGTGAAGAAAAAATGGAGGTAATGATATATGTATATGTCTTAAATGATTTACAACGATAGTCACTCTATCAAGTAAAATTTTCCAAAGCATCTTGTTGAAAAGTAAAATTATAATGGCAGTTAGCAAATTGTCAAAATTATTTCTGGGTCAGTGAAAGTCAAGAATGGAATTTCCGCAGCCTAGTTCTAGAAACTTGATTTACTGTGCGGTTATGAAATGAGTGTTGTAGAAAGGAAAGATAGTCTTTGGGTGGCCATCCAAGCGTAGTAATACGGACAGGGTGGGAATAGTCTGAATCTACAGTTATTGCATGTGGCTGAAAAATCATGAATGCAGTCACTAAGATTTCAATTACTTCCAAGTAAACCCACTTGACAGTTTATTCACAAATCAATAATGATTTCCACATCTTTTCTTCACAAGAATATGCTGCGCCAGCAATTCAAATCAATGCAGCAAAATCGCATTGTCCAGACACAGAGAATAAGAGCCATAAAACAGCTGCATGAGCAATTTAACAAGACGCTAGTTGACCTTGAAAAGGTGCACCAGGACCAGCAAAGCACAATTCAAGGGGAAATAAGAAAAGAACTGTCACAGTTGCAAAAGAAAATGCTTATGGACACGGTAACTATCAAAACATCGTTTCACTTGAATGGATTAAGCTAAGCTAGAGAGATCTATGTTTCTTTGGCTGGAGCCGGTACATCGTTTTTTCTGGTGTTCCAACTAAAAACATTTAAGCCAATAAATTTTGTCAAAATTGCATTCTGATGAGTATCTCCATCATTCACGAGCCTAACTAACAAACATAATAAACTGTCTACAAGTTTTACAGTCCTTTGATACCATTCTTTTCAATAATATTCTCATGTTTAATTTACAGATGCATATTTACTTAAACATTAAGTATTTTCGTAAAATTTCAAACGCAAACTGTTGATGGCTTGTTTTCTCCATAGCAACAAGAAGAAATTTCGAATGTACGGAAATCTTTGCAAACGATGTTGGCACAAGTGTAAGGAAGCTGGTCGAACTAAGGGCAGAGTTTCCTTCTCCAAAGGTTGGCCTACTGTTCCAGCTACAACGTTAGATCTTAAACACCTTCTTTGTTTTTCCTTAATCGTAGGTTTCCCGGCAGAACTTGGTAAAAAGATTGATTAAGGACCTCTAAGTTAAAAAGTTGTTCACGTCTTGTTAATAAAGATTGATGAATAAGTTACTTTTGCCTTATAGCCTTAAAAGTTTCTAACGGTGTAGTCAGTCAACGAAAAATTAGTAAATTTCAACTACAGACGATTTAGCTTTTGAACAAAAAGCAGGTTCTTTTTACCAAATGCCTAAAATTCATTCTTTGTGCTTTCCATAAAACCAGAAAAAGTAATTGAAAATGTGAATTTCAAGGAATCTTAATGGTCAATTCTGGTGAATTGTTTACCAATATGTTGCAAACGACGCTATCAAACAGCAAAATGTACAAAGTTGATAATATAAAATTTAGAGTTATTTTGGAACATATTTTAATCTGTTTGACAACCTCCAATTTCAAATGTTGCAATTTAGAAATACTTTAATTAAAAAGTGTCTTTTACTTTGCCTGAATTTCTCTTTTTTTTAAATATCCGAATAAAATGTTAAGCCTTCAAACAGTGAAAATAATAATCATGGTATTGAAAATAGTTGACTCTGCATGAACAAATACATTTAGCAAAATAATAATTGAAAATAAAAAAACATTTCCTCGTTTTCTACCGTTGGCCCAAGGAAATTTATCATTGAAAATTTAGTCCGTCGGATGCCTGAAAATCTTTATTTCAATAAAACTACAAAGGCGAAATATAGTATCTTCCATAGAGAATGGTTTCATTGCTCAACAAGAGTAGATCAAAGTTTGATGAATGATTATATACAATATCTTACAACCTTATAATATTTCAAAAAGAAAAAGCATCGAAGGATGGATAGATCGACAAGGACTGTTAGATTAAGAATAGACAAGAACATTAGTCGCTTTCAAAAGCTGGTACACGCAATCTGCATAGCGGAAAGATGTGTCCATAACACGCTGTTTGGCTGTTTCGTTTCCCTTATCTTGCACCATGTGAAATAAGCCAGGGTGCATCTGAAATTCAGAAATGATAGGCGATATTCTCGAGAAGTTACCTTAGATAATACGTATCGCTGTACATGTAATAATTTCGGCGGTACAAAGTGATTCAATGATGAAATTGATTCATGATAAAGGTTGGAAAGGCCTTAAAATTTAAAACCTTATATAAAACGTTGAAACATTTAATGCATCAATCAAACCTGTGTATTTTCTGCTATGTCCTTTGAAAAGTTTTCATCGAATTCTCCCATTGCCAGTTTGTAGCAAATTCTTGTAGAGGCCATGTATAGAACATAATCCTCCTGAGATGAAGAAAGAACGGTGTGAAGATTATCTGTGTTGCGGCATCAAAAATTATAATTAGCTTTGACCTACCAGACTATAATTGGTTTCGTTCTACTCAGGATAGGAAACATAAAAAAATTGATCAATCAGAATATGAAACTTGAAATACTTCAACCAGTGCCTAGTTTTGAATAAAAAAATACAAATGATGATATTCTGAGGAAGACAGTTACTTAAAAAAAGTAATTTCTAGACGAAAGAAATAATGTTCAAAACTTATTGAAAATCTCATTGAAAAACTATTTTACAAGGTTAAGCAAACAAAATTGCAAGTGTTTTTGAGAAAGAAATCAAAAGTCTACACTATGACACGATAAATAAGAGTAGACAACAGAAGGGGGTAAGTTGTCAGCTGAAAAACAAACGGTTATGGCAAAAGACAACAGACGTCGAACCTATTGCAAAAGGAAAGAATCATAGAGAATTTTTATTATGCTCCTAACAATGTCTATGGACCAAATGATCATTAAATCATTTTGTCAAAATGTGACCTCTACCTATAGTGATAAAACTAAAACGGTTACTACAACATTTTCAATCACTTACTAGGAAAATGATCGATTCAGATTGCTTGCTATCCACACAAAAACAAGAGCGTAAAGCTAATCTTTTCTAGAATTACAAACCTCAGTTGGTTGCTCATCTTTGCACCATTCGACGGCACCAAGTACAATGGTATCCTCGGGGCATTCCTCTACTCCATTCCATTTGCTCCAGCAGTATGCATAGGCTGACGATGACAATGCAAGTTGCTCGTATACACTATCTACAAACTCTGGGTCCTGAACGAACAAAATAATTCTCTATAGTGATTCAACAAAAACTATTTGATATTAACTTTAGCAAAAAAACTTAAGTTAAATTTGATACAGTTCAAAATGCAATTTAACATTGACAACATTAGCTCAATAGAAATACCAAATAAAAACATAAAGAAAATTTTAACTAACTTCATTTTTTAATATAAAACCACTGCAACAGTCAGCTAACTAATACTAATTAAGAAATTTGTATGTCAGGGTATTTTTTGAGGATTCTCAGTTGCTAGACTAATCGAGAAGAGTTCACTCTCTGTAAAAAACGTCAATTTCAGTGATGACAGGAACATGTCTGTTTCATTCCTTTATCGAAAATTGATATCTTTTCTGGCACGTGCTGTCCATCGAATTAATCTCACACAAAGAACCAACCAAAGTGATTGTTTTTTAAATAAATTTGTATTAAGACTCTACCTTTTTACATATGCTGACGTACTTCTCGCCATCTTGCGCTGGAAATATATTAATTCCCGAAGCCCTCAGTTTCTACAATAAAAAGTATGTATGAAATAGCAGGGAAAAATAAATATATCAATTGGTATGGTATGGTATGGTATGGTATGGTATGGTATGGTATGGTATGGTATGGTATGGTATGGTATGGTATGGTATGGTATGGTATGGTATGGTATGGTATGATATGGTATGGTATGGCAATGGTATGATATGGTATGGTATGGTATGGTATGGTATGGCATGGTATGGTATGGCAATGGCATGGTATGGTATGGTATGGTATGGTATGGTATGGTATGGTATGGCAATGGTATGGTATGGCAATGGTATGGTATGGTATGGTATTATGTGGAACAAGCCCACCAATGAGACCTTGCCCTTTTTTGAATGCCATGACCAGCTTATAAACGATGGAAAGTGAGTAATTTATGGGATAAAGAGACTTTACTAGAACTAGTACACCAATTTTATCTTTTTTCTACACAACAATGGTTAATTCAACTCATATTTACCTGATTCAATTGTTTTTATAATAAATAAGCCTGATATGGAATGATATATCTAGTATGATATGACATACCAATGGTTGGTATGTGATAAGGCACAATTCGTTAAAGAAAATCAATAATAATTCAACGTAGATGAGAAAGAAAATCGAACCTACATTGATAAGGATCTTGGGAGCCATCCATTCACCTAGCCATCCCTTCAGAGCTTCACTGTCATCAGGCTTTCTCAAGCAACACTGGGCTCCCTAAGCAAATTTTTGTCTTTTAACCAGACCTCATGAGATTTTAATAGAGATACAATAGAAACACGCAATTTTAGTCCATCATTTAATAATTAATTCAGTGGAGAAGGAAGAAAGCTAAAATAAACGAAACTCTGACAAAAAACCACTGATGATAATACAAATATAAGACTTTTGGTTAGATTAAAAAAAATAATTCAATGATAGATGACAATAAAGACTTTTGGACTATTATATCTTTTTGAGCTTTGATTTCTTATTTTTGTCTGATATTTTAGAAAGTTATTGAGCAAAATGAAAATTGTAAAAAAACTGCAATACATTAAAAGACTTAGATACGATTCTTAAAACGCCCCTCGTAAAAGTCCCTCTCAAATAAGCCCTAAGTTAAATACCTAAAATACCTAAATTAAAAAAGCTCCAGAGGTTGAATCATAGATATACGGTACTTCTCTAATTTAAATTATTTTTTGTACAATAAGAGGATCACTGAATTGTTCCATTTTGCCTTTATATTATACAGGCCGGGAGACAACAGGTTTTTTTTGTATTTGAAACTACGAGCTAACATGATATAAGTGTAAACATTAATTCACCTTGATCTCAATCTCAGCATCTACGTTGGCAGCAACAACAGTCAGTGTGCAGTTATTTAATGACAATGGTCTCAGCTCCCAGGACTGGAATGGCATGTTTAGGTACAAATCCTATAAAAACATAGAATTATTAAAATCAAACAATTTTTTGTTTCTAGACAATATAAACTTGCAGGACTATGCTGGGTAGAGAGGGTATCAGGGGGTTTGTCCAAAATATTTTTAGGGCGATGCCTTTCCTTTTTAAGTCCTGGAAATGCTACTTTTTAAAGATATTGCAAAAAAATTGATAAAACGGTTATTTCGTCCCTGGCTATATAATCTAATTAATATATCATGTCATAAAAACATGTTCCATGCATGGTTAAAAGTGGAAGTTTTGAAAAACTAGATGTTTTAGATATATATTAAACACTATCAAACTCATTTATGTCTGCCGTATCACGTTCTACACAGATCTGAACAAGATGCTTAAGGGTAATTATCGATCATTAGGAGGAAAATCAACAGTACATGACACCCGCTAACATTTTCTACAGATTTTTGATGAAAATAAAAAGCAATCTTTGAAAAATACTTTTTACCCCATGCACATGACACTGGCATTATCAACAAGGCTTGGATATTTACCAAACTAACAGCTGGCTTTGCGCTGGCACTAATAGGTGTTTGCCAAGAAATGTAACAAGCAAGGAAATAATAGCAAGGAAAAATCAGCCAATGGCAGTAATTTTATTTGGTGTGACATGCATTGAGTAATTTTGTAAGGTTGGTCCATGTTTTTACCTGTACTATCGTAATGGCTCCAAAATGACACGTTTTGAATGATATTGTTCGGTTCCCTGCAAACGAATAGAGTTAATATGAGTCATAGAAGAATAAAAGCTATATGATAACCCAATATAGCTACAATTGGATTACTAAATATATTTCCAGATATTTGTACTATAGGTTGAATTTCAAATTACAGAACAGAACAGAATTGACTTTCTGTTTCTCCTTAATCTGATAATGATATTTTCATTTGCTTTCTTTCATTGTACCAGTTTCCATAGGAAAATAGAGTTGTACAATTTAGGTGTATGATTGAGATTTTAATGAAAAGCAAAACAATTATAGATAAAACTTTGGTGCTGCTGTCGTATCTAAAAAAATATGATAATTAATGACAATAAATTTCATGAAACAAACACTTTCCCAGCATGCAGTAAATTGACTGATATCATTTCCCATCACCCCAGGTCCTATGGATTATGTTTGAAGTTATTTACCTTCGTCGTACATCGTATCATTGAAACCATCAAGCTTCCAGTGACAAGAAACCTCGTCCCATCGCGCAAGTTGTGGTTGCTCAAAAAACATGACGTCACTTGGCAATCTAAGATTAAAGCCAGAAAATAATTACAAACAGAAAAACAAAAAGGGTTTTGGAAAGACGTTGTAAGGTTTCAAAAAGCTAAACCAATAGCCTTTTTACTTGAACTGATATAAGAGACGAAAGCTAAGAATACGGATCACCCCTAACAGCTATAAAAATATTTTCACTATCTGCTTATCCAGTTTTATTTATTACTAAACTAATAGTTGTTGGAATTAGCCCTCTTTTACCATTTTCCATTCATTGTAGTGCACCGGGAAAAACTTCTTCAGCGTGATCATATCAGCTTCCAGCCACCTGCTAATTTTTTTGTGGAGGTAATAGCCCCTAAACCCTTTCCTCCTGTTCCAATAGGACTTTCACTGAACCGGTGCCTCAAACCTATATAATGAACATCTCCGCGCAAAAACAAGGAATATAAACTGCCCTATATATACCGTACTATGCCCCACATTCTCTACCATAAAGATCTTCAGACTTTTCAATCTTAGCCTATGAAGCAATTTAGGAGCTCAGGAGTGCATTGTCAAATCCAGAGGATCGCGGTCAAAAAAACGTGCTCTTGTCAAATGAATAATTTTCAATTGCTAATAAGCATTTTGATTGTTTTCATGTGGAAAAATAGAAAGTGAAAAGATTGGAATCAGTTTCTGAATCGAGCAATCAATAATCTTCCATACTTAAGAGTTATTGCGATGGGTTTCAGGTTGCTAACGTTCGGCGTGCTTGGAATGGAAGAACTGCTTTTAGCTGAGCCAATATGGCGGCTTTCTTGGTCAATATATTGCGACTCGTTCAACGACTTCCCTTGGGAAGCACCATGCACTGCATAGTTTAGCCTCTTAAGATCAGATGAAACAACTGCAAGAAAGGAAAGTAACAATACAAATAGTTAATAAAGAGAGAATAGTTGCGAGAAACACTGCGTGAAAATGAAAGTTGCGAGAAAATGAACAATTGTGAGAAAAAGGATGAATTTCTTTTCAGATAGTAATGCTAAAGATCTATAATGTTCAAGAGCCTAAAGCTAAGCACTATCATGGGAAAGAGAGGAGGGATCAGAAGACGAAAGAGGAAATATCAAATATCAAGATAATATCAAGACAGGTGTAAGAGTCTGGAAAGCAGGAAGAGGGTAGAGCAGTCCAAAGTTTACAAGATCTAGGGAGGGAGGAAGAGTTGTGGGATAGAGTTGGTACGTTTTGCAAAGAGACTTGGAAGGGGTGAGCACTAGAAGAGTGTCTGGTGTCCCCTAAATAACAAAGTGTGTCTGGTGTCCCCTTTAAAAAACGGTGATAAAGATTCCCCTTGTATGTTTGATAGTTGTAGGTTTTACGGCTTATTGGGCAAAGAAGAATAAAAGTTAACATTAAGAGCGAAAATGCTATCAGCCTAGATTTGCTTTCGAATCACAGATATGAACACATTAAACATTTGCAATGAAAAATAAAGCAAATTTTCATCTTTGCCATTGTTTGTGAAAAAATGTAAGAAACTGGGGTATGTGATTTTTTCATTTAAGATGCTGTTTTTATGACTGCAGCTACAGATCTGCTAGACCTGTACATAGTTGGAATTAGAAAGGACCAAACACATTTCTTCAAATTAGGCCGGACGTGATTCATGCAAAGGTTGAAGTTATACACTGAGTCCATACAATTTCGTCTCTACTTAAGTGGGTTATCTGTTGTTAGCATATATTTGAGCTGATATCAGGGAGGCAATAAACTGAAGTTTTTCTTATAATAGTTGGATAAGTGCTTAATTTTCATTCAATACAGCCACAGCCAAATACCAATTTTGTAATTGTTTATTGATATGAAGAAATACATTGGAAAGAAAGATATTGGAAAGTCAAAATTAAGCGTTGGCGTTTCCTCTACACAAGCTAATCGAACTTACTTTGTTGCATGTACCAGTGATCAACTTTTTGCTTCTGCGGTGGCAATTCTAGCAGCTCAATAAACGCAACAGGGCCCATTGGTGAAAACGATCGCAAATCAACGACATCTTCGTCTAGCAGATCTTCATCGTCCTCTTCAAAAGTCTTTATTTCAGATTCGGTAGGTTTATCCTCCATTTCTGCAACTTCTGAGGAAGGAGAACATAAAATACCAAGTAGATTTTGCGATATACACTGGTAACAAAATTCAGTGCTAGACTTTTTAATGAAGTAGAAATGGCACGTCTTCTTCCTTATCAAAAGTAAACTGCAGGGCTGAACGAAGGCTATTACAGCGATTTAGAAAAATATCACACTCAGCTTCGGTTTTGTAAACAAGATTATCAGACAAATGGAAGTATTATCATAAAATAATTTAAAACACACAAGATAACATCAACTCTGATTGGTCAAAATCAAACTGCCAATGCCAACAGGGCCTAAAATAAGCGTGGATCTGACTCACTTTGTGGAGTTGTAAATTGAAGGGTTCCCTTTAGATAACTTTCTGCTCACAAGTTAAGACATCACTATGTGTTGCTAATTTTCTTATAAACCCAATCCGTATATTGCAAAGAACCAGCTTCACATGCTTCATTTATTCAAGATTTTGTCCAATAAGGACATGCTATTTGCACTATGGTGGCAGTTTCTATATTTGCCACTCCCATTGAAAATTTTATAAGAAAATGTGGATCTGTAAACAATTCTTAATTTAGGCACTCAATGCCAAACAGCCAATAGAATAACCACATCTGACTGAGTAATCTGGGAGTAGTGATAGAGTCATCTTGAGCAGAACCACAACAAGATATCGTTTCCATGATTAGTACTTAAACACGTCCCAATAATTAAGCACACTGTGTGCTAAAACACAAAGCTTCTACGCACAGTTATTTACTGCTTGCTTTGTCTTTGACCTGCAACGACATTTCAGTTTAGGCAATAATGTCACACTCACCTTCTTTTTTCGGTTCCTCTTCCTTGATCTCTTGTTGTTTTTCCTTTGCACTCGCAAGACTTGACCTACTTGCGCTTTTGCGGCTTTTTCGACTGCTCGACTAAAATATGACATAATTACTTTTGTACACCCAGCACCAAATAGGTATCTATTTCTAATTCTAAGGGGGCTAAAACAACAAGAAAAGAAACTAGCCAAAGAGCATCTGGATGCAGTTACCTTAAAAAAATGATTTCCCTACATACGGCTAAGCACAAATATCACTTTAACCTAAATTTATCGTGACCAAGCTTAGACATGGCTTAATTATTACTGTAAAAATATCAAAGCTCAATTTGGTTACATAGCCTTGGACTGAATAGCGAGAAGGAGTTTGAATTTAAAGAAAAAGGACACAGCTTAATATTTCCAGGCAGTGAAGTACCACGACTAAAGATCCAAGGCAAACATTTTAAGTGCTGGCTAGCATAATGCTTCATAAACAGCGAAATCCGACATACGTATCAATTTGAGCAAAGACAAAGAAAATCACCGGGGTTGCAGATGATGCTTACCTTTTCTCTGACCGGTTCCGGATTGTGAAGAACAGTATCCGGAGTTTTCGGCACCGATGGCTCCGGTTCAGTTACCTAAGATGTGAAGAATAAAGATATGTATCATTTTATTAGGACATGAACGTCACAATATTGAGTGAAAGGAGCTCTAAAAGACAGATATAATTGCAATAGGTCTCATTTATGCAAGTTACGTGCACTGATTACACATGGAGAACATCACATTGAAAACAAGAAATATGCTAATTTTCACCTTCTCGCTCTTATCCTCTTCTGTGACTGTCTCGGTTGGAGGCAAAGACACAGCCTCGGATGCCTTCTTACTTTTTGGCAAGTACGTAGAACATCTGGGTGACATTGTGTCGTAATTCCTGTACAGAAGGCGTGTAGCCACGTCAGCAAGAACTAGGGACCGTGGAATCTCGATCATGAAACCCTCGCTTGGAAAGTCCACACTCTTCACCCTGTGAACAAATGGGTAAAATTGCAGATTATGGCTCTAACTTACTAACTATTACGAGGGCAACGAATTATCAATCAGAACATGACACTTCAGACAATCACGTGTACTGCTTTGACATGATTATGTCATTAAGAGCATAATATCCCAAGCATTAAGTCGAAGACTCCTAAATATTGAATGGAAGACATTACAAATTAACTCAACCCTCCAACCCTTCAAAAATGGGCGTTTCCATCATTTTCCAGTGACCTGAAGGGTGTGGCACAAAAATTAGTGTCTAACACCCCCCTTCAATCATTGTTGCTTAAATCCGCCCCTGATAAGAAGAAACGAAGATAAAACTGCTCGATATACCTCGGGTTTTTGGCTGTGTTTCCCCAAGTGCAGATTTTGAAGTTCTTACTTTGGACAATACACTGCAAATTTTCTGTCTCAGGATTGATGTTATCGCCTGGGTTCTTTAACAGCCACATTGTCCCTTCATCAAGTTTTGCCTCCAGCAAAGAATACATTTCTCTGATAGACTAAAATAATCAACAAGTCAAGGGACACTCAGGGATGTATCATTCAAAGATATATGGGAAGGCATATCACCTCTAACAGTCTTTTTAAAAGTTTACTGGCAATATCATTAGTTATTTAGTCGTAGGTTGTTAGCTAGCTGGAATAATCTTCAGTTGGATGCTTCAATTGCCCGAAACGAGGAAAAAGTAAGGGATAAACTTTTATTATCTGTGTTAGCGTCCTGATATTCCACAGACATCACTTGTTGAAATGCACAAAATTGAAAATTTTAAGTGCAAAAACATTACTTTCTGAAAAAAGGTACCTTTATACTATCAAAATCATTTACAAGAGATGCAAACAATACCAATGGGAATTATCTGAATTGAACCACATCAAAATGGTTCGTAAATCATATTATGAGACAAAGCACTTTACATTTATGTACAATGCATACTAATCGCGATCGAAACACATCTAACTACTTCCAATGGTGGTTGAAATAGAAATTAAACATTCTGAGCTGATAGAATAGTTACTCGTGTGTTTTGTGATAGAATTCAAAAACAAAATAAAGGTCCCCCTGTTTCAGCTAACTTTTTTCAATCTAAATGCCTTAAATACATAAGTAATCTACCTCTGTGTATGTTTGTGTCTCGTTTTCTGATAAATCTTCATCTTCTTCCAATGCCCTCTGCAATTCTGCTATGAGCTACAATGTATCAAAGGCAACAGAAAGGATTAATTAGAGTAAAACAGCCTTTGGATATTCACTTTAGCCTGAACGCGAAACATGTTTAGTAAGCTTTTATACTGAGGGATCTCATCATGTTGCTTTGTGGGTTTGCATTAACAGGCCTTAAAATCTTGAAGTTTCCCATCATTGAATTCTGGCATCATCCTACCTATGGGAGAGGGTATTTAAACTATCTTAATTTATTTCAGAAAAAAATAGTTACATACTTCAAGATTTGTTAGTCCTACTAAGGAAGCGATTTTATATCTAAAACCAAATACTTTATCTGAAGTTTAGCTTTTTGCTTGGAGAAAAATTAAGTTGAGTTTGCATGCTTGACAGTTTATCAAAGAAAACAGTTTTGTTGCTAAAATCAAATGTTTGCTTTGAGAACTTATTAAAAGTTCAGTTCTTTGCTTGGAAATTATGTCAAAAGTAAATATAAAAGAACGGATAAAATTAGACGAGGTGTAATCAAAACGGACTTTTAAAAGACAAATTTTTACAAACCTCTAAAGTGAGTTCACATTCTTCCAAAACATCGGCAAAATCTTTGTATTCGCTTTCATCTTTCCACAAATTCAGGTACGTGTTCAGTTCTTTGCTTGACGTGGGATCGGGCCTTCCATCACATAGCATATACCTATCCCACTATAGCAGAAAAAGAAACAGCGTCTTACACAAGGCTTAGGAAATAATTTGGTACGTCAGAAGTAAATGTTCAGGTCATATTAACCGACAAAAGTTGTGAGCCATCCTTCACTTGCAGACAAATTTGTAAACTTGCAGACAAGCACCCATAGATTGCAAAAACTTTTTTTTCCCAACATGAATTTCTTTTCGAAGGAGGTAGTTACAACGCCCTTGCACCCCATACCTACGGCTCTGGTGCTTGTTCCTTGGAGATGTTATAAGCGCCAATTTCAAATGCTGAAATTTCTCTTTTACCAAGAATGAACAGTACCTGTCTGCCGAACAGAGAGTTAATAAATGAAGAGAAATTTTATGCTAGCTTCTTTGCTGAAATAGCCTAGGAACAAGATAAAAAAACAAGCAAATAAAATGAAACATAGCCCTGAGAAAAAAATTATCAGGAACGGGTTACCTGGTAGTGTGCGCTCAGTCACTACATTTGCCGACTAGACGCTTGTGAATTTCAGAAAAGCAGAGTTAAAATCTTCCATTCAGTTCATTTTTATCAAAGTGTAAGGATTTCTTTATCATCATTCCGAATTCCCGCAAGTTTTCAAGAAAATCTCAAACCAAACGAAGTTACTGAAGAATGTTAAAAAAATGTAGCGCTCATTGTATATTTGTTGTACCCCAATGATTGTTTATACAATACTGTACTGTACGATATAATTGGCTTGTTGTATACCTTCTACTGTGTGTATATCTAGTTCCATTAAATAAAAGCTTTCTGGAATATTGTTTTACAGTAAAGTTGAAGTAAAGGCCTAGTCTCCATGTGTTACATCCTCGTGCCACAACTTTTGCAGAAAATAGCCAGTAATTAAGGCCTGGTAGAGTCCGGTCGGTTTAAGGATCAAATGGCTACCTAATGGCCCAGTTTCGATAAAAACACAACCGCTTGGAGGGTAATTTTTAGCACTTTAGCTTTGGCCCTCTTGGACTCTGACTGGACCCCCCGGTTAGGCTATTTTGGTTGTACACCCTCCCCGGGAAATGACATTGCCCCATTCCCTTCAAACATCTATGCCAAACGATTAATGTGGCTTTGAAAAGTTTCAAACCTTTTCCTGCTCTCGCCTTTCCTTTTGAAAATGCAGCAGATTCTCCTTGTTTTGCTCTATTCTTTCACGAAGCTGATCAATTTCTGCCTGGTGTCTTTCTCTTTCCTAGGAGGCAAAAATAATTATAAATGACATAGAAACTTAAAAAATGCAGTGTTATTTTAGCTCAATTAACACTTCATACACAAACTTGCAACTTTAATCCCCTTGATTCGCCCAAATATGGACAATTTTATATAAACTTTTATATCATTGTTGCACAGCTTGACAGAAGTTTTCATTGAAAAAGCAGCAAAATTGCATCGTATCTATTGCTTATCTATATACCTCTTGTTACTAAACAAGAGGTAGTCCCTGGCCAGTATCTCTTTAATTTAAGCTTACATAAGGTATTGCCAGGGTTATGGAAGGACAGCTGAAAGTTTCAATTGTACAGTAGGGCGGACGCCTATCGTTTGGATAAGATGATGTCACATTTGTCCGTTGTTTAAATTGACCATTGTCTTCCAAAATATTGGGGATGGGATTCACCAATATTTTGGGCATCCACCATTGATTGTACACGCTACAAAATCTAGCTTTTAAATTCAAAATGACCTGCTCTTCAAGTTTTCGTCTCTCTTCTTGCTCCTGTTTTTCTCTCTCTTCTCTGTCCTTTGCTTCCTGTTCAGCTCGCAGTCTTGCTTCCTCTGAAAAAAACCGAGTTATATTGAACAAAGGGTTTTGAATGGATAGCAGTACTTATTTTTAGATGCTCGAAAGGTTTATAATCAGGTGCAGAGAAATTCCTTTTGGTGAGGCCAGGGGTATAAAAAGTTGGAAGACCCAAAATTCATTACAGTTTTATTCAAACTATGATTATAAATTGATGTACTTATTTTCTGGTGAAATTGCTCAACATAATCCATTGAAAAGCTGTCAAAAAATGTAATTCTCCAAAAGGGCAAAAAATATAGAGGAAGCAAAATTATAAAATTTGTCAAAATGCCTTTCTTTCGCGCTGCATTAAATTATCTATCAAATCACAATTTAATTGCAAAGCAAAATTTACCACTTTTTCAAAAATCATTTGAGGTTTTAGAGGTGCCCAGGGGGCTATGAACACAGGCATGCACTTAATGTAGCTGGAAAGAGCCCAACACACGAGACAAAAGATAAAACAAGGGCCTGATTATGTTTGACTCAAGGCTTCACAGTCCCTAAGACTGCATTTAGCAAAAATAAATGAGATCTTGTTCACAACTTTTAGGGACATCTCTCTCCAAAGATCTCCTTTATTGACCACCCATGTAGTGTCCGTAACAATCAAGCTAATAGTAAGAAAACAGGAACGTGTTAATGCATTACCCTCCTCTTGTGCTTTCCTCTCTGCCTCTTCTCTTTTGAGTCTTTCTTTCTCAGCTTTTGAAAGCTTCCCAGACTTTTTCTTCTTTCCCTTTGATCCAGTTTTTGCACCCTTGAAATAAAAACAGTCAACTATCTTCAAAACAGCTACATTTTTTATAAAAACTTAACTTTTTTCCAAAGATTTTTTGACTCATACTCAAATTACTTGAGGACAAACTATTCATCAACCCTCTGACTTGTGATCATGCCTTGTGCCTTGTGGCTCTATTATTGCAAATGCTCTACAGTCATGCTTGTAAATTGATCTTATTTATCATACTTTCTTTGCTTTATTTGATTCTGTTCATCGGTTTATGCCAAGCTAGCATGATTATATTTTTGCAACACTTGAAATGTATTTTATTATGGTCCAAAATCCTTGCACTACTATGTGGCCAAGTGCTGGAATAGCATCCCAATAGATATAAAAAGTACACCATTGACTTTTGCTGAAAAGTCCAATCTTTCTTCCTTGAAGAAATTGCATAAACTGAATTACCATATACTCTCAGGTTAAGAATTACCTCACTGATTTGTTCAACCAATCATTGAACTTATCAAAAGTTTAAAAAGGTTTGTTAAAGTATTTGCTTGCTTTGCAAACAGACGGATCTCTCTCCATGACTAGCCCTAGATGATGAGAGAGTTCCTACTTGCAAAACTGTCTTGAACGTATAGTTTTCTGTCACTTGTTTTATTACGTTACTTGATATCATTGTTGCAATTCAATAAATTTACTTAGTTTTAAAATTCCTTTATGCTTTACGTAAATTTTCTTCTTTCATATTAAGTATCTATGCAGTAGAATTTAAAACATGCATCATGTACTGAACTCAGAGCATTATGCAGTAATCATTAGAAAAAATAAAAGATTGTATCGCGAAAATCTATTTCTAGAATTTTCAACCACATAACTTGAACGGGCAGCATAAAATACGACTAAATGTGCAAAATCAGTATAATGAGCTAAAAATTGCCTGACATATGGTGATGTGAGCACAGGCTCTTTCCCAATTTAATCACTTTAATTTTGTCTTTGTTCTACTTAGCTCTTAACTTAATTCTTTCTCTTGATATATCTTAACCAATTTAACCTATTTTGAATTTTAAGATGTATTTCATTTACTCTTATAGGAAAGGTGGTTAAAAGCAAAAAAGATTTAAAAACAGATCCTTCATGAAGTTACACCAATACTTTAATACAACCGAAATTATTATAATAAGGGTAAGGACTAACTTTATCTTTGCAAAGGTGGAAATTAACATGAGTTGAAGACAAAAGGTCCATCTCCCGTCCCAATGTCAACATAACTCGGAAAGGGAAGTGAAACAATTTATATTACCTGGGAAGTCAAATAAATTTGTGCATTGGAAACAGAAGAGAACCCCAATGGAAAAGACAAGGAGATGTTTTTTCAGATCTTTAACAAAATTCCTAAGGCGTGTATGTGACTATGAGGTGTGCACTTCAAATGTCCATTGTCAGAGTTATAGTAGGTGGACAGACACACCAAACTGTTTTCCAAATTTAATCTACTGCAATATTTCTAAGTGACAATGATACTATTTTATTTTTTCTACGTCAATTCTCTTGAAGATACACCTATTTTAGCAACTTCAAAAGCCTTTTGACATTTTTAGGACATTTTGGCTGCCACACTTTCCAAACGGAAAAATCAGATTAAAAACCAGGAGATTCCCAGAAAGACAAACCAGAAGACTTAAAAAGTCTGTGCTTAGGCTAGTGACACAACTATTAAATTTGCTGTGAATTTATAATCAATATGGGTCATTTTGGAAAATATTTAACCTCGATGTAATTCAGGCGCTAGGCCGGTAACATTCATAAAACAAAACTTTTTGATAGGCTCAGAGAAAATATTCATTTTGTGGCTAAGCCCTTCAGCTAAAAAATTATACAATGAAAATTTAAAACAATCAGAAGTGGACTTGCAGCAGCTGAGCACAATATGATATGGGCCATCAATATGAAGAATGAACGTGGGGATTTATCAAAATTGCCGCGTTAGATATCAACAAGTATTTCACTCCTTACCGGCATTTTGAATAAAAGCAATATCCCTTGAATATGATTTCTTCTTCTGAGGATTGGTTAAAGCAGTATCTTCTATTCACTTCAAAATATAACTAAGATTTCCAAAGTTGAAGTGAACGGCCATTTCGTTGCCACAACAATGTTTTTGATCTCACTTCCAGGTGGCCTCGATTCCGCATTTGGGCGTTAAATTCTGTGACAAGGTTTGATCAGACGAGCTTCTTTCAAGACACTAAATTTTAATTTTAACTTCATAGAATCTCAAATAGCTTTACTTCCAGGTGATCTCCAGGCTCTATTTAATCTTCTAAGATTAAAAATTACTTCTTGAGTTGGCATGTAAGATTGAGAATATTTCCACAATTCAAGGCCCAGAAGGAGTGAAGTTTCAATGTTCCTTTCTGCAATGTTAACAAATAACAAGAGCCTCACAGTCCCCCTTAAAGCTCATAGGTTGAGCATTGCCCGCAGCCTTTTTTTACCCATGTTGTCTCCAAATTTCGCTACAGGCCTTGAGTCTATGCAAAAACTTGAGAGAGCTGGAAAGTCAAGCAGATGTACACTTACGTGACAAAAGTATTAGGACGATCGCCTCGAAGCAAATTTAGTTAATCCTTTGCTCAAAGAACAACATAGAAAATCAGTGGAAGATAGCGAGATTGCTGATTGAGATTTTCGAATGCAATTTTACCCAATTGTAAAAATAAACAAAAGTAAACTTTTTAGACAAATAGCATTTGCTTTTTTCTATATCCTGTCGGATGACCTCCAAGAATCTAGGAACTCACTGAAATAATTTTTCAACGAAATATCTTCGGATACAGGAGGAAATCTCAATAGAATTTTGAAAGAGCTTACTTTTGGACAGGGTTATTGAAAGACCATGATGTTATTGTTTTTGGAAATTTATGTCACAATTGCAACATAACTAGTTTTAATGTATTGCTTGAGAATCATTAGTTGTTTCTGTACTTGCCTGGGGGCTTTCAACAAATAATTGGACAAAATATTCAGCATTGATTGACTTCGCACACAAAGCCAGCTTGCAGATGCAGTTAGGCCTAACCAATAGTCGGCCTTTCTTGGCCTACCATTCTTTTAATTTTAGTAGGCATTGTTAACTTATTGTTCATGTAAATAACATGCTTTATAGACTTTTTGCTACCAAACTTTCTTGCAGTTTCAAATGGCTTGCAATTGAAACGCTAGACCCAATTTTTTATTGCTTCTCATGTCGCTTTTATTGCTTTTCAGGTCGTTTTTTATTGCTTTTCTGGTCATTTTTATTGCTTTTCTGGTCGTTTTTGTGTTTTCGGCATTGAAACTAAAACATTGCTGTTTTCCATTTCTCCTTGACCTTTTGTTAAAGGTGGAAATAAATTGAATTCAATAGGATTTGTAGCTTTACTGACGCCATTTCTAGAATCCCACAAAAACAGGAACATTTGTTCATCAATTGCTTGTTTTTGAGAAGTCATTTTGTTATTCATCGTCCTAATACTTTTGTCACGTAAGTGTACATACTAGCTTATTTCTCTACTCTGTTATTGCTCTGTAATATTAAAATCATTAAACTTCTTCTAAATTGTTTATACGTTTTAACGTCGATTAATGTGAACTTGCAACAAATGTATGTATACAATAGACTTTAAAATAAAAAACTGAGCTGAACTGATCAAAGGAAGCCGAAATCGTGCTGAGTATAGGCAAACTGGACAGTGAAACCTATGGGTGCGAGGTTGCGATCGAGGCCTCTGAGAACGCAATTATAGAATAATTTTGCACAAAAGGGTCCCGTCACCCCACTTTCCTTCCCATTGACAGACTGTCCATTCTATATAGTCGAGCCTCGTTACCCATGTCGAAAAGCATTGCGAGCCTCGTTAAATATAAAACCGCATCCCGTAGGAAATGCAATGGCTACACACTGACGGAATAATGGTAAGATAAGAAACAGCCGTTAAAAAAGACTTGTCCATATTCTGTTACATTGTCAATGTCCAGCATCTTAACAACAATGACAGAAATAACATTTAAGATACATAGAGTGTATAATTCTAGGATTAATATACAAAGCTCGAAGCATTTCAGCGAGACGAGTTTGATTCGTCTATTTAGTTCTCGGTACGATCATAATTTTACAACACGGTTATACCATGAATGTTTGTGCATTTAACAATAAAATGATTGACAATTCAACGCGATTGACAAACAAAGTACAGGCTACAGCAAAGTTTACCATGGGCTCCGACAAAGGTTGAAAAGTGGGGGGGGGGGCAAAGGAAAATTTAACACCTAGAAACAAAATATTTTGAAGAAAACTCTATTGTTTTGCAAAAAAGTGGGGGGGCAAGGCCCTCCCGGTTCCCCTTCGTCGGAGACCCTGTTTTCGTTGGTGATATAGGTGGCCAAAGAGCGGGTTTATTCTGTTTGCTATCATAGATAACACGGCTGGTTTGCCATATTCTTTAATATTTTGATCTTGTGCCCTAGCATTGAGACTTGCAATGTAACAAATGGGATGGGAACATTTAAAATTTAAGCTCTATGTACAAATTATGGTATATATAATCTATTCTCGGGAAAAAACAGGATTCCGGCTTTTATCTTATGGATACAAAGTCATTATTTACAAATTCAAGTAGGCAACACGATTACTTAGGCTGATACGTACTGCCTACGAAAAACAATACAAGAGGTATAGAACCCTCACTATACAAGATTTGCAATAAAAACCGTTATTAAATTTTGCCTTCCTACAGGGGTTTTAGAGTGAACACATGTTACTAGATTATACATTAAGCTTAGAATTAAAAGAAGGGGAATTAAGTTTTTCTGACTGATAATAAATGATATTTACAAACAAAATCACAATTACAAACACAAATACAAACACAATCAAACTAATACATTTTCAACAAAACATAATGATAAATTTAGCAACGAATTCCAAATTCAATGAATTGGCTTCCAATTGCAAATTCAGTTTCTGTTATCGTGTCAGTAATAAAATATAAACATTTGATCGATAGACTATAATAAAAACAGACGAATTCAAAAATGGAATGTTGCAAAACGATATTTTGATATTTTGTCGAAAGCCATGATTCACATAATTTCTGCATGATATTTACAAAAAGATTACATTGAAAGAATACGTAAAAATATAAGCGTTTTCATTTTTAAAGGCCTGGCATCAATCATAAAGATATGGAACGTCTTTTTTAATAACATACTCGAGATGAGGCTAGGATTAACATTAGTAATGATTATGATGATGACAAAGGTCTGCCAGTTTCAGTGAAAATCGCAGTCACTGTCCACGCAGTCGTCAAGAAACACAAAATCATTGACAAATTCGTCCAATGAATCAACCATTTTATATCTTGTCTCCTCCACAGTGACAAAATTTTTGCAGCTACCAACCTTGAAGATTTTCTCCGGCTTGTTGAACTCTCCTGCTTCCATTAGAAGCTCAAGCGACTTTTTCGAGATTGGTGTACTATTGTAAAGATCTGCCTGTGGCGTTAACCCGAGATATCCCATATTTGGAGGTGTTACTGACCGAGAAGGGCTTGGTGGTGAGTCGGAAAATTTACGAGGCATTGGCAGTGATTTCGTTGGGGTATTTGGCTGTAATGGTACTGATGATTTTCGGCGAGGAAGGTTAGACATGGACTGGCTGACTGAGAGGCGTTTCCTGCTTTGTGTCTGTGTGATTGGAACAACACGCATGTGGGCCTGAACAGCTTTGAGTCTGGCAGTGGCTAGAATAGAAGATGTAAATATAAATAGGGATCTGTCACCATGTCATCTATATATAAAAGTATCAACGGTAACAAAACCTGAACTTTTGCACCAAAGGCAAGTATGCAGAATGGAACCGTTGCCTGACGATGGAATTACGCTTGAAACTTAGTTGAAACTAAGAAGCTTCCTCTTCAACACACCAAAGTTTTGCAATGTAAGGTAACAGAAAGTCAATCCGCAATATTTCTTTGCTTTACTTGTAGCCCAAAAATGATAAACCTCTTAGGCTATCTGGATATAGTCTGATTTTGGAGTCAACTTTAAAAATTCTTTCAACATACCTTCTTCCATGTGAATGAGGCGTTTATCCTTCAAACTTGGATGCCTGGCAACAAATTATACAAACATAAATCTCTTTGTCATCAATATTTTGATTTAGGTCATACTGCGTGTTTAAAGCGAATTGAAGTAGGTTTTGAAGGTGTCATCTACTAACCAAAGACGGCATTTGGCAAACTATTCTGCTAAACGGGAAGAATTGGAAGAAAAAAAGCCCTATGGACGGCGGCGTGTTTATGTGCTAACGGCATGTGCTGACGTCAACTTTAGCAATTTCCATTTGCTGAACGAATCAACAACAGTAAGCAGTAATAATGTTGGATATACTAGGCAGAAATTCCCCAAGGAAGGGAAAATAGGGCGGTTATAGGCAAATAAAATATATCGCATAATTGCAAGATTCTTCGAAGAGAAGGACCACATATATCATGGCGAGAAGTCTGACGTAACTATGGCTTTGATGGGCAGTGCTATTCAAGGAAGAATCGGGACTAGCAATAAGCCACATAGGCTAGCTATCGCCGCATATTTCATGGAAATAAACGTGCTACTGTAAAAAGGATATACTTCATGTTTTGTTGCTTCTTGTGACGCTCTCAGATGTATACATAGAGTAGAGACTATGTTGCCGTATGCATTGGAATTACCAGAGGTGTAAACAATTTTTTCTTTCTGGGAAACTAAATACACCTGGGAACCTAAATCTGACCCTCCTCTATCTACGCCACTGCCACCAGAACAATTCAGCCACCATAGCAATTTTAGCAACCAAAATAGCCACCGGAGCAATTCAGCAACCATCATTTCAAAAATTCATGGGGAGCATTCCCATACCCCCTAGAAGCATCTGCCTAAGGCATGCTTTACTATTTGCAGTGGCGTGCCGGGGATGAGATCGCAGGGGGGGGGGGCAAAGGGTCAAAATGGCGCCCACATATCTTCCAATTTTCCTTTTCAAAGTATTGAAAATGTGCAGAAAAGTACAAATGTTCGGAAGCACGCTGATCTATATCTATCTATACATGGCGTACTGTAAGACCTTCAAATGATGAGAGAGTGGGTAGTCAATTACTGACAGGGCGTGATGGAAAAATTTCAAATAGAGTATTTTATTTTTTGTAAAACCTTGTAAAATCAACAGTATTTTGAGTATCGTTGTAGCGGCTGTATCATCAAACTGCACAACAATGATTATCAGGAACTTCACTATTGAGGGAGGATGGGGGTAGGGAGGGGGCGGTAAGATCATTCAGGAGTTGAAGGCGGTCGCCATCGTTGGCGGCAAAAAAATGCAAAGAATACGTTATAGGGATGGTCGGAAACTGCATCCAAACATTAACAACATCGCTATAGACTCATGGAAAATCCTGGACAATACCTACTAGTTTTTTTGAAAATATGGCCCAAGGCCGTTGCGAGGCAGGCCTGTCTGGGTTTACTACGAACTTGCCGGATTGAAAACTATCCTCTGCAATACATTGTGCCGATTCACCGCATTTATTTACATATTATCATCAAACTTTCCAGCCCTTTAGATCTACATATCGGAACAAGCCCAGGATATAACTGCACTGTCCGAGGCGAAACTATGGTTGCCGCCGAAGAGGAAAAACTTTTGAATTTTGATCCTTCCAGTTTGCTGGAAAATGCAATTTTTCAATAATGCAAGCTTTCTCTTCAATAAATATCCACAGGCTGAAAGCTACATGGTGGTGTAAATCGATTTTCTGGTGTCGTTGTTAAATATTTTAGCTTATGCAACACAATTTTCTTTAGATTGGGACATAATTTCTCAGCTTGTTCTTCCTTGCATTTCTTTTCATTAAAACTCCTTGCACCCTCTCAATATTCTTATGAAATAGCACCTAATCTGAACTTTTACCGCCAAGCCAACAATTTTGATGGGTTCCTCAAAAACATCCCCACACCTTACCTCGGTACGCCCATGGTATCTACTTTGTGCGTAAAAAACATTTAGATTTAGCGTGAGATCTTGAGATGGTGTTTAACAATCGTTTTTCAGTGCATCAATTTAGTAAGAAAAAAGAATTGGTATGTTGCAAGGTGATTTCTTGTTCTCTTCGAAGCGATTTATCGTGGATTGTTATACAGTATCCGCTTTTAGTATTGTTGCGTTCTTTTATGTGAATTGTCCTCGTTTGCAGCTTTTTGGCTAGGGCGCCTTCGGCGCTCCTATAACGTAACAATCCATTTCGGCGACCCTGATATTTCATCAGCAGGGGGGGGGGGGCAATTGATTTGCACCCCTTGCACTCCCTGCCAGCACGCCACTGACTTTTTGTTATTCGTCTTTACCCGGGGGCCCGTCATTCCTCTCCGCGGCCCTGCACCATAGTGCAAGAAGTAATTTCTGTGAAAGTAGGTTCCAGTCCCTATATTAATTTCAGTCTAGACAATGGTTTGTCTCAAAAACTCAGCTGCCAAAAAAATTGTTGATGGTGAGTGGTTGAGATTTCTGTGAGATGGTGAATGTGCACAAAGAATTTCTTTCCAATGGAAAGAGACTATGCCCTACTACAGTCCGTTGGCTGCTCATATTTAGCTGCTCATAGGCAAGTTGAAATAATATTAAATGCTGATTTTACTTAACTCATGTCACCAGATTTTTACATTTACTTTAAGACTTCAAAACATTTCTGTGAAACTTTCTGCTAATATTTTCATCCAGAAAAATTTCTGGGAACTATGTTCCCAGGTTCCAATGCTTTTTTCATTTCTGGGAATTACATTCAAAAAGTTATGATGAGCAATACGACCAGGGCAGGAATCGAACCCACAACCAGCAACTCTGTGCATTGTTTCTCTACCAACTCCTATCACTTAAATGCATTTTAAATATCTTTCATTTGAGATCTGAGATGCCCCTAGCACTGCCCTGGCATCTGATGCCATTTCATGTATGAATATAATGGATTACAGGCTAAGTCAAGGTCTGCTTATCTCCCGCTTGTTGTCAGATTTGAGAATCTAAACAATAAAAACATATGACCAAACATAACAAATGCGACTTAACTGAAGCAAGGTTATCATTACACACAATCTAGATGGCATCAAACCAGTTAACTTAGAATAAGTTGAATAATTAGAGGAAAAAGTAGCTCAGAAAACTCACATTTCACACTGGTATCGATCTTTGTATGTGTTGAAAATCTCCATTGCTATATTCACAACAGTCTTTGTGTAGTAGTTCTTCTCGCTGATTTCTTGAAGCTTTGGAATAAGCCAATGGGCTCTAGTGAAATATAACAATAGTCTATTTCAGGATTTCGAAAGGGATTCATCATATAATCACAACAGTTCAATGATAGGTATCGAGAGTTTGTGAATGCTTTAACTGCTGTTGTTTTTGGTGCTTCCTTGATTATCAGCACCTACAACTCTGCCTAAAGTCTGGGCACACTGGTACAAAGTCTCTTATTTGTATAGGGAAGAATGTTCTCTCATGTGTTTTGTATGATATGTGTCTAAACTATCAATATAGTGTTCTAGGGGAGAGAGTGACAAAAGTGGTAATATTTCGCTACATAAGAAACAGAATATAAAAGTACAAGGCAAATTGCACAGGATTCCAAGTTGATTTGGCACACATTCTAGCTTAATGAGCCTTTTGCTATCAGGTTATCGAATTCCCAAGAGATTTTTAATCAACCAGTTTTAACGTAATTGGCTAATGCCTGAGAATTTCTTGGTCAGACAATGTCTTTTAAACTTCCACACATCAAAAAGCTATGTCATACTACAGACATAAGATCTTGCTGCAATTTGTATAAACTTACAATTAACCTTTTACAATCACTGTGTGTAATTCAAAGAAAGTCTACCAGCTTGGAAATTTGTAAGACTTTTCAGAACATATGGTGAAAAAATCTTAAAATAATCCAAACTCAATGCTTTTGTACTCTTAAGTGCCAAAACACATCAATTCCCTATAATCTGATTACAAGAAAAATCTAAAAACTGAACTGGAAGTTAACCTTTCAGGTATAAAGGCGTCTTTGCATTGCAGCTAGCAGCAGGGCAAGTGCATGGAGCTCCTTTTTTATGGTATAAAAATTTAATGGACCATTATTGGTGCCGAATTCTATAAAGGTGAATTACACAAATTCCTAGGAGACAAAAGTAGGGAACTTACACTTCACGAACAAAGAGCAACACATGCTGCACTGTATAGATGCAAGGTCTAGCCACCCACTTGGCAATTCTGAGAAATACCTTTACCAAATGCCATAAAATTACATCTGTATCTGAAATGACATCTTTTGCTCGATGAAGAACTGTGGAGAAAACACAGTCAAAACATTCTTAACAAGTAAAATAAATGCAGTTGTTTCAAACCCAACACTGGGCTGAATAAAAACTAAGGCTAAAAAACAAAACATGTTGATAACAAGCAAAGACTCTGACATGAAAATTCAAAACTACAAAGACATGTTCTAGACTTTCTTTATAATAAACAGAAATCTGATCTTTTGTCTCTTGATGTTCTCCCACTTGGAAAGGTAGGGGGCAGGGGTACTGAATAAACATACATTTTATTCTGGCAGGGGGGACCTGCAGGCAAATGAAGAGTTGGTTCAACCACTTTCTGAGCAGGACAGCATCTTGAGCATAAAAGCTAATGACAGTTCTATTGGCATGTCAGTGTATTAATGTTTTACTGTATTCAAGGCTTATAAAACAATACATACTTTCATTCAGAGCTTCTGGGGAAACATGGTGAAGAATCGCGAGTCCCTCTGCAGAAACAGCACTATCAGGGTCACTTAATGATTCTGTTGTACTACATGAACAAACACTTCCATCATCCTCAGAGTCATGGCATTCTCTGCAGCAATCAGGGATCCTTATTCTTGCAATCCCAATATTCAACATGTTTGGATCTGCAAAAATAACTTTCCAGATCAAAAACTTATCAACTTTAAATGACTATATCCATAGTGCTGGTAATTTAAACTGAAGTGGGAAAAAACCTTTTGGTTTGTTTTCGCACATATGGCGAAAATCATTAATTGAAAATGTAATATAAAAAGTTTAAACAAATATTAACTAGACAGTTTTATCTCCTAGGCTTCATCCACCAAACATGACTCTTTTCAAAAAAAATATTAAAGGTGAGGGACAGTTCAATTATAGTAGCATTCATCCTGACTTTTTATGCTCATTAACCACTTGTTTACAACAAAAACAGGCAATTTACAGTATGCAAGTATAAGCATACAATAAACAGAGAAAATATTTCATTGCAGAGTACCACAATATTCAAGCACTGCATAATTACAGCACATGGCATCAATAACCTTGTCATTATTCATCTTCTTTTTCAATGTAGCCAACATTCTGACTACAGGCACATTTCATTTACTGTTTCATTTATAAAGTTGGATGTTTACAAAAAAATTTGGAATTTTAACTTAGAATATATTGATATTTCAAAATGATAAGAAAAATCATAACATACAATGCAAATGCAGGTACTTTAAGGCATCCTTGAATCCTTGCCGACACATATTGAACAGCACCTCTTGGCTTGGTGGAAAAAATGCTCTTGACATCCGGTACAAGTTTTGAGATGTAAATTGAACACTAGTGTTTCTGAGGTCAAAGTGGAACCATGTGCCATTGGCATCGTCAGGACAAATATCACTTTCACCACTGAACGGTGAAACAGTGATTGTTGTGCCTTCAAAATGCTGTGGCAAATTATCTGAGAACCCTCCATCTACATATGCCTGAAGAGAAGCGGGAACAAATAACAGGAAAGATTTACTTTATTGTTGCTAAGCATTATTCATTATCTGCAAATTGCAGTTTCTATTAAAGAAAACAATTTTATGATGTACCTTTCTCTAAAAGAATACGATGTACTTGTCCCTGGCCCAGTGGTATCACTAGTAGGGCTTAAAAGCAATGAGTTCGATTTTTTACCTTCAAAAGGGGGGAAAGGGGTGCTGTGAAGAGAAGCCCCTAGCACTGCCCTGGCATCTGATGCCATTTCCTGCCTAATTATAATGGATTACAGGCTAAGTCAAGGTCTGCTTGTCTCCCGCTTGTTGTCAGACTTGTCTTAGGGGGATTTTGCAATACATGGCATCACCAAATCTCTGGCATCCCCATTATGTTAACAAAGCCAATGAACCACAACTGGTGGTTGGTTACATTACATAATTCTAATGAGCTAGACATGTGGTCGAGGTAATCTCCTTTTTAATACAACAGTTTCTAAATACCAACGGCTTTGGACTTTGAACTTGGCCACCTGGCGCTATGGCACAAGCTCAGTAGATTGTCTGGTATTGAAACTTTAAATTTGCTGAGATAATACAATATTTGATCAAAAAACAAATAGCCTGGTTTTTTTTATGCTAAAAAGTAGAGTAATAAGTGAACCATAGTTTTCACAAATTGAACTGTTCGTTGTGTTTTCTCAGTAACATCTAATGGTGTTTTCCACTTATATTTTATGCTAACACTCAATCTGGGGAATTTTCAAACAAAAACATAAAGAAAGGGTTGCTGTTGTGTTACTCTAATTTGGTCCAATTCAGCATAGTTTAGTTTTTGAAATTTGCAATACCATATCAAACAGTTTATTCATGAAACTCATCCTAGACTCAAGTCAAGAAACATTTTTTAGAAAGAATGGGACTTACCACTCCTCTAAACTGTGGAGGCTTGACACCAGAGTAAAAGGGAACAAATGAGGTGCAAATAAGTGCCTATAAGCAAAGAAAAAGATATTTCACAAAGGTGTCGACTACATGCTGCAGAATATGACAGTTTCAAGCAACAGCTTCTGTGAAGATATTAAATTCAGTGCCATATGCAAGTATTTTTGTCAAACTTGCAGCATGTAAACTATTTACAAAAATACTCTCTTTTCAAAAATACAATTTTAAATTGATGTGCAATTTCATACTTCAGTAAACAGCGTCAAAAATTTTGCCACAATCTCCACAGTGGTCAGCAGGAGATATGTTTGAACCATTCTTAGGTTTTATGTAGAAAACAAACAGTTATATAGCTCACATTTTGAATGTGTATTGCTTTCAGACTGAAAATATCAATTCAAATACACAATCACAATCACAAATAGCTTAGTTTATCACTTCTTCACTGATGTTTATAGGAGCATGGCAAATTATGAAAAAACTTAGACCTTTTAGCCATTGAAATGGAAAAAAAATTTTTGTCTAAATTTGATGAGAAAAAGTTAAGGGAAGGGTAATTTTTGCAAGGTATTCTTGAGGATGTAATTCTATGATTTTGAAACTGCCTTTACATAACCAAATGAAATACATGGGCATTCACTATGGGCAAAAAAGATGTTATGAATAGGCATTGAGGCTTTTTCTTGCAGGACAATTTATGTGGCCTGAACATTATCTTTTTCCCCTCCCCAATGCCTAGTGGCTGGCACTGCCTAGGTCAAGGAAGTGACTCATTTCAAAGATGAAAAATTAAGAATCTTTGTATTTAAATACTGAGTATTCGGTAAAGATCTTTAAATGTTAATGGTTAAAAACGTGATTAAAAGTTCTTTTGTCTTAGGTTTAGCGTGTGATGAAGACCCTTTGAAAATTGGTACTGAACAGGCAGGTACGTAGCGTCCTTGATAGATGCCTGTGGCTCAAAATCAAATTTCATAAATATTTAATTGTTTTCATTGAGAAACGTTTGCATCAAAAGTACTTGTTCTTAAGTTTCGTTATATATAACATCTTAAATCTAATAGAAGTGACGCCAACGGGGAAAGAAACAGGAAAATGGAAACAGGAAAAAGAGTACAAGGTTACCGTTTCGATGGTGTAATATCAACAACCCGGTATTCTAAGGCCCTCTTTATTTACTTGTGGGGCTACTTCACCAAAAAACCGACTTTCGTATGGGTAGTTGTACATTCCTTGCCCAAATTCCTTTCCATTTTTTTCATTTCTTGTTTATCGAAACGCAAACATTATGCAACGCAACGAAAACTTTTCTGAAGGGCAAGTCAGAAAATCTTCGATGTGGGCATTATTTAAAGTAAAGATAAGTTTACGCCCTATTAAATATTTTATACTTACATCGACTAATTCTTGCTTCGACTTAAAATCGGATATTATTACATTTTCCCAGTCCGAAACACGAGTCATCGAAATGTGCAGTTTTCCCGTGGCAATTTCGTGTGCGTTGTCAGGCAAAAATCTCATAAATGTCTTGCGAACGATACCAACTGGGTCGAAGTCTTGCGATAAGGGACCAAACATACTGGTCCTAGCTTTTCCTGCTAGTTTCATGACAAACTGTACACAGTTTTCAAGGTCCATATTGAACATCAAGGTGCAAGAGCTCAATGCTCCAGCAGAGGCCCCTCCGAAATTCGTGAAATGTTCTAGATACTTCGGTGCGTGCTGCTTCAGGCAAGAAATTACGCCAATATGATAAATACCAAGAAATCCGCACCCTGAAAAAGTAATGTTCGCTTTCTCGAGTTCTTCATCATCCATAAAAATCCAATCAGCTTGTGTTGGCGGAGACATACTGTTCAAACTATGGTTCTTCCCTGTTTGTGATGACGACGAACTACTCATACCTCAACGGGCCTAAAAATTGCGTGGTCGGCAGATAAATAAATTACATTGTCACTCAAGGCCAGTTGCGGGATTTGTACACCAAAATCCTGGCTGAGTCTTGTTATATAACCTTAATGTTTAATTTCAAGAGTGATGTCAATTCACCACGCAACCTGGTTGTGTGCATATGAAATTTGAGATACAAGTTCCTTCCGACGACAATGTAGTCCACGCAATCAGCCGGCTAGTTCCACAGAATTCTTCTAAAAAAATTCCTTTAAAAACCAAAGTGTACTACTTTGGATTATCTCATGTAAACAAAAGACGGTTCCCTTGAAAACAAAGCTTGGGCTGCGTTAGTTTCAGGAAGAAATCCAAGGAAAAGGCTGATTTTATTGTTGACAAAACCCGGCTTGACACCAACGGCCTTCCCTGTCTATCTCGTGGTTTGTTTTGGTCTGCCTATGAATACAGGCCCACGACACTCCTCAATTTGGGCCAATCAAATCACAGAATTTATGTCATGTGAGGTCTTAAGAAGTCATATGATCCTCACACAAATAGTAAAAGATTGAGAAAATAGAGGTGTCAAAGTACTGAATAGACTCTGATCTTTGAAGTAACCCTATTTTTTTCAACAAAAAGTATTTTTTCAAGCTGGCTCTACAAGAACTAAATATTATTTACAAAACAAGTGAAAAACCTGGATAATATGGGAGCCCCTTGAAGACATAAAGGCATCGACTGCAGCATCGAAGCGTCAATATATGATGTTAGCAGTTACATAAAAAAGGTATCAAAGGTCACCAAAATTGTAGAAAGAAAAGAAAAAGGCTTGAAATGAATCAAAAAATTACTGGACATGCTTGGACAGAGACGGCGCCACGAAATTTAACCTGGGAGGGCTAAGAATCAAGTTTCAAGAATCAAGTGACATTGGAAGAAAGTTTTTGAAATTAAGCCTTCTAGAATGGCTAAAAATGCATCTCCAGGACTAAAATTTAACAAAATACCATACCACCCAGAAAAGACGGTTCGACGATTCTCAGAAAAACATTGTGATTATTGATTTTTCAAAAAAATTTGGGAGGGGAGGAGTCATGCTAAAACTCTGGTTACAGACGTTGGGGAAAAGAAGTAAGGGTGACCATTTGTTCAGAGTGCACATCTCAATGATGTTGAATTGACTGAGAGAATATTACTTCCTGAACACACTTGTGCATCTTCTTTTTCTCGAGTATTTTCTGTAGGCCATGATTACACATCAAAATGACATTGCAATGATGGAGAGAGTTATCTACTGAATTGATGCAAATAAAAGACAAATAATAGAAATAAAATATACCTCAATAAGTTAGTACATAGATAAAAAAAATCACGCAGTACATAAACACTTTGTTCTCTTTTTATTTCATACTCTGTTTTGAAAGGACGGTAAAATTTTTTTTATGTCTGAAAAAGTGGGGGGGGGGCTGAAGCGATCTCTGAAAAAGTGGGGGAGCTCAGATTTTTTTCGAAAATCTGAGGCTGGATTGTTCTTGATTTGTTCTTAAATTAATAGTGTGTAAGCAGTGCAATGGCTGGTGTTCAGGCCTCATTTACCAACAGGGCCTAAAATAAGAAATTTTTACAGATCCACATTTTTTCATAAAAGTTGGGCGTGGTACTTTGCTGCGATTGACGAAGTGGGCGTGGCAAGTATAAAAACTGCCACTATAGTGCAAATAGGATGTTTTAATTGGCCAAATTTTAAATGAATGAAGTATAAGAAGCTAATTCTTTACAGTATATGGATTGGGTTAATAAGAAAATTAGCAACATATTGTGATGTCTTAGCTTGTGAGAAAAGGTTATCGAAAGGAAACCCTTTGACTGGTTTGTTTGGATCTCCATAAAAGTTATTATTTCTTTCCTTTCTTTTTTGAAAACCAACTTAAATCAGTCTTGCTTCCCAGACTTTAGTGTTTTCGGTTTTTTGGAGCATATCTTTGTAGCTGTTCACGGAACTCGAAACTTGCGATATTCGTATATTTGTTAAGTGTTTCTGGAGCTATACTGCTTTGCCAACCTGTTACTATCTTTTTGTAGATTGGAATCAGTCTCTCTACATCGGCAGAATTATGGTTTGCTGCGAGAAGGCGTGTCATTGTCTCGTCTGGTAGAATTCCTCTGAAAACAAGTCTCAGATCTCTGTGATCTTAGTCATTTATTTCTCGAATTTCAATAAGTCCGGGGCAAAAGCTGAGTGCGGCCTTCAAAAGTCATTTTAATTGCATCCAGCCTATCAGATTCTTTGTCATCAAATCTTTTCTTCAAAAAATTTGATACTATAAACGAGAATCTCGTTACGGATGGCAAATAATCTCTTCTCTCATATGTACAAATTTGTGTTTGTCTCTTCTTATTCTCTTTACGCCTAGTTTGGAAGCATGATCTTTCCCCCCAACTTGTTGGTAACGCAAACACCACCCACCAGCCCATAGGGGAATGGCTGGAGCTCGATTTTTACGGCCACACCCTTTGAAACACCGGAGAACATTTGCTTCTTTCTGTCCTTATTCTTAAACATAACGATTCAGAGAAGATTTCAATTACTATAAAAATACAAAACCGAGTTAGATAAAATACAAATTCATCTTTGATCAAATAAGTTAAAGCACCATGAAAAAGACAAAAACGGATTTCCAGTCAAGAAGACTTGCTTCTAATTGGTTCGTTAGCGTAAACTTTGAAAATATTTTCTAACCTATGATTGCAAAAAAGTTAGGGAGGACTATAGCCCCTGTTATGAAACATTCCCAATTAAATGTTCCTCCCAGATACCACCAAGAGGCTTATTATCATTCAACTGCCTTACCCTTGAGAGGAATCTTTCCAATTTGCTTCTCCAATTTAAAATACCTCAGTTGAATTGTTTTGCAACTTTCTCTGAAATCTGCTTGAATCTACATAAACCCCAAAATACCTTACGAGCAGGAAATCATAATCTCGGTCTCGGTCTTTAGTCTCAGTATTTTTCTTAGGTAAGTCGTAAAAGAAAATAACTTGAGATGATGTCCTGAAGTTGAAGATGTATACCGAGTCCATCTTTCTTCAAAACAACACGAGAATATCATAAAGCACAATTGAGTTTTCTCCACATGTACTGAAGCTTCGAGTTTTGAAGTTTCTTAATTCTCTTTTGTAGTCTCACATTGCTTATTTTTTATAGCAATTTACTTATAAAAAATGAGTGCAATCAATAAGGCTGGGATTGGGCTTTTGCTTTGCATTTAAAAATATGTTCCTAATCCTAATTCTAAAAAACGGCGTTTCGATTGGTATTTTATGGTGCACTTTTAAGAAAATGCGCTATTTACATATCCACACTTTCTACAATTTCAGTTCCACAATTTCAATTAACAACTCCACAAAGTGAGTCAGATCCACGCTTATTTTAGGCCCTGTTTACCAACAAAGTGAGTGAGACAACCTTCATTTGCCGACAAGTTTGAATCTTCACCGAAAAAGCGCCCACACATGGCTAAAAAGCCTCGTTTTTTAAATACAACGTTGTTCAAAATTGCATTTTACAGTAGCTCAGCCTCAGCTTGTTCTTAATTTGCTTTTAACTTTTGACCAATTTTAAGGCTCGTGTTCTTATAAAATTGTTCTTATAAAAAAGGAGTATAATTCAAATTTAAATTTCAATGATTCTACAACATTAATTACAGTAATAACACAATAATGCAAGACACTGTTCAGGTTCTTTTGGTGTTTGGGTTATGAGTGTTCTGTGTCGGTTTATTGTTAAAGTGGTTGACGTTTATTAGTATTTAAATCATTAGAATTATTGAACGGCAAACAAAAATAAAAATTCAAAACAGACACAACGAAACAAAGATAAAGCGAGTAAGAATAAATGATAAAGACAGCACTAAATTGACATTGTTTTTGTTGTATAGTAAGACAGAAAAGGGGTTTTTATTAGGAATTTGGAGTGCTTTACTTTCGTATAGCTTTCCAAGAACGATTATTTGCAGCATTGGGTGAAAGATCCTTTAGTACGATTCACCTTAATTTGCAAGGTATGTTCTTCCAAATCTTTACCCTTTAAAGATAATAAATTTGTTCCGGTAGTTCGTTCATACGGCGGTTAATAGGGGGAGAGTTATCGCTTTAGGTAATCTTGGGTACTTTTTTTACAAAAGTTACAAAATATTGATCTACAGTTGCTTTTGTTCGTGGCAGTCATGAAATAAGGCCTGGCTCAAACGTCGCACTTTTCATGTGCCGAACCCAACTCTGTTTGGAGCGACACTTTAGCATGTTTAGCGCGACTCCCGTTTCAAACGTCGAACTTAATCATGTCGCGCCAAATGGGTTTTAGAATTGTTACATGAAGTATCTTGGTTTGAAATTAAGAAAGAGAGCAAAACGGCGATGAATCCAATGTTATGAGATTAATTTTAAAAATAAAATAAATTAAATATAATTATGCATTGATTCTGGTACATGACAAGTTCGACGCTTGAAACCCTGCCGATTTTTGTATTTGTCAATCAACTCTATCGGAATAAATAATAAAATGCAAATTTTGCATTTGATGATAATGGCATACAATTTGTTACAATTAATTACGTCATTCGGTATGGATGGTGAACGATAGGAAAGGCCCAGTGTGTTCAATCTCATTCAGAGGTGTGCCCAAGCTCATGCGGAAAAACTCTGAGAAAGGGGTGGTTTTTGCCTCAAACCCGGGACAGTGAAACTTGTTAAAAGGGATACCTTTTGGAATTTGGAAAAAAACATTAATGAAATTGAGTTGTTAAAAGCAAGTTGAATCCAACATTCCTCTCTGCTGACAATATTGCATAATGTGTGCATGTAGTTTCCCCATTAACATAATTATTGTAACCAAAGATGCTTTAGAAAGAGAATCACCTCAATTTGATAAAGAAGACTTGTATGTAAGGTCATTTGCAACTTACAATAGAAATGTTGGCAGTTTTGTTTAGCAATGTGTTCATTTTTCATTTATCAGTAAAAATATGAATCATATAACTAGAACTTCAGCATTATCCACTTAGTGCAGTTTAGGAATTGTGTCAAAGCAATGTGGAAGTAATCTCCAGACAACGGGCGCTGTTGGAAAATGGGCACCTTCATAAAACGGGTAATAAATTTTCTCTTAAAAGTCTTTCTTTACTGAAAGTTTGTTTTGTACATGTAACACCTAGGCAATCTGTCATATAAGTGTATCTTTGGCAGAAATTCAGCCAGGAATAACCGTCCCGATGGAGCGACGAGAAAATGACCTCGCCTCATGATAGGGTCAGGGCACCAAAACAGCAATCTTCTTAACACTTTTAGACTCTTCATTTGAAACTTTTCAAGTGCTCTGTGATTCACGGCAGCGTTTTTAGTAGCTTGTGGTCGAGACTCTCACATCGTTACCAAACAAGTAAAATGTTGCAGCTGAAATTACTGAAATTATTATATTCAGCGATAGAAATTGTAGGAATCTTGAAATATCGCTGAAAGGATCAAGGAGGGAAGAGTACAAAGTGGCGTACAAAGCATTAGAAGCTACACATATATGGCAGCATGTCCGCTTAGAAATCACGATTTTTATGATATATAAGATCCTGGATCGCTTATAGGCTTGTCCATTGTAACGTTTTCTTTGCAACTGACGACACACACAAGGATCCAGCTATCATTTGATGAAAAACGTTTCGCACTCTAGTCAAAAGAGGATACATGAACCGAGGCTAGTGTTTCTCGAAATACGATGCATTCGCTATACAATCGTTTTTCTAACGGAGATGTTGCATCAATTTGAGGTGTCCTCATGTTATCAAAACAACAGAACAGTTTAGAGCTGTCTAGTTTCCATACTGCTCGACCTGATGACGTAATTAGTTTACCCTAAACCTGACCCTAACCCTAACCCTTTACTTGAAATAATTAATCATACTAATTTATTATCATTAATCATGCTTATTTATGACTACCAGGTCGAGCAGTATTGAAACTAGACAATTCCTTAAACAACGGTCTAAATACAGCGCAATCTCGTAACAAAAATTTAATCATCTTCATTATAGGAAATGGTTTCACACCAGTCTCGGAAAGGCATGTCAAAATTGTACAGTTTTCGAGTGTCTATATTGAAAAGATTCATGCTGTTTTCAATTTTTTCAGGTTTCAAAATCGTTTTTTGATGCAGAATTAGAAGACTTTTCAGTGTAAACTAAAAGACAATGTGGGGGTGATTTCGTTCCAAATGTTTATAGAAATAAGAGAAATATATGAGAAATAAGAAATACAATTTCTTGTTCATACAAAACAACCAATTTCTATAAATACGTCACATTCAAATCACATATTAACAGTATCTAAATTATTTTAGAGTACAGGGACAACTGTCGAAAATTTACTACAAAGAAAAATTGATATGTATTCTATACAGAATTGGCAAGATGTAGAATTAATGCTGTTTAGTGAAAAACTGTAACATAACAGAATTCTTCAAATATCTAGGGATGTATACAAAAAGAAATTAAATAAACTTTATAAAAATAAAACAAAATTAAATTAAATATCCCATGAAAATGTGTTGAAAAGTCGTTCGTTTTCCAAAGTAGTTTATTCTTGTATTACAAAGGTAATTTCCGTACTGATTCATGGTGGGATGACCTGTGGTGCTTTGCTGTTTAACAAAGGGTTACCAGTCATTTGAATTCATAAAGAAATTAAAGTCACGCAAATCCACCTCAGAATTTACTTGATAAAAAATGGGTATCGATGGATCCTTAACTTTGATACTTGAAGTACTTTGATACTGAGGGACAATAGGCCGTGAAGTACAGGCATGGCTATGGTAGGTCAGCCATATCAGGCCAAGGCACTCGTGCTGACTTGCATAAGGTCATAGGCATGCATCGCGGTTGTGACTATAGAACAAATGACTAAAATTTTCTTTAAATGTCGTGTTGCAGTGTAGGTTTTGTCCAGGTTTACTCTATCTTGATTTTGAAACTTTAAATTGTCACTAGTTGATGTAAAGAGCTTGTATAACATGCTATAACATGGAGTGAAGTAATTGTTTGTTTTCATGATGAAAATTAATGATGAAATGATGATGATGATGATGATGATGCTAATGGTGATGATGATGATGATGATGCTAATGACATCTACACCAGTTGCTATTCACCTTCTTTCATCGCCCTATTATCACAGCATAGTAGAGTGACTTAAAGATATAGGCAGGTCTCACCAAACTACTGAAAGCACCATATGGAAGCAACATGGCCTGCCTTCAGACACAACTATTTATCTCTGCTTTTAGTTTCTCTATCAAATTATAGCTAATGAATACCTAAAAGTAAAAAACGAATGCTTTAAAAGCAGACCAGCCGGTAGAAAGGATCAAGTTGAAGGCTACAAGTATCTGTTGAATGTTACAAGACGACATTTACAGACGGCGATTGTCTTCTCGGCGTCATCTTCGTTTCAGTCCCATAAGTTTGCTCAACACTTTCATTCTGCAGAAGCGGTGTCCGCTCGTCAAACAACCGTCCGTTCGTCCTACCGCGCCGTCTTAAAAAGGATGAAAACCTTCCATTTGAACGCCTGCTTCTCTTCCAAGGAGGAGGAAACGGGTCGTTTCTTGTGATGTAAACCTGACAAGCTGCTCCAGAGATCAAAAGGAAGCCCCAAACACCACAAAGAATATATTCTGTAACAAAATGAAAATTTGTAACCGAATTGAATATTAAAATTGATTGAAATTTCAAGTATCTACTGTAGTTAACACGGCTCTTTGGCAAGCAGAGTACAAGATCAAGAAAAGTGACCAAAGAGCCACAGATTTTAGGCTCTAACAATACTAGTTTCCAATCATTACCTTAAAGCAGGGGTCGGCAACCCGCGGCCCGCAAGGTACTTTTGTGTGGCCCTAGATTAGCATTCCTCGTTAACATTACTAGTCACTCGAACAAGCTGAACAAGAAGCTTCAAGGCCATGGTCAATTTGTGAATGTCATGTATGAACATGTTGTCACGTTCCTGCTTATGCAACACCTTTGGAAAACTCAGCTGAATTAAGGGAATTTGGTTCACTTTCCATCTTCAAATGGAGTTGATAGAGCTGCAGGGTACCAGTGAATTGAAACAGAAATACAAGGAAACTCGTATCATCCCGTTTTATATGGAGTATCTCCATGGTGGATGATGGTTTATATCCAGGTCTGGTGCAGCATGCTAAGAAAATGTGTTGCATGTTTGGAAGTACTTATCTTTGCGAAAGTCTCTTCTGAAAGATGAAGCATGCGAAGAGTCGACTGCGATCTCGAATGACTGATCAGCACCTTGAAGGCAACTTGCGGCTGCCTATATCAACAATTCTGCCAAATTTTGAGAAGCTGACCAAGGACATGCAACACCAACTTGCGTATAAGCTTCTTGTAATATACTGACCAGTGAACATGTACTTTACATCTATGTTTGTATTCACGTACAGCTTCCACGTTACAGTACATTTACAGATAAATACAATTTTATTGAGTAGATTAGCAGTTAGGTAGAATGGGTATATATTAAAATTATACTGTATTTTGAGTTGCGGCCCTCGTATGCATTTCAAAAATCAAATTTGGCCCCCTGTTTTATAAAGATTGCTGACCCCTGCCTTAAGGCAATGAAAACCACAACAAAAAATGTTTGCTTATTGCAATAAGAGGTAGCAATGACACGCTGGGCAAGGCCCTTGGGAACCAAGGATAGACAGTTAAGAGGCCTGGCTAATAGCTCCAGAGGACTGCAGGTAGTGCTGCTAAAAATTAAAGCATTACATACCATTGGTATCAAAGGGGACTCTGAGGTACGCATCGGCAAACGAGGGGATTCCAGCACGTAAAACAAACTCAACCACGATGTATTGAATGTTGGCATGCAGGAAAACGCTGCAAGCTGCAAAGAATAGAAACTTGCTTAAAACAATTTGCAAACGACTGATACCTCAACGAGTTTTTTAGATTTTGCCATAGACTACATTATATATTCAACACAAAGCAAACTATAAACAAGAAAGAATTTGAGTTGAGGTATCTCCACATCTTTCTGTCAGTGAGTTTTTATTGATGACTTTGCCTGTAATCAGCTGACTTTTATCAACAAAGAGATTCAAAAAGAATTCACGAGGCATACGAAATAAAGGACGTAATTTCATTATTCACCCTAATTTTGAACAACGAAAATTCGCTTACAGGCTTCGCACCTCTCAAGACTTATCAGAACAAGACCTGATTGAACGAAAATGCACTGGATTGTCTAGCAGCCTCACATGACAAAATGAATTGCGTGTAGTGGAATGAAAAAAACTGGAGCAAGAGCGGATCGTTGAGGGAATACATGGTCAACAATCGTCTTTGGATAAAAAGAACCAGACAGAAACACCAGCGGATCGTTGAGGGAACTCACTGTTAAAACTTTAGGAGCTGCAAGATACGGTAAAGATAGTAATACTGACTATGCAAAAGAGTAAGCCTATGAACAGATAGTAACGAAGATTCTTACCCACTACAACGACATATCCACCAATTAACGAAGAAAACAAAATGCTGATCTGAAATATAATCAAATTAGGGAGAATTCAGAGATCGGGAATCTGGCCGTAAATAAGACTGTTTACGTTGATGGTGTCGTATCTGCTACGTCTTAAAATGTACGCTCAGTTGTCAATGTTCACAAATCAACTACTAATTGAGTCGCAAAGCTGCAGCATAGCTTAGATTTAGTAGAGTTAAACAAAAGTGCTTTTTTAAACAGGCCTATCTTTTCCGAAGTGTTTGTAAAATCTATGACATATCTGCGGAGACTGCTACAACTAACGTAATCACAAAATATGATTTGGTGGGCATATTTTTTTCAAATATACTGCTGGTAACTCAATTACTTTAAATAAGATATCAAAAAGTTAAATTATTGGAAAATTTATCACTTGAAGAAAAGTATCGGCAGAAAGAATTAGCCAACATACCACTTTCGGAAAGAATATTTGTGGAATCGGACAGGCTAGCATTATGGAGACAAACGTCAATAGAAACACTGTATTACTGGAGAATGGTTTCAGATCACCTAAATTGAAAAACAGAAATAGTAGTATTTGATTACAACAATTTAAACACAATTCGGTCTTCGATAAAAGCCATTTTGATTCACAGATAGCAAAATAAATTTTTGCACAATTTTTCTGATTTTTGGCTCTGTTGATGAAATGCGGAAACCTTAGATGTTGAAAAACCACAGACAGGGCTCAACTCTTCTTATCCCCTAAAATCTTTTGTAAACCGCAGATTATCCATTCTTTGTCATCATACAGTAGATATTTAAAACATTGCCTGTGTTAATCTTATTCTCTTTCGTTTTACAACCTTTCCGATAATGATTGAAACAATAGCTAAATATTGCAACGTTGTGCGTTTTTTAGTCGATAATGAAGAGTAAGCAACATTTACCAACAGTCCTGGTCGAAATTTTAGAAACAGAAGATAAAATTATTGATTAAAAGCCATTAACTGCTAATTCTGCATTATATTGGCCTCCGCATCCCTAGCTGATTGACATATCAAAGTTGTTGTAGTTGGCAAGCAAGCCTGCACCACGTTATTAAATATGATTCAATGTTTTGACTTAATATTGCAATAGCATAGTAAGTATTACTTCTAAATTCATTAAGCCTTCTTTTAGCACCAGAAACCCAGAATTAAACTTACCAACGGGTGAGAAGAGAACAGAACAGGCAACCAGAAAGCCAACTAACAAACTGTTATTCAGGAAAACAGCACGGAACAAGCTTGTCTCCATATAAAGTGCCACAATGAAAACACCAAATGCAAAACCAGCAGCAGACGATGCTAACATATGAGCTGGAAAAATATAGATCATCAAATGTTTTTGCATATTCATAAAGCTTAATATTGTACAGGTAAAGAGCCTAAAGGGGTAATAGGTTTTACGAAAATGCAGAAAATAAGCCAGCTCGTTAATTTTAGTCTTAGAAAAAGACAGGTCATAAGAGTATGGAAGATAAGGGCGCAGAACAAAAGAGGTTAACTAGAGCAATGGTAAAGCCCTGAAGTCATCTGTCTAAAAAACTGGACCATTAGTGGGACCATGGTAACAGGAGTCATGCATATTCTAGCATGTACTTGAAACATCTATCAGCATTTCCTTACCATGATGGTCTATGAACCCCACAAATTTAGAAGATATTCTAAAGTTCTTAGTGAAAAAAACACGCATTACCATTAACTTTTTAGTGGGACTTTTTGACTTTTGCGTTCTATATATCTTGTAGCATACACATTTACATTGATTTTTTTGAATGTTCAGATACATGGAGGTATTAAGGCAGATATTCAAATGTGCCTTGGCTAATGTATAGACAAAAGCACAAAGTTGTTACTTAGAAATCAGCCTGGAAATCAGATAATACTTACAAGTGTAACCGATGCTTGCAAACCTCAGGATCAGAATGTATGAGATCAGGAAGCCAGAAAGCAAACCACCAAAGAGTAACTCTAAATGGTTATTGTTATTGGTTATTGGGAATAAAAAAGTTATTGGGGGATTGTAACTAACATGCGAAATAAATACTTGCACAAATCAAGACATCAGGAAAATTTCCATAAGAGACGCTAGCTATTAAATATACAAAAAGAAAATCAACAATTGTTGAACTGTCTCTCGATTTTCAGGGCAAAGATAATAAAGACACTTTTGATGACGTCATACATTTATATACTTGCACAAGTTACTGTCAGCCTTCATCTTGATTATGCTTTTTTTATCATTTAAAATTTTAAACTACAACCAAAGCTACTCAAATACATGTCACTCACAATAGTGAAGGACGCAAGGTCATCTAGTCTCCATTATGAGTGAAATTTGCAATTTTCAATTACATCTAAATATGAACATTAAAAAGGTAGAGAAGTAAAGAAACTAAATCAGGAAAAGTAAGGTACCTTTACAAAAATTTACAAACACATTTCTTACATAATTTACATGTTTCAGAGGTAGATCAAGAAAAGAAAATAAAATAAGAAAAGGAGTTGCTGGTGTTATGTTTTTCAATTAAAAGAATCTCTTAGTGTTTTTAATGAATTGAAGTGTGGCCTCCATAAGAAATCTATTGTGGCCTCATTTAATTCGGAACTTCCATAAAGTATTAAATCACAAATTTCCATGGCGGAGAGGTTTGAAATTTTGAGTCCAGGGACTTCAGAAACAACCACGTAGCTGTAGGTGTCGGCTAGGGGGGGGGGGGCAAACTCGAGCAAGAACCATACCTCAGGGGGGCAGGCTTTAAAACAAGAAAACAGATGTATAACAAACATATATATTTGGACAAAATCAAGGTCATGGAATTATAAATATGCCAAATTTTCAAAATACCATTTTGAAAAACTGTAGCCAGAGGGGGCAAGCTGTTGTCAAAATTTTCATTTGGGGGCACAGCCCCCCGCCCGTGCCCCCCCCCCTGCAGCTTCGTGGCTGTTCAGAAAGCCGACCAAAGAGCTCGTTCCGCATTGCTTGGAACAAAATGGCAGTGCAGGAAAAAATTCTCGTTGTTTTCATCACTTGCGCCACAAACAAGGGGATCAGGCAATCAAAGTTGTGTCTAAAACGGTGTCCGTTTAAAGGGCTGAATCGCAATCGAAGTTGGGTTAAGTATCTTGTTACCGTTACTGTAGAATTTACAAAGACTGGTTTTTTTGGGGGTCTTATTACAGACTATACTTTACGTTTAAATTCTGAAATTGAAATTCATAAATTTTGTTTATAAAATAGCTATTAGAAAAACGATCTGTCCTACAAAAATTTGGGTCATAATTTCGTGGGTTTCGAATCATGTAAGGTATCTGTCGCTCAGGAGGAATTCCGTTAAACAGATATTCTGGTGTTTTTGATTGTCTTAACTGGAAAAATGGCATAGTCTTCGATACCATCTTCTGTCATACATAGACTCCCATCCAAGTTCATCAAATATTTTTTGCCTGCTGGTCCATTTCCAGGCACCTGTGACACCCAGAGCCGCCGTATACTAAGCTTGTTAAAAGCTTTTTGTGACAGTGCTTCTCATATCTGGGTCAAACTTGTGGTATACTATGTCTCCATAGTCTAGGTGAGGCCTAACGTAAAGCTTGTAAACTCGATCTAGAACATTTCTAGAAACATATTTTGAGAAGTATTTTATGGGGCCAATGTCCCTCCTAGCTTTTATTACAGCTTCTATAACCTGTGACTGAAAGTTTAGTTTAGAATCTAAAATTTCCCAAGATGTTTGTGTTCATTCTTTCTAGTAATGATTTGATTTCCTAGCTCAATTTTTGGCAGAAAAGATAACTTCTTCAGTTTTATCAGCATTAAATTAAATTTTCCTTTGCCAAGCCCATTTCTTGATTTTGTCTAAGTCTTTACTAATCTTTAAAGCAGTCTGAGTCGCATCATTTACTATAGAAAAGAGTGATGTATCAACTGCAAAGAGCCTAACATCACAGTCAATATTGTCTACTTCATCGTTGATATAGATTAAAAAAAGTAAAGGGCCAAGTACAGAGTCTTGGGGTACTCCTGATGATACCATTTGCCACTCACAAACCTGGCCGTTTAAGATAACTCTTTGTTTGCATTTATGAAGAAAGTCTTGAAGAAGCATGAGCAAGCTACCAGAAATTCCATCATATTGTAATTTGTATATTAACCCCTTGTGACAAACGCTTTCGACAGATCCAGGAAAATTGCCTGAGTCTCCTTACTAGGTACTTCCTCAAATCCACTGTAGATTTTATGACTGATCAACAGTAACTGATTTATAGTTGAGTCGCCTGGTTGAAAACCAGATTGATACTCAACTATGAGCCTATTTTCACATAAATGACTGTAGATGGCATCAAAGATAAGCTTTTCTAAAAGTTTTCCAAAAATTAGTAAAAGAGACATTGGTCTGTAATTCTTTTTCAACTGTCTGCTTTCCTTTTTATGAATAGGTACTATATTTGATTTCTTCTAAGCAGATGGGTATACTCCAGTTTCTAAACATTTTTTATATATCATGCTACTCGATACTACCTTCATCACATAATTTTATCATAGTTATTGAAATGCCATCATCACCATGGGACTATGCTTTGACATATTGTGTAAGTTATTTTCTACTACTCCACTGGCCTAGGCCTGGGAGTGGCTGTCTAGTTACACTATGACCTCTCCCTTGGAGCTCCTACTCATAACTGACTACAGTTCATGCTATTAGATCTTTTAAGTCCATATGTGTGTTTCCATTAAAACCTTACACAAAACGCATAGGATAAAACCTAAACTTAAACTTCACAACACTACAAATGCCAATCCATTACAGACAAAATCCATAAGGTTACTAACAATCTGAAAGAGCAAGAAACTGATCATATAGTAGCTTACCAGCTATGACAAACTTGTGTCCAGAAAAGCAAAGGATTAGCCCTATAAGACCAGAAAGGCTGACAAAGACTATGGTTGTCACAGAGCCTGTTGAAAAGAAAGACATGATAAAAATCTAACCACTTATTAAAAATATAGAGCATAATATCATTATCTTCATCAGAAAAACATAAAGCAAATTCATCACAAAATGCCATTTAATGCAATAGTTTCTTCATTTTAACCACCAACACAAAAACACGAGGTAAATTTCAATGGCAAGATTTGTCTTAGCCATGTTTGATACAAGAAAATTTGCTTATATAATCTTGTTTATTTGGTGGCAGAGATACATACGAGTACAACCATACCACATATTTTAGCAACTAATCAGAATGTTTTCAGACGGCTGTCCCATCTTTAGCTACGCAAAGAATTAAAGGATTGATTTAAATTCTATATTTTTAACCTTCAATCTTCCTTTCTTGTCTTGATGGAAAGTTGTACTCAAATCATCTATTATGCTCTATTTATTTATAAACTACAGTCATAATGGTAGCAAAAAAATCTTACCAAAAGATTTGCATGTGGATTTATCTGTAATATCACAACCATATGCAAATGTTGGCATGTAACAAGCCTCAGTTTTCATCTGTATATCTCTGATTAATATGTTGTATACAACTCCATGATATGCTATTGATTGTAGCACAAAATTTGTTCTCTGTGCCTTCTCAATGGTGGTAACCTAGTAAAACGAATACAACAATAATAGTGAACAACATGAAGATAATCTGACGTTGTAAACTGGCTTCCTTGTTGTTTTATTGGAACAAATGATAGCAAGAGGTGAAGTACAACTCTAGATGTATGAGGTAAAAGTATAAAAATATAAAACACAAAAGAATTTTTACTAAATATCTTTGATTGACACAACTGTCAAGACATGACAAGATGACAGTTTGTTCATTTTTTAAATGAACTGAACTGATATTAGGGTTGCAAAACGAAACAAGGCAGAGTCCAGGAAACATAACCATTCAACGGCTGGAAGTTTGGAGAAGGTTTTTTTAAAAGATTTCATGTGGTTGCAAAAAAAAGCATATGATGGTCCTCACCATTTTACCATACTTCTTTATGTTTACTGGTGATGACATTCTCCAGACTGCATTGAATAGACCCTCTTCAGTAAGGTCATTTTCTCTCAGTTGATAAAAGTACAGATCATATACAAGTTGGTTGAATGTTTTGAATCCATCCCCATCACAAACATCAGGAAGCTCACCAGGGTCAAAAAAGACATTGCCTCTTCCAAAATCCAGTTGAACTTTTAGTGATTCCTTCTTCGTATAAATGTTAGGATCATTGTCAAAAGCACAAGTAATGCAGCAACCACCTGGCATTGGATCTGTAAAAGAACAAGAAATCAAACTTTTTTCAAGATATTCACTAAAAGGTCATCAAACAATTAGAAACTAGGGGAAACATATCATACATTGATTAAAACATCTTCAGTTACAAAAGCTTACCCTGCAACCCACTATTCTAATATATTTTCCTTTCAAAGCTTCACTTTCAAATTCTATGTATATAGAAATAGTCTTATCAATAAAGAATGTGACAAAAAACACTATAATACATTGCACTTTTTCTACTGAACAAGTTACAATCAATGAGTTTGCAGTAAATAGAAAGAAAATACATCTGATTTTGTATATATGTTTAAAAAGATTTCAGAATCTTTTTTTTCATTATTTGGCTATGAACATTTTACCTTTCAAAATGTATAACATAATTCTGTTTTGTTAACTTCAATATAGATTTTTTTTCTTTTTCAAAGTTCAATCAAAACTGCTGTAACATTTGGCCTATATACTTTCATCATTTTACCTTGCACAAGAAGGCACTGGACTCAATAACCGAGTTGGTTTATTCCAGTGTACTGGACAACATTTTATCATGTTATAATATTGTAATTAGTTGATGTTATTGATTGTTACTCTCCTATTTTTAGTTCTGTATTACATATGCTACATTGTAAATGATGTTGTTGAATTACATGAAATTGAAATTGAAAATGAAAATAGGAACTCTTCTTGTACTTTTCTGATAGCAAGAAGATAAAACTACCAAAGCAAATAAAACAACGACGAATATTCACTAATTATAGAAGTTAACCTAATAATAAATTACCTTTTTTTCAACCCAAATATTGTAATAACATGCATAAATTTGCCCTTCGTAAATTTAGTTGTTGTTGCTAGTTGGATCTCAACTAGATCTAAACAAACTGCCAATTAAAGTGATCAACAATACTGAGGAAAATGCATGACAATTTTCAGTAATAATTTCTTAACTGTAATCGTCCCAATTCAAAACCTTTCATGAAAAATGAAAAAATTAGCTTACAAAATTTGAATTAGAACAATTATTTATAAATGAAGAAAAAACTTTTAGTTCCTTTTTTGCAAAAATATAAATAGGAGAATTTGGTGAGTTTCTGCTAACTTTTTGCCCAAAGCTCTGTTATTGCATAGATCGTTTCTTTTCTCTGACTGGGCAAATTGCATCTAGTGAGTAGTAAATCCAAAATTAAAACAGGTAGTTTACTTTTTGACTGATTCCTGCATTTCTAGTGTAGTTTGAAGCTTTTTCTGAAGAATAAAGATTATATTATCAGCCTATTCTGATGATATTGTTTGCACCTGATCAAACTTTCTGTAAATAAAGTTGTCCAATCTATACACCTTGTTCAATTAAAAAATGGTCTCATTCTACCCCATATGGTTATCCCTATTATATTTCTTTGGAAAGTAATGCCTCTACTGTGGCCCCATTTCTCCTAAAATGGAACAGTCATTTATCAATTACAAGATGCATTAAATTGGCTGAATTACCTTTTGGTGAGAATGGGACTGCAAGAACTTGGGCTGTTGTGTACCCTTCAACTGATGCAATATATGAAGTTAAATTTGCTCTCCCATTATGTAACATATAAACTAGGCCAGCAGACGATGAATTTAGATGACTTTGATATGCCAGTTTGTCTGTGTAGGATAGTGAGACACTCTTTTGCTGTGAGATTACCTGAACCATAACATATCGATATTTGTATGGTTCAATGTGAACAAATATCTTTTTAAAGGATGTGTTACTTAGATGCACTACTGCAGCCTCTTCCAATTGAATCTCTAAAAATTAAAAAATCAATGATATAGCAATTGTATCATAAATGTGCAGCAAAACAAGGTGAAAGGGTGGCTTAGTGGTTAGGGTTACAGACTATAGATTAGAGGGTCTGTGGTTTGAGCCCCTTACATGATGAAACTTTCAATAAGAGTGAGGACAGTATCCTGCTTGCTATAATTTCAGGTGTATGAATTATAAGGTGTAGTCAAATCAAGAGTATGAGCCAGGACACTGCTCGGTAAGCATAACTATTAGCATAAACATAACTCCCTTTGAATGCTATTAACAAGTACAGAACTGTGACTAATCCTTGCTGTAGTATCTAGGATAAGGGCTTGCTTTAATGGTGAAATCAAATCAATTGTTCAGGCAGACAGCCAGAGTGGAAAATCACATGAAATTCCCTTGTACGACTCTCTTGTCTGTATTTGATTCCATTACATTGATAGTACCATTGTTTCATTTTGTTTAATTTAGATCTATTCATAGTCGTGTTTATGTCTCAATTGACTTTAAAATGAATGATGTGATTGTAGCTCCAGTTTTACGGAGCCAAGAAGATAAGATATCGTGCGATTTGATGAGGTTTCTCCCAAAAACAAGGCCAATGAATGGGTTCGTTGAATATGATTCAAGATCTTTTCCCATAAACGGCACAACTACTTGACATTTCTGTTAAAATTTTTCCGGAAAATTCCTTGGTACAGAAGGGATTTTCGGAATCTTAAGAGATTTCGAGTCTCTCGAGTCTTGGAAATTTTGAGAAATCTTAAGAGTTTATTTCATAAATCTATAAACTAGCATTTATTATAATAAGATATAATTAATCTGAAATATCCTGAACTGTCTATGTTAAAACTGGATACATACCACTCCATCAAGTACCTTCGGCATGTCAGGCCGAAGAAAAGAAAACAATAAATATTAAAAGTATACTTAATGGTGGCAAACCCATACCATAATCTCCTCCATATACATGATATAATGCAGTTAAAGTCAGAATAAAGATTTTTGCTAAAATAGTATTCTGTAGCATTCTGCGACACTTTTTTCCTCCTTGTTCGGGATTTCCAATTCACCTTCGAATCAGCCGTGGTCTTTCTCCTTCGCAGTGGATCACAACAAATTTCTAGTTTATGACGTAACTCAAAACCAAGAAGTACTGTGGTTCAGTTCAGTTCACTTTATATTTTAAAATTCCACTCTACATAAAATTTATCATAAAATAACTATAAAATACGCACAAACGATTAAGCTACAAAAATATTAGGTAACAATACAGAAATTATTAATAACACAATGCAGGAAAATATAACAATTCTATAGCCAATATATATAACATGAAAGAAATAAGATAAATTGAATGAAGGGATTAAAACCTCATCCATCCCAATGTACGATTTGGAACAGCAGAAACTAGTTAACAAATATAAGAAAAAATAAATTTTACTTTGGTAGCACATTAAAAAATTGAAGATAGCACAGAGAGGTGGAAGAATGGCATTTCTAGTTTTCCATGCTTTGTTCAAAATATAAACTACTGTTAGAACTGCACCCTCAAGCTGGCCCCTTTCACACTTCTTTTCGCACCCTTATACGATTAACCTAAAAGTTGGTTAACAACTAAAGCATTGTTAACAATATAAAAATGTGTGAAAAGGACAGGGGTGCATGACTAGATGGGCCAATTTGGGTCCTTAAAGTGTCCTTCACCTTTTCATATATGTCTAATAAATTATTATTGATATCTCGCAGATTGTAATTAAACAATTTTTACTGAAAAAATATTTAACCACACGGAAATGCATTACGATCTTGCAGTTCCCTGTGACTGTTTTTGGCGCATGTCGAAAAATTTTTGTTTTGTCAAAATTGGCGCGAAGAATGTTGGTTTGCCAACGGGTTTTCGTAAACTGAAACGTACCCGCCACTTTCTTATCCGATATAAATCAAATAATTCATCGATCCATTGGAACCCACATGCTTCCGAAATAATTTATTGGAACGCACATGCTTCCAATGAAAAGTGTGCGTCAAGTTAAGGTAAGTTGAGTTTTCATACGATTGTTCAATGCCATTTTCATACGATTTCGTTCGTCATTATCAGTCAGGTTTGCCAAGCAAATAATTAAGTAGGCGCTCATAATTTCAGTATCTTTATCATAAAAAGTTTATCGAAGAGATATCATGGTATGCCAACATATTAAACCTTGCTCTCAGAAGAAAACTACTTTGGCCTTATTATGGCCTAATTTAGGCCTATTGCTCGTGTAAATCTTTCCACGGAGTTTTGGAATTTTAAATCAGGTTTGTTTGATACAGTTTAGTATTAAAACGATGAAAATTTTATTATTTAGCTTTATCTTCTTTCTTCAGAGACTGTCATTGGTTTAGTTTTGTGAAAGAGACCTACATTGCCGATTGCTTTATTTCTGCAAGCTGAACTAATTTAATCAAGTCCATTGACGGAGCCAACACAATGTCATCTCAAAGCTAATAAATCGCAGAAAATGGAGATGATGCCTGACAATATGGATGTAAAAGTGAAGATAGAGACACCACGTGAAAGTAGTTTCAATACTATCATGTCAGATGGTTTGGATTTCAAGAGAGATCCCTACACGGAAGACAATGTTGATAATTCACAAGATTCCTTCCTTGTGGATTTTAATGACCATGGAAATTATAGCAATCAAACATTTACGCAGATAGAAAGCAAAAGTCAGTATCAAGATTCTCCAGGATCAGGTGTAAAATCAAGTTTGCGGAAGCCGCCATTCTCCTTCTCTAAAATGATCCAAGATCTCCTCCTTAAACATGAAAAATTATCTGTGAAAGAGATTTTGACATGGCTGGTACATGAATTCCCAGAATATTTTTCTATGGAGGATAAAAAATGGAAGGTAAACAATTCACTCTCTTATACCAAAAAGTGATCACTTTACAAAACATTACCTAACATAGCTTTATTTTGTTAACTGCCCCTACATCCGTTATTTTAACAAGGCAGTGATGCTACAAAGGATTTCAAATTTTGGAAACATTTTCCTACCACTTGTTTATGTTTAGTAAAATTTCAAACCTTTTATTAACTTTTAAAATTAATTCAATTCTTGTTGATCGAACATACTACTGAAGATTACCAAAATAGCAAGCTGAAATAGATTTTGCATGCAAAAAACAAAATCACTTTTTTTCAAAGCTAAAAAAATTAACAACTTTATATTTTATGACCAAAAATATTCTATATGAAATTCTTACACTATTGAACATATGAACCCATTACAGTTTTGTTTGAATTATATAATATACTTGAATAAATTTAAATTGGCTGCTCTTTGTTCTTTGTTATCCATTTTCATATCCCCAAAAACTCAAATTTTAGGCCAGTGTTCGCAGCTGTTTAACTCAAAAAGACCATTTTGTAAATGAAAAACCTGAAGGAAAGCCAAGTTGCTGGAGATTATCGGACACAGTGCTAAGAAAACTCAAATCACCTGTTTTTGAATCAGAACATTTAATGAAAGAGAACATTCCTATTGATAGAGGGTCATGGAATAGTGGAAAGTATAAGACAATTGCTCCAAAACTGCATTCCTACTCTGAAAACAGCTCTGATGGAATCGTCTCTCAACCTCCTTGGAGCAGCACTCCTCTCAAGTCTCAAAATATCAACGAAAAACGTCTTTGTGTTTCAGAGGACAAGAATTTGTTCCGCAGAAATGTTGCAGCATTTACAAGACCTTCTACTGGAACAACATTTAGAATAGGGCCAGCTTCTTCTACAGAAAAGAAAAATGTTTTGTTGTCAAAAAATAAAAGAATAAAGGGAGAGGAGTATGAACCAAGGTCTAAAGCTCGTAAGAGGCTGTTGGATATTTCAGATTCAAAAAAGCATATTCATTTGCAAATAACTGGAAATAGTTGTACTTCACATCCAGATGGTAAATTTATGAAGCTACATGATGACATTGCAATCAGTACTGATAATGCAAGTTTCAATTTTGTTGGCAATAGTACTGATAATAAAAGAAAAATGGAAACTTTCAGAGATCATCCTGATTACCCATTTTCTATGAAAAACAACCTTCCCTCTGATAAGAGTTCAAATGCAGGAGAAGAAAGTCTATCAGAGTCACAAAGTGGCTTTTCATCAAATTGATTCAAGTTTGTGAAGGGAATCCTCAAAAATCTATTAATTGTCATGAAACATCAAGCAATACAGTAGAAGAAGCAGGTCAACACTCTTCTGTCTTTATTCATGAAGAAACCAATGATTCTAAAAAAAACTTTGGTGGTCAACATACAAAGGAGTGTGATGATGTTTTTGAAGTTCTTCGTAGAGATTCTCAGAGTTCTTGTGACATCCTCAGCCAGTTTACTGATAGCGAATCTTATGACCTATCATGTCTGGACACTCTAGAGTTTGATGGCATCTAGATTAATGATCAACAGTTTAAACAACCAGACATTCCTTGAAAAAAGTAACTTTTTGGGATTGGGATACTTTTTCCACAACATCATATAAAGATACAAAAATCTCTAATGCCTCTTTGAAAAGATAAGCACTTTTGCAATAAAAATATTCTAGATTTATTTACAAAACAATACCTTGTATTTGGCCTTGTAAAATATCTCAGAAAACTGCCTCAGAAATTCAATATAGCCACTTCCAAATAACATTGATCTACTACTAAACCATAAATCAAAATGCCAAAGATTTTATTGAAGGTTCCAAATAAAAACTAGACAAACTCATCTTATTGGATTAATTCAACCTGAGAGTGGGAAAAAACATATTTTCATACAAAAGTCTATTTTATTTAGAGGTTTTTATATTCTGAAATATAATGCAGATCTTACTCCTTTTATTAGGATTGTGTCATCTTCACACAGGTGTTGTCCTTCTTTGCTCTTGCAGGGTTTTAATAGGTTAAAAAATTTGGTATCAGCACCATAATTGGAAGATTTTAGAATTTTTAGAGGGATATTACTGAAATTTTTCGATTTTACAGTGATTATTTTGTAGTTGTTCAATGAAGTATCCTTGAGTTCATGATAATTTTGCACCCTTTTCCCTGTTGTTGTCTTGGTTTTATTATGCCACTTGTTCAAACAGCTTGAATTTTTGTACCAGTGCCTTTCTAAAGATAATTTACCAAGTGTTTTTTCTACTTTCATTTTTATAGCCTCTAGTCAGCTTCCAAACAATCCACTTCTAGTCCATTAATTTTTTAAATATTTTTGCAAATGCACCAGTTAATAATTTTTTGCTGATTTTTGAACCCAAGGGTACTTCAAAAACCACAATGTCAGTCATACGTAGTACTGTAGATTTAGCAAGAGAAAGAGCTTCATATTATGATTTCAAATCACTTTTACATGCTACGAAATATACAATAAATCGCGTAGTCTATCTTTGAGTTAATTGTTAACAAATGCACTCCTTTTGACCAAATTGGAACTATAATCTCGGAAAAAAATGGTTGCGACTTTTCAAAGGAAGCATATATTTTCACTTTCCTTTCAAAAATAACTTTTCCCCTCCCCCAATTCAATGTTGAATGCATGATTTTGAAGGAGAAATGATAGAACTACAAATCCAATATTGAATCGGGGGAAAGGGGGGATTCGAAATTACAGGGGCAAGGTAAAGTAGAAAATTACAAAAGTTGCATTTTGTCTCAACATTTTTGTCCGGGATTGAAGCTATCATGTGAGGTCGCCGGTGATAGAAACTGTTGATCCGCGTATAGTTTGAAGGGGTTTGAAGTCGAACGCCCTTAGGGGCGGCTCAACCCAGTCCCCTAATCTTTCAGCTATCTCGAGCTGAGTAATGTCACAGGGGGAAAATATTAGGTAGTTTCAGCGCAGAATTCTCGCGGTTCTTTCAATTGCGTGATGTTTCTCTACATTAGAGTGAATAACTACTGATCCAGAATATCTTATGTTTTTGAAAATTGATGCTTTTGTAAATCGTTTTTTGTACTGATTTACTATGTGATTTCCTAAAAGCACCTAAGTTAAAGCAAATACAGTTTCAACCATTTCATCTTGCATTCAATTAACAACTCACTTCTTAGCCAATCGTTGCTATTAATTTATTGATCCGGGAATAATTTATTTCAGTGGATTTATTTGTCTTCCTGTGTGTTTCTCGTCGAAAGGTTATATCCTCGTCAAACGTCTAAAGCATATTTTGGCTTAGGGGGGGGGGGGGTCGTACTAGCTATCGGGAACTGAAGCCCCCTCAGACACCTCCCTCTTTTCCGTGGTTGTAGAATTATGTCTCAATAACAAAACTGATTGGAATCTTGGAATCATGTATGCAACAAGGTACTTCCAAAATTTAAAATTCTATTAAAATTTGCAAAAATATAAAGCCGTATACCAAAGTTCTTTGAAAGGAATTATAGATGTACCTTCTCATATCTACAAAAGAAGCCTGTCAAATAAGCTGATGTACGCACCGATTAGGATTGGTATCAAACCATAAGCCTAGTTCAAAAACATTAAAATGATTATCCATGCACAAATGTTTTTGATAAGCTTAAAGGTATGTCCAGGCTTTTGATAGGTAATAACGAATCGAAAGGCTTGCTGCGTAGACAGGAGCCTCAGACCACACACTTTTAGTCCAAGGTTTCTCAAGGGGCTTCCTCGAGTTTCCATGTAAATGCTGACAAGAAATCCTTTTCTGCTTCTTACTCTTGTTTTCAAGAATCTTTATTGTAAGAGTACCCTAGTTTTATAAAACTAAAACCCTTCCCCCAGTTTACTTTCCCTTGAAAATTTCCCACCCAAACCATAAAGTGTCCAAAAAATTGTCAAAGAAAATCAACAATACCCGCAATCACCATCTTTTTTTGCTAAAAACCTAGACTATATTCATTTTAGGAAATATAATCGATTGACGCCAATCTCGAAGACAAAAAAATACTAAGAAACTTGTTGTTTATATTGGCTGATCGAAATTTTGGCCCGCAAATTTAAAATATAAAACTTAAAAAAGAATTTTCAGGACATAGACCAGTGCGTGGCAGACCTTTTCTGCTTTGAGGCCAATTTTACGACGTTTTGTTTCATGCAGGTCGGGTCAAGACATGATGGGCAAAAATGATATCAGGTTTCCATGTACAATGACTGCCTCCTGTCACCTGAGAATTGCACCCTCCATGTTTAAAAAATAAACCCTTGGATTAGATGTTCCCTCCTTGTCACCATTGACAAATGGTTTGAAATGTACTTCCCTGAAAAATTTGCCGCAACTTGCATATCCATACAACATTGAAAAATCCCTCTTTGGGTAAAGAATTATAGCTTTGAAGTCCTGTAACCAATAGTATTCTATTTCTAAGCAATAACACTTTGAATAAAACTATAGAAAAATATTCTGTAATAGCTTGTTTCTAGTGCTGGATCTTGCTAGCAGGCATGCCAAAATCAGGTTTAAAGATATTGGAAGAAGCACGGGGAACTGTTTTATTATCAGTGGCGGTTCTAGATGGGTCCAAGAGGGCCATGGCCCCATGCCCCGCGCTTATGATAGCTAAAACGGGCCCCACACCTAAGAAAAAAGATCGAAATTGTAAAGAACAAGGGGCCCCGCAGAAATTTTTGCCCCGGGCTCCACAGTGCGTATAACCGCCACTGTTTATTATGCCAATGAACTTCTCGGGGCTGTGATTTATTTTTGCATTGAAATGCACGTCAATGCTCTCTGAACAGCTAGAGATACATAATGCTTCGCCAAGATCGGATAAAATATTATAAGATATATTTTGTCATTGGACATCCAATAAGACTTTCACAAGAATTAATCCTCTTCTGCCAAACATATCCGACACCCACTCCAAATCGTCATACAAGCCAAAAGAACAATGTGAGAAGAATTTCTTCAAAAGCAAAATTCGAGAGTTCTTCTTCAAGATTCAAAAGTTCTTCTCTGTTTAAAGAACGCTAGAGAGTTTGCAAACGAATATCCCAAAAGTAAGGATTCAATTTATGGAAATCTGCCAAGCATTTCCATGGTTTCGCTGCGAAGGAGGGTTCTTGTGATGTCTTGATCTGACGTCATCAATGATCACTGGTATAACATTGAAATAAATTCACGCGACATTTGAAGATGTTGTCATCAAAGTGCAGGCTGCTGTTACACTCGAATTTTATGCAGTAATAAACCAAGGGCTTGTCAAATAAGAATATCTTAGTATTGTTTCGTCAACAGTAGAGCAGTAGTTATGGCAAATATATCTAATTTTTCTTCATTTTCGTCCTGGGATGACTTGAATTTCTCCGTATTGCCACACGAGTTATTGAACGACACAAGCCACACTCACGCACAACATGATGATCTTCCTTTCACGGTATTGTTCATTTTTGCAGGCCTGCTCGTTGGAGGTATGTTGGGCCTTTCGCACAATTGGCTCTTTTTAACTCGTGTAAAATTTTACAAGCACTTCGCTTGAACTTTGCTGTAAAGTTGCTTGCAAACTTCAAAAATTGCTTTTTGCATGCTTAACTATACTTTCAATTTAATTTTAAATATTTTGCCGAAACTCTTTTATGTAAAAACATGGCGGTCGCAAGCTGCTGCATACGTTTCACTCTTAATGCAATCATAAGAAATATAAATTTTTTACTGAAGCCATATCCCGAACCCAAGGAGCAATCCTTGAGCTTGTAAAAATTAAAATAGCTAGAAATCAGATACATATAATTGATTTATTTTATTTATAAAAAATCCAAACACAGCTACGTCGCTAAACTTAGCTTCTCTCAAATCGACCTTGTCAAATTATTATGAAAGAAAATCTAAAAGAAAGCGTAGGTTAGTCCGATCTCAATACATTTGAAGGACTAGCATCGCAACGTTTCTTCACTCGTCAACATTATAAAGTATGCTAGATTCATCCATTTTCAGAATACATTGCTTGGGAATATTTTGCTGTGGCACTCATTTTATTGGTATTTTACTAAGCTGTGTTGCATGCTATGCCGTAATATGTTGTAATATGTTACATTACGCTTAATATTCATTGATCTTAAGGCAAAGCTGTTAGGCTGTCTTCAGTTGCCTAGTGATTGTATTAGGCATTTAACTCTTGGTTGCAAACTAGAAATGTCCTATTCTACACATGAAACAGAGCCTTCAGTATTGAGGTAGTTGAGTAAATTCGTAGAAACACCGTACTGTACTTGTCATTGGATTGCATTCCTTACTACTGTACCGAGCCACATTCACTTCTTGGGCCCCATTACACCAATCTCTACAGCACCACCCACATTCCCTCACATCATCCACCACCCTTCCCTCCCCCCTTCCATCATCCAATTTTTTCTCCGCTGCACTGCATTCACACCATTCAACATCAACCAATCCGGTATCACCATACTCAGTGCCAACGTGACTGCAAATTTTCCCCAGCCCTGCCAGGCCAAGACAAATTTACTGTGTCCTACCATTTTACCCTCTATTCCCGTGAAAAAAGAGCTCATTGAGTTTGTAACACATGAGTAGTGAGCCTGTAAATGAGTATTAATTTGATTTGTTTCGTTTCATTCCAGCATGTGTTCGACAACTGATCCAGAACTGGCCTATTCCGTACACTGTACTGGTAATGCTTCTAGGAATGGCTCTTGGAGCAATATCTTCAAGATATCCCTCTGTGCGAAGGTGTGTATAAAACAAACCTGTACAACTACACAACAAAGAGCGTTAGTAAGGAAATAAGAACATAGGGCGAGACTACACGTCATATTGATCACAACTTAGAAATAATGCAGAAAGAGGGGAAAGCAGAGCACACTATAAATCACTTTTTGTCTTACACACCTCAGAATATAGCTCATGAGATAGCAAAAACAACAATGAGTATGGTACTATGTTATTGGCTTTTGTGCTATCTTGAAACTTGGCAGTACTAGTAGCTTCTTTGATAGCAATTATCCTTTCAGGCTGTTCGCAGGCTGTATTATATAAACGAAGGGAGGATGGAACTCTCCTCACTCTCCTGCAGAGCCGTCACGCAGGCTGTGCTGTGTCGTAGGACTTTAAAAATTCATCGTTAGATTGATTTAAATTCTTTAACAGAAAGTCACCTTTAGCTATTAAACATATATTTGAAGGGAAAACATTTGCTTGAAATGAAATCATTTTCGTAATTTTCTGAAGCATTATATGCAATTGAAAGGAAATATACGCTGAATTTTCTTCTTACCCTATTATCTTACCCTATTACCCTATCATGCTCCATGTTGTCGTTGAAAGTTGATCGCTATTTAGGGACCCTGAATCTCTTTTCTTTTTAGATACACAACTTTTTCGACAAAGGACCCACACTTGGTGTTAACTACATTTCTTCCAGTTCTCTTGTTTGACTCTGCTTTTGCAATGGATGTCCACACATTCTATAAAATGTTTCTACAGGTAAACGCTTTGCAGCCAGCAGTATGACTATAAATTATATTTTTGGTTAGCAGTCTGGTGTTTTTATGGCTAAGTGCATTCAAAGCTGCGTATACATAATTTACATTGCAGAAAATGTCACCTGAAATGTGCCAGCCAAAAGTGCATTAAAGGCAGTCTGTCCTCTTTGTGATGCGTAGAGAAATTACGCTATTGTGGTTCTTCATTCTGATTGTTTATTTGTGCATTGAATCAACGATGCATGGATATCGTGGCCATGAAAAGAGATTCTGAGAACAATGGGGGAAATACTGCTTTTAAGAGGGTTGTTGAAATGCTTGAAAAACTGTTACAAAAATGAATTAGTTCTCAAGCAAAGAAATTATAAAGTACAAAAGGCTATGGGTTGTAGGGAGGCTTAAAATCACTCTTTTCTACACCCTTTCCTTACTTACAATCAGCAATTTTATAATAAATGCACAATTATGTTCCAATGAAACAGATCTTCTTTTCTAAGAAGCTATAGTAAAAACCTTCTCCTAGCCGCGTCCTTAAAAGGTTTTCACTATAAAGACTCTTTACAATCCGATTACAGGGCCCACGCCACGGGTTTCAAGGTAGAGGGGCCAATTTCTATAAGTCGACTTGAATCTAGTGCTTCAAAACAGGGCTTCTTTCCCTCTCCCCCATCCCCCAAATCTCCATCGCAACCCTAAAGTTCATTACAAAGCTGTTATCCTGTTATTTTAAAGATTTTTCAGAATTTTCCCGGACATTTACTCTTTTTACTTTTTCTAGTTGAAAACAGGAATACATTCAACTTTCAAATAACAATCAGTTTCTTTACTTTAGATCATAGTTCTAGCAATCCCTGGCATGGCTTTAGCATCGTTTCTCACTGCAGTGATGGGGATGTATGTTTTTAGCTACAATTGGACATGGAATCTCGCTATGCTGTTTGGCTCTCTTATCAGTGCTACTGACCCCGTTGCTGTTGTCGCAGTACTAAACAGTCTTGGTAAATAAATTTTTACATTGATGATTATACACTGGTAAAACTTGAACTATAAATTGCAGCAATCATTTCTTTAATCATTTCGTTAAAGGAAAATGATGATATTTACCTTGCGCAAGCTAAATGATTTGTCTTGGATATATGCATAGTGCAGAAAACATTACGGTTCCACGGCTGTGAGCAGGAACAAAATTATCCAAAGGTGCAATAGTTTTGATGAAGGCAAATGCATAACTTGAAAGGAGGAATAAAATAATTTATAAAGCGAGAGGAATTTGATATTGCGTTTGAATATTTTCCAGACAAGGCTTCAAGACCAACCCATGCATTATTTCGTTTAACTTCCATTTCTTAAAAAGTTTTATTCAAATAAAGCAAAGAAAGGTTTGATGAAGGCGAATAGGGCAAAGTTTCATCTGGAGGAAGATTGAGGCGTATTCTATACTCGAAATTATGCATCAGGCTTAATGGTAAGAAAAAATGCACCTTGTGCTGCAAAAGATCAAAGAGAACATTGAGCAATATATTTGGAACGATTGTGCTCCAACTTTAGTGCCATAAGAGACTTACAACAATAGCTACTTGTGAATATAACTCGCATCTGTTCTATATTTTTATCAACAAGCAAGTGATATGAGCCACTTTGTTGTGACACTGATTCTTTTTGGACTCCATATTATTTTTACAATACAAATCATTAGCCCACACGTGCCTTTCTCTTCCAATCTTGCCTTTTCAATCCTGTTTTTTAGTACTCAAGTTCCCTGCATCAGCGACCAAAGCTCATCCTAGCCTTTAGATTCAAGTTTTACGTCCAACATACTTGTTTGTTTATTTTGTTAGGAACCTCCAGGCAACTTGGCACAATCATAGAAGGCGAGTCGTTGCTGAACGATGGTTGTGCAATTGTTTTGTTCAACATGTTTTTTGCATTATCTTTCAAAGATGTTACAAGTTAGTTGCATTTCTACCATAGACTTAATTTACCGTTGAGTTAAAACACTGTATACCCTTTAAGAAGGCAGGGATCGAGCTGAAATGCAGCATATATATGATATAGGTGGTAACTGCAATTGGCTGTGATTTTATCCTAATATTTCATCTTGTATGGTTTTACCTTGAAGAAAACTGAACATTTTGGGTTCCTAGCCAAATTGCTCTGCAATGCTATTTGGAAGTAAATAAAGGTTTTCTAGCAAAACCATAAGGGTTGGTGATCAGGGTAAACTTGAAGCACATTGTTTACAATCTAGACAGACATGAAACCTAGTGGTTTCGTTCTTTCGCAACAGCATCCTAACCAGCCTTAGATATTTCTATGCTATTTTATAAACTCAGTATGAACGGACATTTCTGTAGGATCATATTTCTGTACTGTAAACTATACAAATACAGACTGTCTATAAAGAATCTCTATATACACAAGTCTAAACAACCGAATAGGAGTTTCATCACATTGTACATATTATGTAAGTTAAACGTTGATTTTAACAAAATATGACAAGCTTTCTTTCTCAACTAAAGCTCTCAGTATTGCTTTTTGACAACGAGGCTATACAAATTTATGCGAAATTTATTTGCAGCAACTAGGGTACTTCTATTCTTCCCGCAATTGGCTTTCGGCGGATTCGCATTTGGCCTAGCTGCGGGAAAAGTTACGGTGTTTTGGTTACAGAATGTTTATAATGATGCTATGGTTGAGATCACTATTACTTTGGTTGCAACGTACTTGACATACTATGTTGGAGAGTTCGTGTTTGGTGTCTCTGGAGTTTTGGCCGTCGTAATGTTGGGAATGGAAATCAATGCGCAACGGACAAGCATTAGCCCTGAGCAGGAGGTTTTCTTGCACAGGTACGTAAAGCCGAAAACCCACTCCGGAAAATGATCCGCGGATCGGATCAGATTTTGTGTTGCGCACGCGCTATGGATGCAAAAATGGTCACATGACTGATCCGCGACGGATCGAAACGGATCGAAAAAAAAGTTGAAATCATTTCAACTTTTTTTTTAACCCTTCCGGTACAGTAGTTTTCTTTTGATCAAAATCGAATTAGAACTTTTTAAACAATAGAGCACTTGCGTCATGAATTCCAATCCGAAACGATCCGTGGATCAAAAGGAACTGATCAGAACAACACGATCTGATCCGATCCGCGGATCGTTTTCCAGAGCGGGTTTTCGGCTTAAGATTGCGAGAAAGAGTGAATTACATAACGATTCGATTCAGACTTGAAGAATTTTGCAAGAGCTGGGATGGCGGTCAGAGTTTTTTGGGTGTGAGATTGTTACCCAAATAGAAGATAGAAGATACCAGTTACAATGACTAAGGGAAATATTTCAGAATTTTCTACAGATCTAATGCATTATTTACTCAACAATTTAGTGCAGTATTTGCTACAGTAATTGCTATATCCTGAGAGAAAGATCCATTTACGACCTGTCCGAGGTTTATAACAAATTAGCATACATCTGCTATTAAATTCCACTCTGGTATTAAAAATACATAAATTATTTGCCAATTTCATGAATAATGTCTCCATACTGTCTTCTTTCCAGGTTCTGGGAAATGCTTTCGTATTTAGCCAACACGCTCATCTTTGCATTTGTTGGTGTTGCAATTACAGAGAAAGCTTTCAAAAATTTGGAAGGAATCGACATTTTGTACATTATTATTGATTACATTGGTGTCATCATCATAAGGTTTGTTATCCATGTTCCTTCACATTGCATTTACCGGACAAAAGTGGGGAATAACTTGTATGGAAACTTTTAATTATAATGATCGTATTATGATCATACCCAATGAATCAGTCATCTGATCATACGAGACATCCCTCTTGTTAATTTGGCTGAAATCATTAAAGGATTTCCTCAGGTTTTGGCATTGCTTATGTCAGAATAAAGTGAAACGTCCATCTTGCGGAAACATGCGTGACTTGAATCTTGAAGTGTCGGGCGGACATATGTCGGTTAGTGTCGGTAAGAGTCGGAAAGTTTCGGCAAGTGATGGAAGTGTCGGGAAATATCGAGAAGTGCTGAGAAGTGTCAAGAAGTGTCGATTCTGTGAAGTTTACCTATACACGATTTTAACCATCAACAACAAATGGTTGCACATATCTGTTGTCTAATGGTTTAACGTACCAGCTGTCTGTTAATAGAGTTTTCATATTTCCCAAAAATTTTGCCCTTTCTACTCTCAAAATGGATAGAATTACCTTCAAAATTAATTAACGTTGAAAAGGCAGTTTTGTCTATTCAAATGTTTTCTCCATTTACAGGGCTTTGGTAATTCTGTTCTTCAGTCCAATCTTGACTCGACTGGGGTATGGTTTAAAATGGCACGATGCTGTTGTTATGATATGGGGCGGTCTGAGGGGAGCAGTTGGCCTTGCTTTGGCTTTGCAGGTAGCGCTTGACCATAACGAAGTGGGCAGCAAAGTGAGCCTTTTCTCTTATTCAATTCTTACTCATTATTTATCGTCTCAAAACAAAGACTTCTTCTTGATTGCTAATCATAAAGCAAGAAGGTGCTAAGATCATCGAGGAACAATGGTACCACGATTAGCTGCTTACTTTTGCCCTCATAGTCCAAATTACTAAATTGTACGTAAGGTATATATACTGATAGAAATGTTTTGCATGAGAAGGTTTGTTCTAGTATTCTTGTAATGAGGATTAATATTAGGTCTGTAATATCCCAGTGTGTCGACTTAAATTTATAGGGCATGTTCATGAATTCTATACTTTCAGTCACTGGTGTTTTGATGAGGTCTCGTGTGCTATATAACAAAGTACATTTAAGTAACTTCATACCTGTATTGAATTTGAAAACTAATAATTAAAAACACTCGCACGTTAGTATTTGATCCTTTGCTCTCCAGCAAAAAATTTATTAAAAAACCACCATAAATTCTAACCATAACATTATATCGTTTCAAAAAAGGGCAGCTTTGCCTGTGACGATGAAATCATTGTTTGTCATTAACCAACCTATTTTTCATTGCAGATGTTGGTTCACACTGCAGGAATTGTGCTGCTCACTCTTATTTTCAATGCAACGACGGTAAAGCCACTGTTAAAAACGCTTGGAATGTCAGAGATATCAGACGCAAAACGAGCTGCAATGTCTAATGCAATAAACCGATTGAATGAAAGTCGAGAGCGATCACTCTCTGTTATGAAAACGGACAGGTTTATGGCTGATGCGGATTGGGTGAGAGTGGAAAACGCTTGTCTGATGAATAATCCATACGAAGAAGGTTTAGATGAGGTAAAATGCTTTTTCCAATACCTTTTTAATTCATTGAAGTAAGATAAACTAAGAGAAGAGCAATATAGATAGGTATCAGAGAAATAGTCCTCTTATTTTATCTTGGCAGATGTATAAATTCGTTGGAGTTGACAGTTATGTCGATCTACGAATCTTGCAAAAAGTTACTAGGAATACAATAACTTTTACATTGTAGAGCTGATAACCCCAGTATTTATTTTTTCACCAAGTTCTCAATGCTGCCACTAAACTCCCGAGAAGTACAAAAGTGTTGTTGTGACGAATGTTGAGCAAATCAAAGACGCACCCTCTTTGGTGTATATCTAACGATCTAACGTTGAACATGGGTCAGCTCACTCTGGCAATAACTGGCATTTGGTGGCAGATTTCCACCAAATAAAAAGGATTTCTACAGATTTTTTCAGATAATCAGTGACAAAACCCAATAGTGTTTTTACCGTACGAGATTTTCCTAGAGTGATTTGCCATTCAATTTTGAAGTGACCAATTCCACGGCGTAATGTCTTTATTCATATACACATATTTGCTTGCTTGTGACATTCTCACGAATTGCAAAAAAGAAAACTGCTCAATGAACTTAGCTAGGCCAATGAAAGGGCCTGACATGGCAAGGCATTTTGAACAGACCATGCCCACTGCAACTTTAGGATGCTCTTATGATGTGCATGCTCACTTTCAGTGAATTTTGATTTATTCTGGTTGTGCATAGGACAATGGAGCCGAAGACATATTGATTCTGCGACACAGCAAATGTCCTCAGTGCGCTTCGATGGTACCTAATCAACCCACTGCTAAGGAGTTCGCAGCAATGGCAGAAGAAGGACGTATTGCAATAATAAAGGCCGAAAAAATCAGCTTTTGGAAGCAATATGAACGAGGTCTACTCTCCAGTGATGGTGTCCAAGTGCTTGTCAGCTTGGCTGATACATGTTTAGACGAAAAGGACAGGTTGTTCATGATCTCCCATAAATTTTAATAAATTTGGACCAGTGTCAAGGTCCGCGGAGCATATTACTTATTGAGGGGGGCTTAAACGTTTTGGGGGCAAAAACATGCTGAAAGCAAAAATCACGATGATTTTTTGTATGGCTTTATTTAGAGTTTGGAAATTATTGGAAGGGCTAAAGCCCCCGTAACCCCTCCCCGCTTCTGCGGTCCCTGGCCAGTGATGATCCATTGAACTTGCAAATTACTTGTGATTTTAAAGTGCAATTAGGCATTGACTTGACTTTGATTTCTCATGTTGAATTATTGTTAAAAAATTTAGAATACATAGATTCTTTTAAATTGAAGTAATGTTTGTGGTACGTCAAATTTTTTTTTGTTAATTTGGAATAAAAGGTTCCCTTACAGAGGCTTCAAATGCCAAATAAAAGAGGATATGCAAAAGTTTACTCGTAATAATAGCTATTATTATATGGTCACCTTATTTGTAGACGAATCTAAAAATGTCATGACCACTTTGCCTCTTGAAATTTCATAAATATGGAAGTTTAGCAGCAATATTCGGCAAGAAACCTAATATGAATTCCCAATGAAAGGAGAGCATTTTGTCTTTAAAATATCTGGGTACTTTATATCGGCTTACACTTTGAAAAGCTATCAATAATCACAAAGATGACAGCTGTCAGAGAATGAGTAGATAGTATTAGATATTCCATCTTTTCTCGGTTTTTTCTTACTAACTGGAACCACTGATGGTCTTCCATTGACTCCCGTTAAACCCTTGTCTATGCAGTAAACGTGCATGTGCAATAATCTGAGATCAAAACTAGGCGCTCTGTTTGGCAATATGCATGGACGGGGAAGGACTGAGTCTTCAGAAAATGGTAGAAGATGGAAGGGGGATGGCTAACTCTGCAAACAATCACTGCTCTGAACGTAGTAACGTGTCTATTTATCTGTAGCTATATCTAACGTACTGATGTCCTTTCTTTTGTTTGCATAGGTTTATTCAGTTGCGCGATCTTGATCAACACTGGAGTGTTCCACGCTACTGGGACATGATTGTAAGTTAATCAGGACAGTTTTAGAAATTTTAGTAGTTGCTAATTTCTACCTCAATCACAAAAAATCACAACAAATGAACGAAGTTCTAGAAATTGCCGACAGTCACCGGTTCGCGTCTTCATGGTAGCTTATTATTAGCACGACTTCTTTACAGCCCGACTTTTGTAGAGGCAACCTTCAGGTAACGGACACCTCGCTACCACAGGCAAAAACTATAGTCGTAATGGCGGCCTTTATAAGACTATTAAAATGTACTTTTAGAATGATCCAGACGCGTAGCATATACTTAATTCATGTTGTTTTCCTCTTGTCTGGGTATAAAAAAAACACAACATAAGCAAAGTTTGGTGTAAGGATAAACCTTTTGCAGACATTTCAAGATATTTTCTAAAGGTAGATGGGTTATATGAATAAAAAAAGGAATGCAGCTTGTAATTAATACTACAAATGATTTTGTACATGAAGGCAAAGGTGAATAGATATAAATATGTGCATATATGAGAAAGAAAAGACCTTTCAATGCACCCCCCTTGTCAGGAATCAGCCAAATTAGACTGTTCCCCACATGGTTATAATCATTTAAAGACAATCTATATTAGATGTAGCAATCATGCATTCATACTTTTCATGTTCTTATGTAGAGAACCAAACTCATCCAACTAAAGCAGATGAAAGCTGCTGATCGCGTTCCGCCCCCACGCAACATCTTCCTCCGATACAACTACATGATCGCAACACACGTGGCATTTGATGTTCTAATGAATGTTCTTATTACCCTAAACATGGTGGCTATAATCTTTGAATTGACGGCTGACGAAAATGCTTCATACCTTGTGTATCTAAAATACATCAATTACGTTTATTTTGTCGTCTTCATGCTAGAAGCCATCATCAAGGTTTGTATACTGTCTCCAGAAATATTTCATATTCATTTTTTCATTTTCAATTTTTTTGGCATGGTAGCCCCTCAGTTAGAAAAAAAACTCATTTACAGGGGGCCATACATTTAAATACCTTCTAAGTTAATATAAATATTATAAATACAGTATAATACAATGAGATTAAAAGAAACAAAATTAAACCAATAATTAACATTCAAAACATACTATTGCGACTCATGCAATGCTAGAATTTATTAGATCTTTCCTTCAATTTTCTTAGGATTGGTTAACTTTTTGCCGTAGCATTTAACCCGTTCCAGAGATTCACCCCTCTGAATGAGAAACATCTCTGATCAGCTGATGTCCTTAACTTTGGAGTTCTTAAGTTAATATTAGAATTCCGCAGTACTTTAGAGGTTGTTTTGCTAACCCTAGTGAACATGTCACTCACATAGGATGGCGTAGGATAAATGAAGTAGGCTTTTAGCATTGGAGAGTTGAGCAGCTGTTTTAAGTGTTGCTTGCTTACTTGGTCTCTTTAAACAGAAGAGCTAACCAAATGATAATACAGGGAAAACTTCAAACGGCCAAGTTCGATTATATTAAAGGCTTTTTCTATCTGAGCATAAAAGGAAATTCTACGGAAATATGTGGGTTCTGGGAAAACGCCCAAAGATGTTGCAATGAAAACATTGATTACATGATTATTGTCTTCCTCGGCGTTATCATCAACATATCATATCATAAACAGTTGTTTTAGGTTTATCAACGATACTATCAAACTCTATAATGTCCATCCTAGTCCAATCCGTTTTTAATTGAAGATCTTCTTTCCTACATACTCCAGTAGAAATTTTTCTTGCTCGTCTAACGATCTCCATCAATTCAACCAACAAAATTCATTGCTTCCGATTTTTATCTTATCACCTTTTCAAGAATGTTTTTCATTTTGGTAAAGGAATACACCTATGACAATGGCATTAAGTTGCTTATATATTCAAAGAGCCAGACAATATTTGCTTGCATTTTTTTTAATTCTTTTTTTCAAACTAAAAGATTCTAGAAAATAAATATTGATGATTCCATTTATATTCAGCGTTGAATTTTTTATAACTCTGACTTGCATCAACCTTATATTTTACAGATATTCGGATTCAGGATGCATTTTTTCAAAGACTACTGGAATCTGTTGGATTTATTCATCGTATTTCTGAGCGCTGTAGACATTGTTCTCGATATCGTGGCTGCAGGCTCAATGGGTGGATTCTCCCCAAGCGTTCTCAAAGTTGCCAAGATTTTCCGTGTTTTGCGAATGGGTCGTGTCTTGAAACTGATAAAGGTGAGGCTTGTTTTAGATAAAAAATAACTTGTGCCTGAACATACATTCAACTTTAGAAGTCAGGAAAGCTGCTTTAGTTGTAAGCATTAGACCTCCGGTAAGAAGGATTTGAACAGAAATGGACCAAGATCAGAGCCTTGGTGTATGCAGATCAGCATAAAGCTCATAACTTTGCATGCACTCTACTGCATCTCTACTTTACCCTTGCATTTTGTCCACACGAGACCGGTTATAAAGAAAACGCTTACGTAGGTGAACGAAAATGACTACGACTCGGTGATCTTCAAAAAATTAAGCTTCTCAACCTGCAGATGATACCAGCGTGTTTCCTTCAATCTCAGATACAAAAAGATATATCTTGTCAAGAAATTCGAAGTTCCATTTATCTCTTTGAAATGCTTTGTACTTATAAGAAGCTCTTAAGTTCAGTTTCAAATTCCATAACCACTTAAATGTTTACTTCTTCATAGGCAGTCTTGTAAATCTTGACGATTTTGCTTATTTACTCAATGACGATTCGCGATTCTGTTTACTGTTTGCATTCAGTGAGCCAGAACTTAACATCATATACTATTCCCGCTTCTTTTCAGTCCTTGATTCCAAAACTGATCGATCTTGTGAATGATCGTATTAACAAGCAACTCAGTTTCGGCTATGACATTGGCAAAGGTTTTGTGATCGCGGAGGAGGATGTTATGAAAATGATTGACCAGTTGGTTGTCGATGAGAAAATAATGAAAGATCTGAAAATGAGATCAGAGAAGAATCGCCTTGATATCATCAGGAGTCTTGGTATGGCGTTACTCGAAAAATTTTATTCCTGGGCAGATAACCTGTGCAGCTTTTGTTGAAGCGCTGCTCGTTTTGATCATTTGAATCTTAAGAAGTTTTTAAATAATGACAATTTTACTTGAGAAACACCATGAAATACATCTAAAAGTGAAAAATATGATATATCTGTTATCTTTTGCAAATAGATCGAATTACAGCAAGTTGAGGAATTGAGTTATCCCAATGTTTAACTGTTTTTTGGCCTAGTTCATAAATTTTAGAACGAGGACCAGATTACAGTTATTTGATTGAGCAAGAGCCTGTATTCATATAGGCGTATTTCAGTCAACATACTTCACTGATTTTTGCACGTTTAGGAGTACTGCATAATTCCTTTTTCAAGTTATGTGATCCGAACTTAAAAGTCCTGATAAAGATATGTTTGTGCTGTCATCACTTCGAACTTTATTAGAAGTCAAGCTCTTAGGAACTAAAGAGAGAAAGTATGCCTGCTTGCCCATTGTTTTCAAAGGCCTCGAGCATTTGGATTTCATGCAAATAGTAAAGTACGATCAGACATCCAAAGTTTTAAGCGAAGCAAAGTAGCGTAAATAGCCTCCATCTGGTAAATTTAACGTAAATTTTCGTCATTATAGCTCTCCATCTCGAGGTTGCTCCGCAGCTGTGGCTGTATCGTCATTTAACGATATCTATTTTTTGTCTAGGGCTGCTGCAAAGAGAACATCCGGGCATTGCAATATCCGTAAAGACAAGGCAAGGGACTCGATCTGTTTTGAATAACGCTCTTGACACGTTGGCTCAACTCAGATCAAATGGAGTCATGGATAAATCAGAAGCTCTCAAGCTGGAGATGGTGAGCACAAAATCTCCTTTCGTCAACACATAGGAATATCTATGAAACTTAATTTGATCTATCAAACGTAAAATGCTTTAAAAATTTACGACAGAGAAGAGTATTATTTTCCTGCAAGAATTAAGCAGAACAGAGCATGGCTATCTTATAATATTGATGGAATAAAGAACAATATAGAGAGAAGACAGTATCTATTCTTTTACAGGTCCCAAATTCCATCTCACATTCCTTAACTACTCGAATGTCTTGACGAAAAAGTTCATCGCTTTTTGCACCTATCACGTGATATAATTGGGAGGTGACGATTCATCCAATCACACATTTTGCCCATCAAAAAATTGAATTCGAAAGTAATTTGCCAACGCTTCACTGAAAAAGCAGCCTATCCTTTCGGAATGATATTCTTGCAAAAAGAATAAGACAAATGGCTGAGCATATAGGATATGCATGTTGAGCATAAATCGTAAATTTAGATAGAAAAAATGGGCATACTTTTAGTATAACGATGTCCTACAACATCGAATTACTGTGATGCTGTAGTAAAAAAGGGCTAAAAAGACTAACTTTTTGACAACTTTAGAATAAGCCTACGAAAATTATTTGAATGTTGGTGCACACCTATTGTTTTATTAACTTTTCACACAAATTTCGAACAAAACCCTACAATTTCTAGAGTAGACAATTGAGCACAAATAACAAATTCAAAAAAGTTAACTAATGACTGTTATGTCTCTACTGTTTGATTATTTTATGTTTATGCAAACTTCTATCCTTCGCAGTTGATCCAAGAGAGAATGAAGAGGCAGCTCAATGCCCCATCGTATATTGCCCCTAAAAAGCCCGAGTCTCTTCTCCGTGGGTTGCCATGGCTACGAGTGATGACGGAAGAAACAGTTAGCTTCATAATAGAACAGGCCGAAATGATATCATATGAATTCGGTGACGTCATGCTAAGACAAGGAGAGCCAACTGATGGCGTTTATCTCATTGTCTCTGGAATGGTCAAGGTACCAAGTCGATGATACTAGTCAATATGTTTGAAGCAAAACTAAGATTTCAATCTTTCATCAAAAACAGTACATTATCAATTTAAAAATGATCTATCTATTAATTCCTTGCAACTTGGATAAATAGTGTAAGGATGGTTTTTATGTTGAAAATAAGTGCCTTAAAAAGAAGCTTTTTAGAAGTATTGAGATCAAATGTCGAAATTTCAAACCGCAAGAGAAACTTGTAGGAAGGATCAGTGAGAGATCAGTGATTTTGTAAAATATATTATAATGTACGAAAGCAAAGTCACTTAAAAAGCTAACTGGTATTCAAGCCAATGCATGTTAATTCGTTGGATTTCATAAAAAATTTGCTTCATTCAATAAGCGAACTAAGTCCTAAATAGTCAAAACAAACGTCATTGGCAAATTTCTGAATGGTTTATTCATACACAAAAATGGGTACATATACTTTCTAACTTAGAGATTTTGACCTATGTTCCGAAGTTTCATACTCTGAAGAGTGTAAGAAAAAAGCTCTAGATTGTTTCAAAATGTTTGATTTTTTAAAGCCATTTTTAATATTCTCAACCGCCAAAAATTTCTTTGTAATGATTATAAAATCTGTAGTTGAGTTATATGTCACAAATTAGCAGTATCTTGTTATCATTGCTGTTGTTCTTGATTTAGCTTGTAGGAGTGTCAATGGCAGCTGCTCAGACAAGAGTTCATTCGTATGTTGACTCCGATTTGAACATCAGTACTGACTACTTGTGCGCTGGCAACGTCATTGGAGAGATGGGTCTCCTGACAGGAGGCATGCGCAATGCATCTGTTGTATGCGAAACTGCAGTACAGGTATGACTTCATTCAAAATTATTGTGACAAAATAAAATTTGTGATACATTCTATTTTATATTGTCCCTGTAAATTCGGATCTCTTTCCAACCGAATCGGTGCTGGATTAGTAGTTATATCATTTGTGTTACAAAAACATGCATATTTTTCAACCATCGTATTCGTGTACATTCATATTTTTCTTTGAATTTTAAGGTATACTACATATCAGCAGACAAAATGTACCAGGCATTGAAAAGGTTTCCTGGCTTAGAAGACAGCTTGTGGCGTGTTTGTGGCATTCGGATAGCCCTTCCAATTCTCATGGATCAAGCAGCTTATAAGGTACTAAATCCCATTTGATTTTTCTAAAATTTTGATAAGCATAACCTTAAACATCATTATTTTTGATGTCATTATTGCTTAAGCAGTTATAGACAGAATCTCCATAAATATACTAGATTGCGTGCGGTGCAATATAATGTTATAATAACGATGAATATAAGTAAATTGTACCAGGAAAAAATTGATTAAATGAATAAACGATGTTTCGTGCATAGCCCGTTATCAAGTCAGACTAAAATTTGATTCTGTATAACGAGCTATGCTCGAAACGTCGTTTATTCATTTAATCAATTTTGTTTCTGATACAATTTACTTACATTCATCGTTATTATAGACAAAGGCTGATAGAGCTGTCAAAAAAGAAAGGCTTACTATGCCAATTTTTACGCTTTTAGCATAATTCGACTAATAGATACAGTGAATAATTTCTTGGAGGACTGGGACCGAGTACCCTATACTAAAAATAGCACATGGAGGCAAGTTTCGGGTTGACTCCAAGCTCTTTCCTTTTCAGCGTATCAAATTGGCCATGTATGCCAATTTTCATGCTTTTAACATAAATCCCACAATTATTTCACATATCCCACCCACTAATAGTACTGTTTTTCTATTGGTCTGTAAATGTTAGAAAAATGTTCCTTATAATAAATCGGATGGACTCCCAATTCCACCAATCCTTTATTCCCATGTTATTGCAAAAGATTGTATCTATCTGGGCTTTTCAAAAGCCTTACGC